GGAGGGCCCAGCCCACTGTGGGTGGTGCCACCCCTGGGAAGGTGGGCCTGTGTTGCATAAGAAAGCAGGCCGGGCAGGGGCCAGGGGAGCAAGTCAGTAAGCAATGATTCTCCACGACCTGTGATCCAGCTTCTGGCTCCAGGTTCCTGCCCTGACTTCCTGCCTTGGGCTCCCTGATGAACAGTGACCTGGGAGATGTAAAACAAATAAACGCTTTCCTCACCAAGTTGGTAGTGGTCAGAGTGTTTTGTCATAGCAATGGAGAAACAAACTAGGACATAGCCTATGTGACCACCCAATGCTCAGTCTCAGCAGACTGAGATCTGAATATGATGGGCACAGTGACAGGGGAGTCTGCTGGAGGCACTGTGAACTACACTCTAGCGTGTGTGGATCTGCCTGGGATGGCGCTAGCAGGTGTAGCTGCAGGAACGGCTCTTCCTTGCTCAGGATGAGGACTACACCCATGCTCTGGAGCTTGAGAAGACTGCTTAACAGTCGGTTGACATTCTGAAGTCACAACCAGACCACAGTGGGGCACTGCTTACCTTTGTCAAGCCCTTAACAGGACTTAACCATCTTTAACATCAGAGTACCCATTTTACAGATGAGAACATGGAGCCTTGCCCTGGAGGGTGACCTTGCCCTGATGGAAATCGAGGTCCTCTGACCACCACCCAATGGGTTTCTAGGGAGGCCCTTCACTCCCTTTTCTCATATTTTTGGCTAGAAGACAAATTGTTTCTTTGCTAACCCAGACTCTCCTTGCATCTAGTCTCACACATTTACTCACTGACGTATCCATGTGCACTTCTCACAAGCACCTTGGAGTTAAGAAGTTCATTCAAAGAGATGATCAACAATGTTTGCAGGTGTGGTAGTGCATGCCTGGAATCCCAACACTCAGGAAGTTGAGACAGGATTGTGAATTTGGATACTAGCCTAGGCTAGTCTCAACCAGAAAAAAAAAAAAAGGCCAGGTGACTCATATCCATAATGGGAGGTTGAGGCAGGAGGATCAGTAGTTCAAGGCAAGCCTCACTACATAGTAAATTTGAGGTCAGCCTGAACTACATGGGACCCTGTCTCAAAAACCACAAAACAGAGATGATAATAAGATTAAAATTATTTGAAATTACACACTATGTAAGAATTAGGGACTATATTCCCTAGTGTGTTTAGATGTTATATTCCAATTATTTTTTTTCTAAAAGTGGACATGGAGCTCTTGATGGCTGACCTATTCCTCAAACTGTCACTTTCCACCTGCACACACAGAGCAGCTCAGCTCTCTCACAGTGCACCTGGGAAGCAGCTCTGCTTTCCTGCCCTTCTTGCCCCACTCCTAAAGCTAACCCATGAGGCAGGGGTACAAGCCCGTCTCTAAAACCCATCTCATCTCTATGGCTCCTGCCACCTGCTGCCATGATCTCTTACTTAGACAACCACAAAAGCTGCCCATCAGAAGGCAGGACAATGTGATCTTTTTGTTTTATTTTTGAAAAAGGGTCTCACTATGTAGCCCTTGCTAGCCTGGAACTCACTATCTAGACCATGCTGGCCTTGAACTCTCCAGAGATCACCTGCTTCTGCCTTCCAAGTACTTGGATAAAAGGTGTGTGTGTCTGGCTTCAGGATTTTTTTTTTTTTTTTTTGGTCTTTTTGAGACAGGGTCTCCCTGTAGCCCCAGCTGTCCTGGATTCACTACAGAGACCAGGCTGGCTTCAAACTCACACAGATCTGCCTGCCTCCGCCTCCCAAGTGCTGGGATTAAAGGCGTGTACCACCACGCTAGGCTAGGATTTTGTTTTTGAGACAGGGTCTCCCTCTAGCCCAAGCTGGCCTGGAACTTGCTATGTAGACAAGGCTGACCTTGATCCTGCCTATCTCTACTGGGATTAAAGACATGCACTACCATGCCTGGCCAGGATATTTTTTTTGTTTGACTGTGTTATCTTTTAAAAATCTAGAGAAGGGGCCAGAGAGATGCCTCAGTGGTTAAGAGCACTGATAGCTCTTGTAGAGGACCTGGGTTCAGTTCCCAATATCTATATGGCAGCTAACAATCATCTGTAACTCCAGTTCCAGGGGATCTGATGCCCTCTGATGGCTTCCAGGTCACTCGTATGCATGTCACTTGTTACAAGCAAATGAAACATTTATATTTATAAAAAATAAAAATAGGCCAGGCATGGTGACACACGCCTTTAATCCTAGCTCTCAGGAGGTAGAGGCAGGCAGATCTCTGTGAGTTCAAGGCCAGCCTGGTCTACATAGTGAGTTCCAGGACAGCTGGGGCTACAGGGAGATCCTGTCTCAAAAAGACCCAAGAAAAAAAATACATAAAAATAAGTAACTCTTAAAAAAAAAAAAAATTGGGAAGATCATGCCTGCCCCAACTTGAATGGAGCCTCACAGAACATCTGTACTCCGACCTTACACTTCCAAGACATTGGCCCATCTATGTCCCTATGACTCCTGCCTTTCCTTCCTTCAGAACTGAAGCCTAGTATCATTGCCTTCTGCCTGTTCTCTGAGTAGCTCTAGCTCTTTTCACTCTTCTTTTTATCTCAGGGCCTTTGAAATGCTGTTCCTGCTTCCTGGAATGATCTTCCATTCATTCTTCCAACCATTGACTCCTCATCCTTGGCTCATGTGACCCCTTTCCTGGAGTGTCATTTGTCACACACATGGTCTTTCTTTCTAGATCCCAAGGTAAAAGTCTTTTTTTTTTTAACTTTTTATTTAATGTGTATGAGTGTATTGCCTGCAGGTAGGTAAGTGCACCCATGTCGTGCAATACCCGCGGAGGACAGAAGTGGCTGTCGGATCCCCTGGGACTGGAGTTAGGATAGTTGTTAGCTGCCATGTGGGTGCTGGGATCTGAAACCAGGTCTTCTGCAAGAACAACCAGTGTTCTTAACCGCTGAGCCATCTCTCTATCCCCCCAAGGTAAAAGCCTTAATTTGCTCTCCTACCTTCTACCCTTCCCATGCCCCAGACCTGCCCGAGACATCAAGACAGAAATGAGCCATGTGAGGAAAGGCCACTGCAGACAGGCCCCAGGAACATGGGTGTGCAGCAGTGGAGCTGTGCGGGGCAGGGTGTGTTCTTCATTCTCTTGGTGGTGAGGCCTCTGGGGCCGAGGCCTGGTCCTTCTGGGAGCTGCACACCACTCACATCCTTCAGCACATTTCTTTCTGCTACGAGTGGCTGAGTGGATTCTGTTGCTTGCAACTGAGAATTCTGCTGATGATTCTTGTGCAGTGTGTGTGTGTGTGTGTGTGCGCGCGCGCGCACGCGCATAGCAGGTGCAGGTACACATGTGTGCATGGGGACACCAAAGGACAACCTCGGGTGTCATTCCCCAGGTGCCATCCATCTCTTTTCTTAGAGACAGGCCCTCTCGTTGGCCTGGAGTTCACTCACTAAGCTAGACTAGCTGGCCAGAAAGTCCCAGGGATCTGCCTGTCTCACCTCCCCAGCACTGGGATCACAAGCACGTACCACCATGCCTGGCTTTTTCACATGGGTGCTAGGGAATGAACTTGGGTCCTCATGCTTATACAGCAGGTTTCTATCGACTGAACCATCTCCCCAACTCAAGTTCCTCTTCATTGAGACTGCCTTTCACCATCTTCTTTAAAACTCATTGAACTGAGAAGGGCAGATGGCAAATCAGTCTTAAAAGAAATCACAGCTTGGTCCCTTGAATTCTGGACTCTCAGACAGACTGTTGCCATTGAATTGCATGCTTTGAGTGCAGCCAGCTACTTTGCTGAGCAGATGGGAAACCCTGTCTGCTCTTGACAAGAAGCTGGGTCCCCAAACACACCCTCCGTCCTGGTTTGCTATTCAAAATTCAGCTGCTTTTAAGGTTCCAGTTTTTGATTATTTCTATTTTCAGAAGATGGGATCTCTCAGCTGGGTTCTTGAAATAACAGAAGGTTTTCCATGTTTTGGTACAAAAGAAATCCATTTGTTTCAGGCACTATGACAGATAGTGCCTAAACATTGAATAATATTTTGATGTTGGTCTCTGAGAGACAGCTGGCCCTTGGCAGCACCTGTTCCATCTGTGCTTGGGGCCAGGGAGTCATTTATAGAGCACCATCACATGCTAAGCATAGGGCCAAGAGCTTATAAAAGAGACTGTCATGAAGCTTCCAAGTCTTTATGGAGTGCCTTCTTGATGGCAGGCTTATCTTCATAGAAGAAGGAGCTAGGACAGTGACAGTAGGTTTATATTCTACAGAGGGAAGGCTCCAATCAACAGACAAACCCACAGCCAGAATGGCAGGTCGTGACCAGCTCGGTACAGAGCATAACCATGGCCTGCGTTATCCCTGCAGAAATGGGCCCAGCCTCTCCATGCTGAGCGTTCCAGGGTAAAAACAAGCTTTCTGCTCTCAGTCAGGGTCATGACATCTAACATGCCTCATAGTTGATCTGCTAAGAAGCAACATGAGGGGCTGCAGAGACGGCTTAGCGGTTAAGAGCACCAGCTGTTCTTGCAGAAGACCTGGGTTCAATTCGCAGCACCCACTTGGCAGTTAACCATCTGTAACTCCAGTTCTAGGGAAATCCAATGATCTTCTGACCTCTATGGGCACCTCATGACATGAATGCACTTACATACATGTAGGCAATATATTCATACACAGAAAATAAAAATAATAAATAAAACATTTTTAAAAGGCAGCATAATATTAGAAATGGACATTCAGGCATCAGAAATGAGGATGATGACCTAGATCTTCAAGATTAGTGTGACACAGCCATGATCCTTCTGTGTGGATGTTGTGCAGTGCCTATCAGGGGCCAGCCCTCTCATCCATGGGCAATCTTGATCTATCAGAGCCCTTCTGAGAATATGGGGTAGAATGGGCTGGGTACCAAGATGTGCCACCCACAGGTCATTGATGTCCCCAGGAACCTAGAGTTTCTGCAGCTTCAGGGCTCTGTGGAGTTCAGGGTTCAGGTCTGTGCTCCCCACTTACCCAAGGGTGGTGGTATTTCTTGGTATGTTCCAGCTTCTGGATGGAGAATCTCTTACAAGTAAAGTGGGTAAATTCTCTTCCTAGGAAAGGGAAAAGTTGTTATTTGGTGCTTGGCCACTAAATGCAAGACTGTAGCACAGGAACTTTGAGACACACCCAGCTGGAAGCACTCCAGTATCCACAAGGGCAGAACCAGAACTGGCCCTAGGCAAACGAAGGTCTCTGCTCCCTCTACCTGTGAGCGACTTGGGTACATTACTTCACCTCTCTGATCCTGTCAAAAAGCATGAATATCTGGTTGGAGAGATGGCCCAGTGATTAAGAGCAAGTATTTTCTTCTAAAGGACCTGAGTTTGATTCCTAGTACCCACATTAGGTGGCTCACAATTGCCTGTAACTCCAGTGCCAGGGGATCCAATACCTCTGGACTCCTTGGGTACCCACACTTGTTCACATACACAGACACACATACATACACATAATTAAAAATAAAAGAAATCCTAGCCGGGCATAGTGGCACATGCCTTTAGTCCCAGTACTCGGGAGGCAGAGGCAGGGGGATCTCTGTGACTTCAAGGTCACCCTGGTCTACAAAGTGAGTTCCAAGCCAGCCAGAGCTACAGGGAAACCCTGTCTCAAAAAGACCAAAATAAATAAATAAAACAAAATAAAGCCTTTAAAAATATTTTTATGGTGACATACACCTTTAATCTCAGCACTCAGGAGGCAGAGGCAGGCAGATCTACCTATCAAGTTCATCAAATTCCAGGTCAGCTGCGGCTACCTATCAAGTTCATCATATTCCAGGTCAGCTGGGGCTACAGGGAGACCCTGTCTCAAAAAGAAAAAAAAATTTAAAGCACAAATACCACATACCAGGCAGAGCTGATGCTAGCCAAAGAAAAATATCTCTAGAGGCACATGAGCAGGGCTCAGTACACATGGAAATAAAACAAAAAAACAAAACACAACACATGGTACTTCAAAAGAAAACCCACAACTGGAAACCTAAAAATTGAAATGAGTAAGTATCAGATAAACTATTTCGTTTGTTTTTTGTTTTGTTTTGTTTTGTTTTTCAGACAGCGTTTCACTATGTAGCCCAGACCAGTCTTAAACTTGTGTTGCTTGAGACAGTGTCTCATTATATAGCCCTGGCTGGCCTGGAATGCTCTACGTAGACCAGGCTGGCCTCCAAATTGAAGCAATTCTCCTGTCTCACCCTCCCAAGTGCTAGGATTGGAGGCATGTTCCAGGAAGACTGGCTAAATAAAATATTTAAAAGTAAAATCTAAAAATAAATAAATAAAATAAAATCCGGGACTGGGGATATCATACAGTGTTAGAGTACAGACTTAGCATGTGCAAGGCTCTGGGTTTAAGCCCCAGGACCACCAAAAAATAAGAAAAGTCCTCAGTCTTATAAACTGTTAAATTTAAGATTCTTTTCTAAAAAATTACTGAACATGGTGGGAATAAAGACAATTTTAAAACTGGTTTCTTTTTTTTTTTTTTCTACTTTGAAACAAATCCCTCTATGTGTCTGCTAATCGCTAGGAAGCACATCTATCGAGTAAATGTCCAGAACAGTGATAGCTGGCAAAGTGTGGCCCCAACAAAGTGGTGTCATCTAGTTTCCAGACAGTTGCTGCAGCCTACTTTGTGCCAAAAGGTGCAGGGAGGCTCTTCTCTGGAGCCCCAAAGTAGGATACCTCCAGCTGTGCCTTGCTTATAGGCCTTTGGGACCTTGGTCAGCCACAGCATCTGACCATTGAATCTCAACAGCTACCACACCTCTGGTCCTCCCTTCACCTGCCTGAAACACCAGCCTTCAAGCCTGGTATGGAGGCTTCGTATTGCCTGTCAGGGGCTGGCCTGCCTGCCGTTCCCCATGCAGCCCTCTGCGCCCTGCCTCCACTCACGGGAGGTGTAATCCACTGTGCTATGACTAAATTGCCTACACAGCCCCTGGATGGGAAGGCGGGGAAGGGCTTGCCTCTGCCTGAAGGGAGGAATTCTGACTCACAGGGCTCCTGACATGACTGGTGAGTGAAATAAAAAAGCTGGTGATAGGGAAATTGCTCCTCTGAACTTCCTTATCTGTGATGTGCATTTAGTGTGTCCTTCAGTGGGTTGTCATGAGGATCAAACAATGGACAGAGGGCCCAGCATGTTCCAGACACAGATAGACTCCTACTATCTAGCTTTCCCTATTCTACAGAACACACAGACCAGAGTCTAGAGCATACAGACATAGAGTACACCATACTGACTAGATGCAGTATAGAACAGGGCCAACAGTGTTCAGGAAGGCACACAGACTACAGTAGGGTGGATGTGTTTGTTCTGTTTGCTCTCCGTTCTGAGGGTAGATCTCAGGGCCTTGCACATGCTAGGCTAGCATCCTGCCAACTGAGCTGCATCCCAGCCCTTCTACTACAGAGCATAAAATTCCACATGCCGACTACACTGCGTGTACTTGAACTTCAGTCGTAACATTAATCATTTTTTGGCTAGTTTGAGAGTCTGAGAGAACCTGGTAAGGATGTCAGTGCTCTGGTATTTCTGCTTTAGTCACATAGTGGCTGGGTGTGGTGGGAGTAGAGGAGACAGGGTCATAGCACATGCTTACCCTTTGTGAGTTGCCTCCTCTGTAACATGAATTCGTCTTGCCAGAACCTCTCTGGATCCAGTTCTGAGTAGTCCCAAGTGTTATAGCTCTGTGGGCAAGGATACGTCCCTAAGAGAAGCCAAGAGTGGTGATAGATACTTCCACCAATGATACAGGAGCAGGATAAGGGAGACAGAGGCCTCGAGCCTCCTACTGCTTCCCAAGGAGCCTGGGGTCCAGTACCAGCCTTGCCCCATACTGGCCTGGGGCTTTGTACAAGTCACTTCTTCTCTAGAGGGCTTTGGTTTCTTCGCCTAAAGAATGAGGACAGTGCTGCTTGTCTTGCTGTCTGGTGGTTGGTTGGGTGTGAGGGTCAGATCACATAGCTCCATGACTGTGGCACCTGCTAACGTGAAGATGATATGGTTCTTTACTCTCTTCCCTGTTTCCTCTGTTCTTGTTGGACCATGAGCTCCCCGGGCACAGGGGCTGGGCAGCCATCTCTGTCTCTGGGGACTCCTACTGGACCTGGCATGTAGTAAATATGTGCTCAGCAGAGGCTTCTTCAACACCATGTTACACAAAGGTCAGTGCAAGAAAAATGCTCTCCCTTTGCATTTGATGGAGATGCTTCCAAAGGGTATTGGGAGAAATCTGAGCCGCCATGTAGTGCCCCTGCCTCCACTGAACAATGCAAGTGGACAGGAGGCTATTTCTGGGCATGAGTTGGACAGAAATGGGAACAAGAAGGAGCAGCAGGAAGAGGGTCAGAAAATGGTAGACAGGTTGCCACTATGATCAAAGATCTAGCTTTGAAGAGAGTCAACCTTGAGTCCAATACCTGACACCCATTTGTTTGCTCCTGAACCTTGACCCTGCATGTTTAGAGGGCTAATTGGGCTGTAAAGAAGAGTTCACACAGCAGGCCTGAGGCTGTTGGCCTTAGAAAGGCCTATAAGGCTAGATTTAGCTGGTTCCTTACACAGACATAAAACTATTTCTAAAGAGTGTGTTCACTATACTTGGGCTGCCTGTACACAATGTAGCTTGGCTGAAACCCGCTTTCCTGGAACTATGATACCTGATAAAAGTGGCTTCACGGTGACCCAATGAAAGCCTTGGCCACTGAATGTCTGATGAGCTTCTCTTGGGCAGAAATATTACATGCAAGTAGCTATATCACCCTGACAGAAGGATGAGCAGGCTCTGTGTGACTCCTTGTGGGAGGGAGGGAACCAGCACAAGGGAGGGGGTACATGGATCCTCCACAGCCTGCCTCTTCCCTGCACTGATCCAGCTGTGCATCCTTACTGCACCACTGTAAGAAAGCTTAGCCATGGCAATAACCAAGCTGAGATGGGCATGTTCTAATAAAGGAAATGTAAAAGGTGCCTGTTTAGTACTGTATCTATTCCATAGGACCCTCACAATAAATAGCAGCTTTTAATGACCTCAGAAAGGCTCTAGACTGAGACAGGGAAATGGTGTGAGGACTGAAGTGCAATTGGGAAAGCCAGTGTGGGGCTGGCACTGCATGGGCTGGAGGACACAAAAACACATCAAGCAACCTGTCTCAGGACTGTTTCCAAGAAAGCAGGAAAACTGAGACTCTACAACTCAATTCTACCTGGCCTCCCCCCTTCCTCCTCCCCTTCTTCCTCCTCTTTTGCCCTCCTCTTTTTCCTTCTTCCTCCTCCTCCTCTTCTCCTCTTCTTCTACTTCCTCTTCCTTTTCTTCCCTGGTTTTCTGAGACAGGACCTCTGTAGCCCTAGCTGGCCTAACACTTCACACATAACCCAGGCTGGCCTCAAACTCACAGCGATCCTTCTACCTCAGTTTCTCAAGTGCTGGGATTACAGGTATGCATCACCATGGCCAGCTTGAACTCTCTCTTTAATATTTGGTTGATTTTAGTTAGTTTTTTAAGGCAGGGTCTTGTCATGTAGTCCAGGCTGGCCTCTAACTCACAAAACTCCTGCCATAGCCTCTCAAATTCTGGGATTACAGGTGTGTAACACTAAGCTCAGACTCTCAAATGTTAAGGAAAGAAAAGGGAAGACTGCCTTGATGAAGAGGTGCTATGGCAACTAAGAACACACCCGGCCCCTGGTAGGAAACATTTTACCCAAACTTCTTTCCTGAGTAGGAAAAAATTCCCTCCTCACTCACCTGCAATCCACAGGGTCATGGTGTTACAGATTTCTGACTTGAATTCGTGTGTGTTGAACCAGGACTGTGGGAAGCAGCAGCAGAAGCTGGTATACAGGGCTTTGCTCAGAAGTGAAGGCAACTTCTGGGGGTGGGGGAAGCAGAGGCAAGCATCATTCTCCACATCTCTACTCCCAGACAAGAAGTCTGGCTTCAGGAAGCTACGACATCAAATTCCTTCCCAACACTAGGCTGCCTTCCTTTCTGTCTTGGGCTGCATGTCCATCTCCAGGCATCACTGAGGATGCATCTCAGCACCATGCTGAGCTCAGCCAGCAGCCTCCACCCTCCCTGCAGCAGTTTATTGCTCAGTGCCTCTGCACTATGCCCAGAGCACAGTCAAGGAGATCACAAGATATCTGGACAGTATATATAACATGTGAATCTCCATATTACTATCCTCCCAAATTTGTTTTGTTTAAGACGAGGTCTTACTCTGTAGCCCAGGAACTCATGGCAATCCTCCTGCTTCAGTCTCCTGAGTGCTGGGATTACAGGTGTGGGCCACCACATCGGCTGGGGCTCTCCTCTACTCTTCTCCCCTTTCTTTCCTCTCCTCTTCTCTCCTTTCCTCTCTTCCCTTCTCTCCCTTGCCCTCTCTTCTTACGATATTATAGAGTGAACCTACGGCCTCAGGCACAGTAGGCAAGCACTCTACTCCTGAGCCACATTCCCAGCCTCAAGGATACTGAACTATTACTTTAATTTGCATTTTAGTTTGTTCTTAACCTTTTTTCCTACCCATACTCCTTCCTTGGTCAATTTTTTATGCATGTACTTTATCCAAGGGTCTATGAGAGGTTTAATTTTTCTTACTGATTTTATGAGTTCTTTATGTCATGTAACATGACATACTACCAGGACTTTTGTATAGTTTGTCATTTGTCTCTTAACATTATATGTAGCAGTTTTAAAAAGTATCTTATTAATGGGTAGGTATGGAGACATGTGCTTGGAGACCGAGGCAGGAGGATGGAGAGTTTGAGGCTAGCCTGGGCTACATAACCAGTATGAGGCCAGCTTGAGCTATACAGTGAGATCCTGTTTCACACACAATAAATAATGTGTATGTATACATGCATGTGTGTACACAGTTAAATCTATCAGTCTTTTCCTTTATAGCTTTTTTTCCCTGTCATGATTACAAAGTCCTTCCTCAACCACAAATCACTTAGGTATTCACTTACATTTCTTCTAGCAAACTCTTAGTTCAGATATGCATGCACACGAAAGGTGTACACGTATGTTCACACTTTTCTTTTTTTTTGTTGTTTTTTGGTTTTTTTGAGACAAGATCTCCCTGTAGCCCTAGCTGTCCTGGAACTCACTATGTAGACCAGGCTGGCCTTGAATTCCCAGAGATCCACCTGCCTCTGCCTCCCAAGTGCTGGGATTAAAGGCGTGCACCACCACACCTGGCTGAAATTTTTTTTCACACTTTTCATTTTAACATTACAAGCTTATGTAAGTGTTGTAGAAGCATGAAAGAAAAAAGTAAAGTCTTATAACCTCACTTCCCAAAGATAATCATAGCTAAGAGCTTGGCAAATATTTTTCAGATTTTTTTCTGTTCATAGGCACATATATGTGCATACACACACAGAGTTGTGTTATCACTTCATGATGAGGATATGTTCTGAGCAATGCATCGTTAAGTGATTTCATCACTGTATGAACAATACAGAGTATACTTACTGTGATAGCCCTGTCATCTCTAGGCAATATAACCTCATGGGGCCACTGCCAAATATGTAACCCGCACTGACTAAATTGTTTGCTATGCAGTATGTGCCTGCTCTATACATACATTTTTCTTGGTCTTTTTGAGACAGGGTCTCTCTGTAGCCCCAGCTGTCCTGGAACTCACTATGTAGACCAGGCTGGCCTTGAACTCACAGAAATCCGCCTGCCTCTGCCTCCCGAGTGCTGGGATTAAAGGTGTGCACCACCATGCCTGACTATCTATACATATATTTTTAAACCTTGAGTGGTATAGCTTGCTGTTTTTGAGTCAGCATATTATTACATCTTCTCCAGTAAGAATGTTTGACACCACCATAATTTTTTTTGCAAGGGCTGCATTATAAGCCAGTGCACAGATATGTCACACTTGCTAACAATTCCTTTATGGAAAGCCTGCTCAGGGCCTTCTCTTGTCAACGGAGGTGTTTTCTAAGCAGGTGACACTTACTTTTATGAGTGCCTCTTCATAGTGGGACCTCGGTGTATTGAGCAACAGGGAGGCATAATGCAGAGCTATCCGGTCGAATAGCTTGTTCTGGATCTCCTTGTTTGGCTGCCAGGAAGAGAGATTGGTGGAGAATTACTAGAGTCCCCACTGCAGCAGCCAAGTGACTGCAATACTTTTTTGTTTGGTATTTGTTTTATGAGGCAGGGCCTCACTAATATAACCCTAGACTGACTGTGAACGTACACTACCACACACCTGGCATGGGGCTGGGATTCTTCAAGCATCACTCATATCAAAAATCTTACTCTCAGGGGCTGGAGAGATGGTTTAGTAGTTAAGAGCACTGGCTGCTCTTACAAGAGGACCCGGGCTCAATTCCCAGCACCCACATGGCAGCTAATGGCTATCCATAGCTCTAGTTCCAGGAGAATTTGATGCCCTCTTCTGACCTCCACAGGGTTTTCACAATGTGAGTGCACTTTTATGTATGCAGGAAATATACTCATACACATAAAAAATAATAAAAATTTTAAAAAATTTAAAAAGAATCTTATTCTCTAGAGATTTAACCTCTTACATTTGAAGAAGCAGTCTGCTTATTTGCTGAACACATTCATAAAGCATGTGTGGTGTACTAATGAAGGGAAACCCTTAACTCTGGGCCAGGAGGTCCCAAGTTCTCTCTCTGGAGCAATGGCTCAGCAGTTAAGAGTATATACTGCTTTTCCAAAGCCAGGAGTGGTGGTGCAAGCCTTTAATCCCAGCACTCGGGAGGCAGAGGCAGGCAGATCTCTGTGAGCTACATAGTGAATTTCAGGCCAGCTGGAGTTATAGGGAGACCCTGTCTCAAAAAAAAAAAAAAAAAAAAAAAAAAAAAAACCAAGAAAGTATATACTGTTTTTCCAGAGGACCTGAGTACAGGCCAGTCCTGCTCCTGCCACCTATCAGGGAATAGCTCCTCAAGGTCAGAGGAGCTGCAGGGCATTGGGTCTGAATAGGGACGTGACAGGTGACAGGTGAGTCTTCAGGGCTGATCCACAGGATCAGAGGGGCTTGGTGCTCATGTTAAAGAGATAGGAATTTGAGAGAAACATTCAGATTTACATTTACGTGGTACCTTTCATGAAATATCCACCAAAAGCTATCCAGCCATATGGCTTTGGGAGAAGGAGACGAGAGAAACTTCTCTAATTCTCTATCAGAACAGTAAGACTTGAAAAGAAATGAAATTCACATTATTATTGTGGTTACTGTTAGTATTGTGTTGTTACTGCTGTTGTTTGACAGGGTCTCACTATGTAGCCCAGGCTAGCCTGGAACTCCTGATCCTCCTGGGATTACAGGTACGCACTGCTTGCCATCTTTTTTTTTCTTTTAAATTTCCCAGAAGCCATATTCAGATTCCTAATAATCTTCACTCAAATTCTGACTTTCCTCCTGTGTTCAGTGGTTTCTACTGCTGTCAAACACACCACAACCCTGCCAGGCATCTGTGGAATCCACCCAGGGGCTGGAGAGATGGTTCAGCAGTTAAGAGCATACACTGCTTTTCCAGAGGACCTGAGTGCAGTCCCCAGCACCCATAGCAGGAGACTCACAACCACCTTTTACTCCAGCTCCAGGAGATCCGATGCCCTTTTCTGGCCTCCATGGGCACCTGAACACACATGACATATGCACATACACATAAATAAAACTAAAAATAGAAAAACAAATCTTTTAAAATTTTTTGTTGGTTTTTCCCTGTTTCTTTTTTTATTTTTATAAAGTCCTCTGGGCTGAGGGTACAGAGTAGTTGCCTGGTATATATGTGCAAGTCCTGAATTCAATCCCCAGCACTGAAAAAAAAAGTTCAGCCCCGTAACCTCAGTGAGTCCTCAGGATTTGCACAGCCCTATGCTATGTAACTATACTTTCTCTTAACCTGACAAGAACTTTTGAGCACACATTATTATCACAGGCTAGGAAACTAAGGCCTCACAGTTTAGGAAACGGAGGACCACAGAGCTGAAGGCACTGGCCTAAGTAATATGGCCAGCAAATGGCAGATCTGGGACTGGAACCCATAACTCTAGACAGGGGCAGCCCAGCTCTCCAGCACAGCTTCCTCCAGCCCCCCGCCCCCCCGACAGTGACCAATGCAAACCTATGTGACTATTATACAAATGCAAAGGACTGGGCCATAAGATTTTACTGAATGAGTAATTTAAAAATTCAAACAATCACTCATGAGCTCAAAGGGGCAGAAAATTAGCTTTTGTTGCCCCTGCCATAATATAGCAGGTACATTTACTAAATGCTGCCTGTGTGTCTGCCCTGGCCCACACGCCAGCCTCGTCTATGCCTGCTCCTGGGCCATGCCATCTTCATCTTGTGTCTTCCCCGGACCATCTTATGCCTGTCCCTGGACCACACACCATCCTCATCTCACTTAGATGGGACTGACTCAAGCTCAGTCAGGCATCAGGGAGGGGTCAGGAAGTCAGGGGTGGGGGGGCGGATAGAGACACAGGCAGATGGCTGTGATGGGGGCAGCTATCGGAGGTGCAGGCTAACATAGTTCCAGGAATGATGGGTGACTAGATAAAGGCTAAGGCTAAGGGGACAACGATCAGAGCCACTTGGGGACAGAGATTATGCAATCATAAAAGAAGAGTCCTATCTATATGGCTGCCAAGAGTGCCCTGAATACCTTCCCCTTGCAGAGATGGTTATCACCCATCCTTGGCACTGCCTCACATAAGCACATTTGCAGCATCTATGGGCCTCACTGTTCTTTCTTAAACTCTGTGCACAGCTCTCAAGGTGCCTAGCCCAATCCTAGTTCCAGTCTACCTCTCTGTTCTGTTTCCTGTCTGTTGCCATGTAAACAAACAGCCACCACCTCACACTCCCACTGCCCCCCACCATGATGTACTGAGATCTATCCGAAACCATGAGCCAAAATAAATCTTTCCTTCCTTAAATTGTTTCTGTCAGGTATTTCATCACAGCAGTAAGAGCCCTCACATTCCAATCACTTCCCCAAAGTCCCATATCTGAACTTTGTATTGGGGACCAAACTTTTGACAAATGAACTTTGCTGGGGAACACTTCACATCCAAACCATAACAGTTCTGACTGAGAAGGAAAAAACTTTATGCTAACTGATGTGCAGTGGAGCAGCCAACAATAGAGCATGCACATAATCCAAACAGACATGTATCTATGAACATACATGCTCCAATTTTTTTCTAATAGGATATACAATCAAAACACACCGAGGGGGTTGGAGAGTTGGCTCAGTGGTTAAGAGCATTGGTTGCTCTTGCAGAGGACCCAAGATCGATTCCCAGCACCCATATGACAACCAGCAACCATCTATATAACTCCAGTTCCAGGGGAATCTGATGTCCTCTTCTGACCTCTGGTGCATTGCATGACATGGGTGTACTTACATACATGCAGGCAATACACTCATACACATAAAATAAAAAATAATAAATAAAATTTTTCTTTCTTTTTTTTTTGAGACAGGGTCTCCTTGTAGCCCCAGCTGGCCTGGAACTCACTATGTAGACCAGACTGGCCTTGAACTCACAGAGATCTGCCCGTCTCTGCCTCCAGAGTGCTGGAATTAAAGGCGTGCGCCACCACACCTGGCAAATAAAATATATTTAAAACACACACACATACACACAAGCACACGCGTGTGCGCACACTGGAAGAGCCAGCAAGATGGCTCAATGGGTAAAGGCACTTGCTGCCAATCCTGATGACTTGAGTTTGATCCCCAGGACCCACATGGTAGAAGGAGAGAACCAAACCCTACAAAGTGTCCTCTGACCTCCAAACACACACCATAGCATGCCTGCCCCCCATCAATCAATAAAATGCAATAATTGTAATTTAAACACCCCACACACACACCCATGCACACATGCTCGCAGGAAACCACAGCTCTGAGAGAAGGCATCTAGGCTCTGGAATGAACCTGGGCTGGGGTTCCCATCTCAGCTTAGTCCCTTGGGGTATGTGGCCTCAGGTGAATTGCTCAGCTGCAGATGGGGGCAGCTGTCTGCCCCTGGTGTTGCAGTTACGGCAGGGCTGGCCCACGGTAGGGCCTGATGCCTGTTCTCTTCCTTACCTTGCCACTAAAGGGGTTTCTCTCAGCTCGGACCACATTGCCCACCATGTCACAGAAGTCCACCCCATTGGGAAGATTGTTGGGTTTAGTGGCATTAAACGGGGGGTGCTGGTGTAGTTCTGCCAGAAGATTCTTATCTGCTGTTTTCTGAAGCAAAAAAGCACAATATGAAAATGGGCTTCATCATTTTGAAATTTTAAAACAATAAGACATCCTCCCCCTTCTATCATAAAAGACAGTATAAGGGTTTTGTAAATAGAGAAAATAAGGGCCTTCATGATCCCAGCACCCCTCACCAAACACCTGCTTACATTAGCTCTATTTTCCTTTGAAGGATTTGAGTACATATTTCCATATATACATGGACATTTCCATATATATACACATATATAAACATATATATCTATGCATATGCTGTTTTAATCATCTTTCTTTTTCTCACTCTTTTTTCTTTGAGACAAGGTCACCCTGTAGCCCCAACTGGCCTGGAACGCCCTATGTAGACCAGGCTGGCCTCGAACTCACAGAGATCTGCCTTCCTCTGCCTTTGGAGTGTTGCTGGGGTTAAAGCCATGTGCCATCACACCTAACCCTCACTCATATACTTTCATGTCCTACCTTATCCGCCTAACTTTACTTTAGGCTTTTTTATATAGCTACACCATTTTCAAAATTACCATTTAAAGTGCTATCATTTGACTATTTGCTGATTACTGCCAATAAATATGACTGTCATTAATAACTTGGAGCATATAGTCCTCCTCCCCTTTGGATCATTTATTTCACATAATTTTCTTAAAATGGGCTGGGTGTGGTGGGCACACCTTTAATCTCAGCACTTGGGAGGCAGAGGCAGGTGGATCTCTGTGAGTTCAAGGCCAGCCTGGTCTACATAGTGAGTTCCAGGACAGATGGGGCTACAGGGAGACCCTGTCTCAAAAAGACCAAAAAAAATAGTAATATTGGATCAAAGGATGTAACTGTCTCAATATATACCATTACTTAATTATCATTAGACTGATTTTTATAAGCAAACTAAAACATGACCAGAACTTAATGAAGAAAAGTAGAGAGGACTAATTACCATCAGCACAAGGCACCTAGCCTAATCTACATAATGAGTTCCAGGCCAGCTGGAGCTACAAAGAGACCCTGTCTGAAAAGAACCAGGAAAACGTGGTGCCTGAATAGTGATTTTGATGGAAAGCCCAGAGTTCCCTTTTTTTAAGATCTTACAATACTTTGTTAATTCTAGAATCTTTCCTGTCATCCTTGAAAGGACAGAGCTGCTCCCAGCCTTAGAAACAGGAGTGTTGTAGCCCTGTGCTTGTTACCTTTAGATTTCAGGTGTCACACTTAGAAACAGCGCCCGCAGGTCTCGTGCTAATGATGCCACGCACAGCAGACTGTGCACACAACAAATTCCCATGACGCTACTCCACATACTAGCCAGACTGGTTATTGTGATCACTGCAGACACCCCAGGAAGCCGAGATTCCAGATGATTTCTGGGGTCATGCAGCATGTCAGGGGAAGGGCATGGCTTTGTGGTTAGTCTTCTGACCTGAGGTCAGCCCTCCTCCCTTGCTGTTGAGCCCTATCTCACAGTTAAGATTCTCTACTGCAGGCTGGGGGGTGTGGCTTATGGGTAGAATGCTTGCCTAGCATGCACAAAGACCAGGGTTCCATCCTCAGGATAGCAAAAATCTTAACTTTTTTTCTTTTAATTCTCTCTATGTAACTCTTACTGGCACCAAGTTTTCCTTACCTAGGAATAAAACCTATTCTGTGCATGGTACAGACCAGTGGGAAAGCAAGGGGATACTGGGCCCTTACCCTCTTTGACAGGTCCAATTTGGCATTCTGGAGCTCTGTGCCTTTGCAGGGGATCTGCTTTTCTTCCTTTCTCTTGACTGAGAGTGAATGAGGAGAAATTAGAAGGGAGGGCTGGTGGTTCCACCTGGTGCTGGTGCAAGCAGACTGCAGGTCTCACTAGATTCCAAAGGTGTCCCTGGCTTAGGAAGGTCCTTACCCTATCTGGTTAGAAGCAGCAAGGAATAGCAGACACACTGTGCACATCAGGCATGTTGCCCTCCCCAGCCTGTCTCTCCTCTATAAAATATATTTAATGGCACCAATTGCCTTGGCAGGGCATTGTGAATATTTTACAAAGGGACAGGATCAAAGGCGCCTGGTATGATGTGTCACCTAGCAGGTGGTCCCTCACCATCCTTCCCCTCCCTCCTTCCTTGCCCAAAGTTAAATCTGATGCAAGGTTACTACAGAACGGGGCAAATACCCTCATGTAGAACTCTGGATTCCTACTCAATTGCATTTCAAAGATGAAAAATGATCACTGACACTACACCTAAAGGGTATAGTGTTTGCTTAGCATGTGCAAGGCCTTGGGTTCCATCCTGAGTGCCAAAAAACAAAGCACCTTAAAAATATATCAACAATAAAAACTCAAACCCCACAAAACTATCAGAGTTATGAGAAAGGGTCTTTGCCTCTGTCTCCTGGGATGCCGCGAGTTTTCTCTTTTAAAGCGTCTTCCTCCAACTCATATTCCTCAATTGCCTTCAAAAACCAGAAGAAGAAAAATGGGGCATTAGAAATTGATGCAAATCCAGAGGAGAGGACAGGGATCAGGGACTGGGCCTTTTTACTCATGGCCATTCAGAATTCTGAGGCTAGCACTTTCTCTCTTCCCCCTGGGCAGTAGGGACCATGGCCATCAGTATCACTGACATGGTTCCACTGTGTGTCATCAATACATCTTCCATACTAGCATCATTGCATGCTGCCTGACCTCCTGGCTATATCCCTACTTCTGAGGAGCACAGGATTCAGAGCAGAGTTTTGACTATAGCCCATGGGTTACAAATTCAATCTCTCTGTAAGAAGGTTATAACAATATCTACCTTCCAGGGTCCCTATAAGGATCCAAGAGAAAGTATTTAGTAAATTTAAAACACCAGCACAGAACTGTCAGACAGGAATGCTCACTAGGGGCTAACATTGTTACCAATCAGCATACCCCTGACCTCTCAACAGAGTCTACTGTTGATCTCTGATGCCAACTCCTCCATTAGAAAAAGAAAGAAAAATGAGTGTCAAATGACCCTCAAAATTGTACTGTTTGACCGCCAAGGAGCCAGCATTGCACTTGGATAAAGTTAACTACACAGGTGCAGGTGCATCTCCAGGGTGTGGGAATGACTTTTCTGGAATGCTTTCTGTTACAAATATGGGCATGCTTCTTCTTTTATAAAACAAACAGGGCATGGAGAGATGGTTCAGCAGTTAAGAACACTTGCTCATATCGCAGAAGACCCAGGTTCAGTTCCCAGCATCCATATGGTGGCTGTCTGTAACTCCAGTTCTAGGGGATCTGATGCCCTCTTCTGGCCTCTGAAGGCATTGCACACACATGGTGCACTTACATACACGCAGGCAAAACACTCAAACACACAAAATAAAAATTAAAAAAAAAAAACAAAAACAAGGGGGAGCTGTGGAAATAACTTTTAACCTAACTTTGTAAGCAAAGTAAATCTTACAGTTTGAGATCATTTAACACTGTCTCAATATCTTGTCTATAATGTACACAAGATTAGTAGGCCTTGGGTTCCTCTTGTACCTAAATATATAATAGCTTTAACCCCTCATGACCCATCCTTGCTCTTGACCCAGAATAATGTGTGTGTCTGTGTATGTTGTGAGAAGATCAAGTGCTGCAAGCAGAGTATTCATCAAAAACCGCAAATCATCCCATTTGTGTTGTAAACAATATGTAGGATTAGGTTGATAGCATCTGTTTATAGTTGTGTGCAGTTCTAGGTCAGTAGGAGTCAGAAAGGGGAAATCCCCTGGTAAGACAAGTTTTGCTTTTTCTTCCCCATTTCATGCTAGATATCTGGCTCCAACAATGAGAGCACAAGGCCTTATGTTTGAAAGAACAGTTCCAAGAGCCCAGTTCCTGGAGAAGTCTGAAGGAACAAGTTTTCAGAACAGATCAGGCCCCACTCTTGGTTTTAATGGATGTTAAGAATCAGGCTGTTTTCTTTTTCAGGCATCACTGTAATGTGGCAAAGCACCTCTGCATTGGGGCAGTATGGATGCCAGAAAAATCTGGCAGTGGCTGTTGAGATGGTAGCAGTGATCTCACAGTCCAGCCTGGTACATAAAAGTGATAGCAGACTATGGCAAAGAAAGTGGACAGAACAGCCCAGGGACAGGTTTTGCTGGCATCAGGTAGTCAGCATTGACAGGTCTGATCAGCTGCCTGGGCAAAAGAGCAGGGAGGACTGGCAAGAGGTCATTTCTTTCATGTCACGTGGTGACCCAAGGTTGTTGCTAAGAACCCTGTCCTAGTTCTTACTGCCAGTCAAGAACACTGCAGGAAGATAGCAAGATGGCTCAACAGATAAAAGCACCTGCTGCCAACTTGACAACCTGAGTTCAATCCCCAGAATCAACATGATGGAAGAAGAGAACCAACTCCTTCAAATTGTCCTACACACACACATGCACGCACGCACACACGCACCCACGCACGCACGCACACATGCAAAATACATGTAAAAGAAAAATTTTTAAAGAACATTGCGGAGTTGCATCTATGCTTGGCAACAGCCTAGCAGATCTTGTTTCAGGAGAGTCTTCTCCTGGCTTTAAAAATTATTTTAAGCATGGTGGCAGATGCCTTTAGTGCCTTTAGGCAGAGGCAGGAAGATCTCTATGAGTTCGAGGCCAGCCTGGTCTACATAGTGAGTTCCAGGCTAGCTGAGGCTACTGGGAAACCCTGTCTCAAAAAGACTGACTTAGTTTGTTCTTCATTGCTGTGACAAAACACTCTGACCAATACCAACTTGGGGAGGAAAGGGTTTATTTGTCTTACAACTCCCAGGTCGCAGTTCATCAGGGAGCCCAAGGTAGGAACTCAGGGCAGGAACCTGGAGGCAGGAGCTGGAGCACAGGCCATGGAGGAACGCTGCTTACAGGCTTGCTCTCTTGGCCCCTGCTCAGCCTGCTTTCTTATGCAACACAGGCCCACCTGCCCAGGGGTGGCACCACCCACAGTGGGCTGGGCCCTCCCACATCACTCATCAAGAAGATGCCCTTCAGACATGGCCACAGGCCAGTCCAATAGAGGCAATTTCCTGATTGAGGCTCCCTCAACCCAGGTGTGTCAAGTTGACACTAAAGCTATCCAGCACAAAGACCAAAAAAAAAAAATTATTTTAAAATTACATGTGGGGAGAGGGAAAATGTCATTAATGAAGTTTATTGTTTTGTATAACTTAAATAATAAAAAACTAAAAACCACAGTAGTAAATACATTACTTTAAAAGAGCCAAACATTATTACATAGGTAATATAATGTGGAGTAAAAGTTTATACACATATAGCCCCTCTACCCTGTCTCTTGCAGCGGGAACCTGTCATGTGTTTGCTACAGATCTGTCCAGACTTCCTTCCTAGATCTCATCAGCACACACTGCCCCTGCTGTGAGCCAGGTGCTCTTTTAACCCTTGAGCTAAGATCAAACATGAGTTACAACTCATCTGACCCTCAAGACAACCCTGAGCCCTGAGTTAGATGTGTTGTTGTCAGACCTTTTACAGGAAGCTGAGACTCACTTCCTGTCAGAATTCAAGAGAATGGTGGAGCAGGAATTTAGACCCTAACAAGTCTTACCTGGAGAGCCTGCACTCCTAGTGCTACACCCCCTATGAACACATGTGCAGGGAGAGTGTTCCTGAGCCCTTGCAGAATCATGGGGGGGGGAACTGCGCACTCGTTAGTCACAGCTTCATTCCAACCTCAATTCAGGGGTGGGGTTGGGACTGATGTTATGACCCCAAATGGAGTCCCCTAAATTGTAATAGCCAAAATAACTTCATTTTGTGTAAAGCAGCCACTTTAAACTTCAAAAGCTAGAAAAACAGCCAGCTTCAAGGTTAAGTGCTTGAACTTAGTTGCTTCCCCTTAGAAGAGTGCTTTCTTTGGAGTAGCTGACCTTGGTTTTCCCAGACACAGAAGCCGCACTTAATCAGAAAGTGCCTTACTGTCAAGGTCTCTACACCTCTGTTACTAACACAAGCTTGCTTTGGCTTCTGTAGTTTGCTTATCTGCTAACTTGTGTGATGAAATTCCTATGGTATTTGTGGGGTTTGCCTTTAAAAGTTAGTTTCGCCCTCCCCATGGGGCCATGGGTCCTAATCTGACTAACGGACCACGGACAGCTATAGCCCTAATAAATCTGACCAACTAAAATTTGAATTGAGGGGCCGGAGAGATGACTCAGTGGTTTAAGAACACTGGTTGTTCTTTCAGAAGACCTGGATTTGAATCCCAGCATCCACATGGCAGCATTCTTAACTCCAGTTCCAGGGGAATCTGAAGCCCTCTTCTGACCTCCACAACACTGTACAACATGGGTGCACTCACTTACATGGAGGCAATACACTCAAACACATAAAATAAAATAATAAATAAAATATTTTTTAAAATAATAAATAAATTATAAAAAAAATTTGAATTGAGTCTGGTGGTCTCTTTCCCAGTGATTTCAAACTCCCTAACACCGATGCTAGTGATCTCCTCCTGCATGCGTAAAGAATAAAAAGCTTCACTTTAAATAAAAAGCAATTTTGGGGGCTGGAGAGATAATGCAGCAGTTAAGAACAGAGGCTGTTCTTGCATAAGACCCGGGTTTGAATCCCAGCACCCACATGGCAGCTAACAACTGTCCTTAACTCCAGTTCCAGAGGATCTGATGGCCTCTCTGTCTTCCTCAGGCACTGCAAGACACGGGTGCACTTACTTACATGCAGGCAATACAGGCATACACATAAAATAAAAATAATAAAATATTTTTTAAAAAAAGCAATTTGGGGCCAACAAGACAGATAACCAGGTGAAGCCACCTGTCACCAAGCCTGATGACCCGAGTTTGATCCCTGGTACCCAAATGTTGGAAGAGAGAACCAACTCCCACAAGTTTCCCTCTGATCTCCACAGGTGCACCATAGCACATGCACACACATACACACAAATCTTTTTTTAATATTTTATTATTTATTTTATGTGTATGATGTACTGCCTGCATGTATGTGAGTGCACCCATGTCATGCAATGCCGTGGAGGTCAGAAGAGGGCTTCGAAGTCCCCTGGAACTGGAGTTAAGGATGGTTCATAGCTGCCATGTGGGTGCTGGGAATTGAACCTGGGTCCTCTGCAAAAGCAGTCAGTGCTCTTAACCACTGAGCCATCTCTCCAGCCCACACACAAATCTTTTAAAAGAAATTTAACTGTATCTATCCCACTGAAAACATTTAGTTCTAGGGCTCTATCCTGCAGAATGTGCAACTGAGTCCTAAGGCACATGCACAGAAACATTCACATGTTCACTGTGCTCAAATACCACTGGAAAAATTTACCATTAGAAAATTAATTATGCTACATTCAACCTTTAGATTATTATGTGGCCACTAAAAGAACTGGGAAGGCCAAGGGGCTGGAGAGATGGCTCAGCGGCTAAGAACACAGACTGTTCTTGCAGAAGACCTGGGTTGGAATCCCTGCACCCACATGGCAACTAACAACTACCTGCAGCTCCAGTTCCAGGGAATCCAACAGCCTCTTCTGACCTCCACAGGCACTGCACAACATGGGTGCACTTACCTACATGCAGGCAATACACAGATACACATAAAATAAAAATAATAGATAAAATAAAAAATAGAAAAAAAAAGAACTGGGTAGGCCAACAGTACTCACTGAAAAATCCCTGAGATGTATTTATGATAAAAATAAATGAATGAATGAATATAAATAAAACAAAAGTAGGTTGTAAACCATATTTATGGCATGATCTTGCTTATATTTTTTAATAAAGATAGAAAATAATCCAAAAGAATCTAGCACATGTGCAAATAACCTGTAAAAGCTCCAGAAGGATCCACGGTGTAGGACTAGAAATGGCTACTTTGAGGGAGGGAAATGGGCTATGAGAAGGCTGGATTTCACTTTCACTTGTAGTTTGAATATCTTAGAATATGCATGTATTACTTGGCTACTTAAAAATTTTAATGCAATAAAATACACAAGAACTGAATGTCCTCAGAAGTCAACATTGGAAAATTTGGGGTGAACAAGGAGCTAAAACTTGTGAAGGCAAATCATGAGGTCAGGAGTGAAATGACAGGAAGCACAAAGCTGGGTTAGGCAGACCAAAAAGCCAGAGGGTACTGATGGAAGAGGGGGGCGGGGAAGAAACCATCACCACCAAGAAAGCATCCTAAGCCCAGAACTCCCAGGGATTCAGAACTGCACAATCGAAGGTTTGGGCTATTGTCTAGCCTGAGTCCCTCTCATTATGTCTGGAGACCCGTCTACTAACAAATGAGTGAAACAGGGAAATAAATGAAGGACATGTAGGAACCATGGGGAGCAGCAGGAACAGTGACAAACTGGAAAGCTCCTGCCCTGTCAAGCGAGCTACTACTGCTTTCTGGTTCCAGTTGGTGACTGAGGTGTAGACTGCAGGCCCATGTGAGCCTGCTTGGGCTGGCAGACAGAAAGCAATGAAAGAAAGCATGGGAAGCCTGGAGCTGGGCCCAGATTGCCAGTGAGTGATCTCTACTGCAGATGGAAATCCTGCAGGTTGGAGCATGAACTTGCCCCGACACCCAGGACTTCCCAAAGTCAGTCCCCATCATAATCCTCCTCACAGCCTCCAGGTGCAGGAGGAGGCCTGGGAGCTCACTGAGCAGCTGTGCAGTTGACTAAAGGATATACCTGGTATCACTGAGGAGCAGGGCCTTTGCAGTGATGTCCACATGTATATGTGTGTGTGTACGCGTGTGTATGAATGTGCACGTGTGTATATGTTGAGAATTACTGCAGGGTTTGTTTCAGATTTTAATAAAAATGAACCAAAACCCCTAGAATTCTGGTTTCAAGGCCATCATGTAAAGAACACAGTCACCACTCTGTCCTAGCAAGTAAAAGGCTGAACACACTAAAAAATCAACAATTAATAGCCAGGCGTGGTGGCACACACCTTTAATCTCAGCACTCGGGAGGCAGAGGCAGGTGGATCTCTGTAAGTTCAAGGCCAGCCTGGTCTACATAGTGAGTTTCAGGAAAGCTGGGGCTACAGGGAGACCCTGTCTCAAAAAGACCAAAAAAAAGAAAAAAAAAATCAACAATTCTTAGAGATGTTAGAGAAATGAAGCCATAGAGTAAGAGTGAACAGAGAGGCAGATACAGGGAATCACAACTCCCCAGAACAAAATACAGGGGCAGAGGCCACAGGAAAATCTATTCTCTTTGAAGAGATGCTGGAGGCTCAGCACGGATGAAGACCCTGTCTCAAAAAGACCAAAAAAAAGAAAAAAAAAATCAACAATTCTTAGAGATGTTAGAGAAATGAAGCCATAGAGTAAGAGTGAACAGAGAGGCAGATACAGGGAATCACAACTCCCCAGAACAAAATACAGGGGCAGAGGCCACAGGAAAATCTATTCTCTTTGAAGAGATGCTGGAGGCTCAGCACGGATGACTCAGGGAGGTAAAAAATTCAGGGGCCACAAAAAAAAAAAACAACTCAGGATGAGTCACAATCCTATATGTAAAATGTAACCCTATAAAACCTGTAGATGGTAATGTAAAAGAAAATCTGCACAACCTTGTGATTGCCAGTGATTTTTGAGATATGACACCAAAGGCGCAACTCATGAGAGGCAGAACTGATAAGTCAGATTTCATAAAATATCAATGTCTGTTCTTCCAAACACACTGTCAAAACAATGAAATGCAAGCCACAGATTGGGATAAAATATTTGCAAAAAAGCATATCCAATAAGATTTATCCAAATATACAAAGAGTTCTTCAAACTGAACAATAATAACCCAACTTTTAAAATGGGCCTAAAACCTTAACAGATAACCTCTTGTCTAGTTTCTTCCTGTTGCTGGGATAAAAATCTCAGATAAAAGCAACTTAAGGGAGAAAGGGTTTATTTCAGCTCACAGTTCAATGTACAGTCCATCATGCCAGGAATCAAGGCAGCAGGGGCTGGAAGCAGCTGCTCGCCTTGTACTCTCAATCAGAAGGCTGAGATTGATGACCACACACCCAGTTCCCCTAGTCCATGTACAATCTAAGACCCCAACCAATAAGTGCCATCCACCATGGGGGGGCTTCCTACTTCAATTAGCAGTCCAGACAACCCCCAACCGGCATGGCCAGAGGCCCATCTCCCAGGTGATTCTCTAGCAAGTTGACCATTAACAAACACTAACTATCACTTCTCATCAAAGACACAGAGGTGGTAAATAAACAATGAGAAGATACATCCTGTGTTGTCAGAGCAATGCTTGAAGACAGCACTACACCCCTATCAGAGTGGTCAACTTCAGACCCTGACACCACCAGGTGTTGGTGAGGATGCAAAGTTAAAGAATTCCATATGTAATGGAAAGACATCAACACTCTGGAAAGGCTCTGATGGATTCTTACAAATCTAAACACACTCTTCCACACAGTCCAACAACTATACTCCTTGGTATTTACCCAAAGAAGCTGAAAAATTATATCGATGCCTTTATTTTTAGTTACCAAAACATGGAAGCAACCAAGATGCCTTTGAGAAGGCAAGTGGATAACCAAACTGTGGTATATCCAGACAATGGAGTATAGCAAATGCTCAAAAGGAGCTTTTCAGCCATGAAAACAGAGGAGGAACCTTCAATGCTAATACTTGTGAAAGACACAGTGAAAAAGCCCGCTGTATGATTCCAACTCCATGACATTCTGCAAGAGGTCAAACTATGGAGATGCTAAGCAGATCAGTGGTGGTCAGGGGTTATGGGATAAGGAGAGGTCAACGGGCAGAGCGCAGAGGAGCTGGAGTATCGAGGCTATGCTGTATGGCACTGCAGAGGTAGATATGTGTCACTATATATTATCCAAACCTGGAATGTACATCAGCAAGAAGAAACCCTATGGTAAATTCTGGAGGTCAGGGGCAATTCCTTGTCCATGTAGGTTTGTTGATTATAACAATCAGGGTGTGAGAAGGTTTCCGGGGAGGCTGTGCACGTGTGGGGGTGGTTTATATAATATGATTTTTCACTGTGAACTTCAAACTTCTGTTAGAAAACAGACTGTTGGGGCCAAAGAGAGGTGGCTCAGAAGTTAAGAGCACGTGCTGCTCTTCCAGAGGACCTGAGTTTCGTTCCCAGCACCAATGTTGGGTGGCACACAACCACTTGTAACTTCAGCTCCAGGGAATCTGACACCCTCTTCTGGCCTCTGAGGGCACCCAGAAGCACATGGCATTACATACACACACATTTTTTTTAAGTCTAAATTTTTTTTTTTGGTCTTTTTTGAGACAGGGTCTCCCTGTTGCCCCAGCTATCCTGGAACTCACTATGTAGACCAGGCTGGCCTTGAACTCAGAGATCTGCCTGCCTCTGCCTCCTGAGTGCTGGGATTAAAGGCGTGCGCCACCACACCTGGCCCTTAAGTCTAATTTTTAAAATAAACTTTGAAATCTCAATTGTTCAAACATGCTTTTGGATAAACAGAGAGCCCCCAATGACTCTCCCCAGGACCCCACCTTTCAGAAGGCCTTGCCTCAGCTCCAGTCCTATGACTCACCAGGGTGCTGGTCCACAGGCTGGGGCCCAGGTCTATTTCAGTAATCTTCTGGTTCACCTGGCGCAGAGAGCCAATAAGGAATGCTGGGAGGCAATTTGCTAAGGAAACTCTTCAGAAGGTAGTCCCACACAGCAGAAGGGGCTCCTCGGGTCTGGAGGGCAGCCCAGGCTGCACCACCTCTCTGCAGTCATTCCCTTTCCAAGCACTCATACAACTTTTATCTTGTTTAAAGTGAGTTACTTTGTAAATTATGTGTGAAAGTTGATGAGCTGAGTGTGAAAGCTCATATCTGAAATCCTAGTACTTAAGGAGCTGAAACAGGACGACTGATATAAGTTTGAAGCCAGCCTGGGCTACATAATAAGCTCTGGGCTAGCCTGGACTCAAGAAAATGAACAACGCCCCCCCCCCAAAAAAAAAAAACATGAAGGAAAAGGAGAAGGAAACGAGCCATCCATCACACTACCACCCTAACAACTTTTAGAATCTTGGAAAAGCGCCTTCTCATTTTTGAGTTTTTTGTTTTTGTTGATTTGTTTTCGTCTTTTTGAGACAGGGTCTTCCTGTAGTTCCAGCTGGCCTGGAACTAAGTAGACCAGGCTGGCAATGAATTCAGAGATCCTCCTGCCTCTGCCTCCCAAGTGCTAGGACTAAAGTTGTGAGCCACCATGCCTGACTTGAGTTTCTGACAGGGGAGGAGAGGTTCTTACTATATGGTAATCCTCCTGCCTCAGCCTTCTAAGTAGCTGGGATTACAGGCTTGTGCTCCTGAGCCCAGCCTGCCTTCCAGCACTTCTTACAGGCATACTTTCTTGCATAGTTACCATCTCAGCAGATACCTGTCCCACCTCTTTGACTTCTCTTCCATTAACATCATCAGAACTTGCCCAATGGCTCATCTTCACAGCATCATTTTGATGACATCACACTGACCCATTTAAAGCACTCACCTTACTGTGTGCTCCTGCTGCTTGGCTGTTGGTCAAGCCATTCACAGTCTCTTGCAATAACAATGCTGTGATGTGCGTGGCTGTGTAGAGAACTGGTTCAATTTAGGGCTATTTCTTTTTTTTAAAGATTTATTTTACTTCACGTGTGTTTGTGCCTGAGTGTATATATGCGTACCACATGGCATGCAAGTGCCTGCCGAAGCCAGAAGAGAGTGTCAGGTCCCCTGGAGCTGGAGTAACAACCTTCTGTGAACAGCCTGATGTGGGTCCTCCGCAAGAACAGTACACGCACACTCCTGACAGCTGAGCCATTCCTCCAGTCCCTAGAATATTTCTTTAAGAGAGATTTCCAGGTGGGATGACTAGGCCAAAGGGCACCTCGCCACTGTTCTCTCAGTTGAACCTCTCACTGAATCTGCTCAGTTCTATGTTATTTCTTGTTACCTTCTCAGCTTCTGCATTTTGGGCCTTAGCCTCAGGATCTCCTAGGACACAGCCTCTGGAAAAGCCCCATAACCCTGTCACTCCACTCCTTCCCCATAAAGTGGGGCTCGACATCCCTTTCATTACCCATAAGTGTTCTTGGCAAGGAGAAGGTACTTGGAAGTGAAGACACCAAGAGAGAGACGTGGCATACTACAGAAAGTGAAATGATTAGACAAGATGGGTGTGGAATTAAGACAGGGAATTAGAAAGAGACCCAGAAAAGTGAACCCTCCCAGACTCACAGGGGATCACACACAGCAGTGTCTTAAGAAGGGTTTGAAGAGGTGTGGAAGGTAAGGAGGGCAGAGTAGAACATGTAGTTTGCTGGTGGCAGCATGGCTTGAAGGCATGGAATGGAAAAGCCTGGGATTATTTATAAACTGAGAGGGCTATTTGCTGGATGGGCTCTAAGGACCTCCAGAGATGAGGTTCTGTGATTCAGAGATACAGTACAGAAGTGAGATGAGGATCAAAGACAGGACTGGAGTAGGGGATAGATGCAGGCAGAGCCTGGATGATGCCAGAGGGGCAAACCCGTCCAGGGCAGAAGGGCTGGCAGATGTGGAAAGGTGAGGTCAACCGGAGTAAACAACAAGGAAGTGCATCATCAAGCGTTCACTTGCCTGGGGACAGGGGCTGGCCCATGACTTCCCAGTTACTATCAGGTCTATAAGCATAATCCTTTGGAAGGTACAAGGTAAGAGGAGCCAACAAAAGATGAACTTTTCCCGTTTTTCATCCTTTCAACAAACAAATCCTGGACATCTTCCTTTGGGATTCCTTCTGTTTAAAAAAACAGACCCCAAGTCAAACAGTCCAAAGCATCATGTTCCTTTCAAAGCTAGATAGGACTTAAGTACTTGGGGAAAATGAACATAGTATACAGAATGGGCTACAAGGAGGGACATATCAGAGCTATAGTCACTCTACAGTTCAGTGCAAGGCTCATTTAGGTGCACTTGGTCTGACTACTGGTGACAGCACCAGAAGGATACTGGGTGGATGTTCCTCCAGCTCCTTCCTCATGGCACTCTCCAGTGCCTTCCGTGCATTGAAAGAGACCACCAGGTGCTCGTTCAGTGGTACCAACGGCAAGGCAGTGATGTTGATGACGTCCATCTTCTTGACAGACTCCATTGTTTAATTTCTTGTAAACTGGCAGACAAAAAATTTCCTCACTTTCCCCACTCCTGCTCTTTATTCAGTCAGCCTGCTGGGAAGGACAGACAGCACAGAACCATCTGAGAAAACACAAGAGAAAACACAACACGCTGAGCAAGGACTGAGGTGCATGGCCCACGATGAAGTGAGGAAGAAGGGTTTTTGTTTTGGAACCCTGTTACTCCCTTTCCAAAGTGATGCAAAATATTTATTTCTAGTTATTTATTGTATGTAGTAGTTTCACACCCCCATCAATAGCCTTGTAGTAACCATATCCTTTAAAACTGTGAATAACATTATCAAAATAACCTTAACCTTTAAAATATCACACAAATTTTTTGTATATGTGATGTATGTGCATGTGTGTGGTCCATACATGCACATGTAGAAGCCAGAGGAAGACACTGGGTGTTTTCTTCTATCACTCACCACCTTATTTTTTAAATTTTTTACTTATTTATTTAATGTGTATGTTTTGCCTGCATGTATTAAGTGCACCCACCCTGCAATGCCCACAGAGGTCAGAAGAGGGCATTGAATCCCCAGGAACTGAAGTTACAGTAGGTTGTTAGCCACCATGTGGGTGATGGGAATTGAACCCAGGTCCTCTGTAAGAGCAGCCAGTGCTCTTAACTGCTGAGCCATCTCTCCAGCCCCATCACTACTTTATTTTTTGAGAGAATTTCTCACTCAACCTGAAGCTCACCTTTTGGCTAGGCTAGCTGGTCAGAGAGCTCCTAGGTTATGCCTGTCTCTGCTCCCTCCCAAATGCTGGGTTAACAGGCCACTTGACGCCATGCCTGGTTTTTCTAGGGGTGCTGGGAATTTGAAATCAGGTTTGCTTGTGTTCACAGCAAGCTCTCTTACCCAATAAATCATCTCCCCAGTTCCCAAATTTCCTATTACAATCCACTCTGGCTATTAAGATTGCAAAAATAACATATTGCCTATATCCAAATATTTGACAGCTGTACTCAAAAAAGGGAAAGGGGTTGCTGGAGAGATGATTCAGCAGTTAAGAGCACTGGTTGCTCTTGCAGAAGGCTGGGGTTTGACTACCAGCACCCACATGATGGCTAACAACCATCTGTAACTCCAGTTTCAGAGTATCTGACGCCCTCTTCTGACATCCGCAGGCATTGTGCAAGGGTGTACTTACACACATGTGAGCAATACACTCATACATATAAAATAAAAATAATAAAATATTTTTTAGCCAGGCATGGTGGCGCACACCTTTAATCCCAGCACTCAGGAGGCAGAGGCAGGTGGATCTCTGTGAGTACAAGGTCAGCCTGGTCCACATAGTGAGTTCCAGGACAGCTGGGGCTACAGGGAGACCCTGTCTTAAAAAGATGGAAAAAAAAAAAAGGAAAATAATAATAATAAAAAATATTTTTAAGTGGAGCTTTAAAAAATGGGAAAGGGGGAAAACAGAAAAAGATTACACAAGCAGTCCAAAATATAAAATACTCCAAATTGGTAGCATTAAATTTAATCAGTAGTCACTTTGTCATTGATAAATAATGGCTTGAGTACAGGGGCACATACCCTAGGGCTGGTAACAGAAGCTGTTGGGCACACATCTCCTCCTCCCTGCATGTGTGTGTGTGTGTGTGTGTGTGTGTGTGTGTGTGTGTGTTAAAAATCCCACCACAGAAATTTCTATTAAGCAGGTAACAGGAAAGAAAAACAAAGACTAAGCAAGCCAATTGCTGTCTCTGGAATATGAGTATTCCCTTTCTGGATGAAGTAGTCAACATAAGGAAAAGACCAATTTCGTTTGTATATTTCCTAATCACAAAGCTGAGTTCACTGTGTCTGACTGACTGTGGGCATTTAAAGCTCACTTCAAGCATCATCATTCTCATCCTCTGTGATTTGTTGGTGTGTCTGAGTGCTTGAGCTCTTTGTAAGTCTTTCCCAAAGGCAAACTGGCTGGAACTGCGGCTCTGCAGGAAGCCACCCTTCTATGCCATTTCTTCTCAGCTGCTCTGCCTTCATGTGGGACTCTGAGCTTACCCTCAGTGAGAGGAAGGCATGTATCATTTTCAGGCTCTTCCTGCCACCCCATTGCTTTCAATAACCTGTGTTCAGCTTCTAGAGAGCATGAGAGACCTTCCATGAAGGGGAAAGGCCATTCTGAAGACAGGCATCCTCTCTTTCTTATTCAGGTATGCTGTTGTCCCCAAAATCTTCTGGCTTGTCACAATCTCTGTTTTCTGAGAAGTCGCCATTCCAGTCACCCTCTAGTCTTCAGGATTTATTCTTTCTATCTGTAGCTTGGCAAGTCGACCTGTTCAGGTGAGAGGGGCTGAGGCAGAGGGGTAGTGCTAGAGGGACTCTGGGAGAGCTTTAAACTTCACAGGATTGGTTAAAGCAGACCCACTGCTAGAGGAAAGGGACTGTGATTTGTGCTTGATTCTGTTAGCTTCCCATGCATTGGGCTTAGAAGGAGATGGCATAGGGTGAGGAAGCAGCTTGCTATAGACACTTGGGACCATGGTTGACACTGTCCTCATTGGCCTGGTGGGACCCTGGTGAGGTGAGTGCAGCAAGAAGACAGCAGCAGGACAGCAGGATCCTCTTTGAAAATCCTGCTGGCTGGCCTCTCAGGGGGGTGCTTCCATCTTCTTCCCTGGAGTCAGCTTTTCCTGAAAAGTACAGTGTTTCTGCAAATGGAAGCTGCCATTCCAGTGATGATGGCTCCCCTGCCACCTCCATGTTAGCTTATTCCATCATGACCTTGGGAAGAGCCAAGCCAGCCAGCCAGGTCTCCTATGGTTGTAACATATGCTCCCCGAGAGACACCAGAGTCTGCAAAACCATGGCAGAATGGGGTGGAGGGTGCTGCTATCCATAGAGGTTCACTGTAATTCCCTGCAGATTTCATATGAATGGATTTTGAAGGCTTTAGAAAAATCTATTCAGTCTAAGCTATTTTAACAAGAATCTGACTTACCTAATGATTTAATAAGAGAATTTGAGAACTGGGCTCTTTGAACCACATGCAATCTTTTTTTTTTTTTTTTTTTTTTTTTTTTTTTTTTTTTTGATAAGAAAAAGCCACCAGGGGAACTGTTTCAACAATGGCTTATTCCAAACCTACCTTCTCTGTGAGATTGGTACTCTCCACGATTTTCAAAGGTGTAGGCCACTTACTTGTCTGTGATGCCGAGAAATTTAGCTGACCAGGAACAAAGTCATGTTATGCCAGTATCTTTTCAGCAAGACAAGGCATCCAGCCACTTGGCCGGGATCCTAGAATGCCTGCCAGTTTTTCTAGTCTTTCCTGAGGTTTACTTGGTAAAAGGGTGCTTAAGACCCAGTGAGATGGCTCAGAGGTTTAAGGCATTTGCTGTCAAGCCTGACAACCTGTGTTTGATCCTAGAACTCACGTGGTGGAAAACAAGAACTAACTCCCAGAAGTTATCCCCAGACCTCCACAAGTGTGCCATGGCATACAGATCTCCCTCCCCTACACAAAAGACATGTAATGAATTTAAGGGGAAAGAAGAATGCTTAAGTAGCCTGGCCAGCAGCATGCTTTATGAGGAAGCAGAAAGAAGCCCGGCTCTGTGTGGCTCGTTCTCTTGTCCCCCTCAATTGCTCATCCTAAACTACCTCGTTCTGGAACCACTTCTAAGAGGAGAAAGGAAAAGAGGGCAGTGGGAAAAGAGACAATGAGGGCCGCTTGAATCTACTGATCTTTCACTCCCTCCTTCATATGTGCTTAATCACTGGAACTCCAGTTCCAGCCAGCTACAGGGGGCACTACTCCAGAGGCCCGCAGGGGTGTGCCTGGCAGGGCACCATCTGTGGTGCATCCCGGGCAATGCAGGCATCACGCTCTCTCCCCAGTGCAAGGTGGATTTCTGGCTGAACCTGCACCTTTGCTAGGACTGAAGGCAGGACCCTCATTCTTTTTTTTTTCAAATGTGTATGAGTGTATTGCCTGCATATTTATAGGTGCACCTGGGTCTGCAATACTCTCAGAGGCCAGAAGAGGGAATCGGATCCCCAGATCTGGAGTTACAGAGGGCTGTTTACCACATGTGGGTGCTGAGAACTGAAACTGGGTCCTCTGCAATAGCAGCCAGTGCTCTTAACCACTGAGCCATCTCTCCAGCCCTACTTGCCTTTTAAAAATGTGTTTGTGTTATATGCATGTGGTGCAGGTGTGTGCACCCATGTGGGTGCATGTGGGAAGCCAGAGGATGATGTCAGAATGTCTTTCCTTGATCACTTCTCACATTTGTTGAGACAGTTTCTCACGGAACCTGTAGATCTCCATTTCAGCCTGAATGGCTGGCTATCGAGTCCCTGGATCCTCTCAGAACTGGGGTTACAGGTACACACTTTCAAGACCAGCTTTTTTTAATTTTTATTATTTTTATTTTATGTGTATGTGTATGTAGGTAAGTGCACCCATGTCATGCAATGCTGGAGGAGGTCAGAAGAGGCTATTGGCCCTGGAACTGGAGTAACAGACAGTTGTTAGCTGCCATGTGGGTGCTGGGATTTGAACCCAGGTCTTCTGCAAGAACAACCAGTGTTCTTAACCTCTGAGCCATCTCTCCAGCCCCAAGACCAGCTTCTTATTTTCTTTAGATCAGCTTTTTTACATGGGTTCTTGGGATCCAAACTCAGGTTCTCATGTTTGCACAGCAACCACTGAGTCAATTCCTGAGACCTCTTCCCTCCTACCCCCAGTGCTGGGTATTCCTTTTTCCATTTTGTTTTTGTTTTTTTCTGAGATAGGTAGGCCAGGTTGGCTTTGATCTCATGAGATCCTCCTGCCTCTGCCTTCTGAGTGCTGGGATTAAAAACATTGCCACCACATTCAGCTATACTTGGGTGTGTGATTCCCCTGGAACTGGAGTTACAGTCATTAGCTGCCATGTGAGTGCTGGGAACTGAACCTGGGCCCTCTGCAAGACCACCCAGTGCTCTTAATGGCTGAGCCATCTCTCCAGCCCAAAATTATCATTTATTTGTGTGTGTGGTTGAGCTGTCTCCAGCCCACATTTATCATTTATTTATTTATTTATTTATTTATTTATTTATTTATTTATGTGTGTGTGTGCACGTGCACGTGAGCGTGCCATGGTACATGTAAAGGTCAAGAAACAACTAACTTTTGGGAGTCAGATCCCTTCTTCCACCATGTGGGTGCCAAGGATTGAACTCAGGTTGTCAAGCTTGGCAGTAAGTGCCTTTACCCACTGAGCCATCCAAGATGGCTGTCAACAGCCTGTTTTAGTTTTAAAAGTAAAAAGACTAGAGCACTAAAAGGCCCAGAGCTCTGGACCACTCAATAAGTCAGTGTCCAAACTGGAAATGAAATCAAGTCTCTTTGCCTTTCTGGGCCTCAACTGTACAAGCAGATTTGGAATGTGACCCCAGAACTCTAGCTCTCAGGAGTTACAATCTCAGGACACTGGGTTCATCTCCTCAGCATAAGACCTCCAATATATCTAGGGCTTTCTGTTCCCTCTCTGAAAACGGGCCTGTCACCACTCTTCCTCCTTGACTGTGAGCCACTCTGGTCTGACTGTCTCCTGAGTCCAGTCCTATACGATGTGTCCTAACTCCATGCTCAGAGCCTAGTGATACGGGCCCAGTTATAATGAAGCCCAGAGACTTAGGGATAGTCCTCAAGCAGCTCATAATGGAAGGCAAGTGCTAAGGGCAAGCTTCATGGAGAAATTAGCCCAGGATCCCTTTTACCACACTCATTCCCTGCCCTGCTCCCCCAATTCAGTCTTCCGCTCCACTCTCTTCTCCCCAGCTAAGCATCACATAGGCCTGACTTACAGGCCTCGCCTTTTCTTTTCTTTCTTTCTTTTTTTTCTTTTTGGCTTTTTTGAGAAAGGGTCTCCCTGTAGCTCCAGCTGTCCTGGAACTCACTATGTAGACCAGGCTGGCCTTGAACTCACAGAGATCCACCTGCCTCTGCCTGGGATTAAAGGCATGCACCACCACGCCCAATGAGATGGTCTTTTCAAAATAGTTTTATTCCTTACATTGACCAAAGGGCATTTGGAAACACAAATTTGACTCTACAGGGAGACACACATACACGCACACATATTAGAGTACATTAAATTGGGTGGAAGAGTATAGATGGGAAGGGGATCTAAATTTGATAAAAATATACCGTATGAAATTTGCACAAATTCAGTTAAAAAATAAAAATTTTTATTATGGGGGAGGAAGCACACACGCACCTTGGTGCACATGTGGAGATCAGAGGACAACTTATGGAATCAGTTCTCTCCTTTCACTTTTACGTGAGTTCTAGGGATTGAACGCAAGCCTCATCAGGCTTGCACAGCCAGCACTTCTACCCACTGAGCCATCTTGCCAGCCCTGTCATGCAGTGCTCTTGATGTCCCTATGCCTTTGCACTTGAGGCTCAGCCGAGGTGATACATCTTTTGAAAAACCTTCTGGAATTATTCCAGGTCACCACACCATGCCTTATCTACGTAGCCAGAGTTCTACTTTCATCTATTACAGCACTTACCAAACTGAATTGGAAGCTGGATGTGGTGGCACCAGCCTAAAAATCCCAGCACAGCAAGGAGGCTAAGGCAGGAGAATCAAGAATCCAAGGCCAGCCTTAGCTAACAGCCGAACCTTGTGTCAAAAAAGAAAAACTGAACTGGAGCAGCATGCTTCTCTCTCCTCCATTAAGTGAACTGTTCCTTCGGGAACAATCACTCATATTTGAGTAATCATTCAATATTTGGTTTCTTTAGGAATTATCAATACACTTTCTAGTCCAAAGAAGCTATCCATCTTGGACTGTACCAGATCTCAGGAAAGGCTGTCGTAGGCCTAGGTCAGCACTGTTCCTGCCCTCTGCTCCTACTCTGTAACCATACATTCAAAGGGGGGAGAGGTAGGAGGAGGCAGGTGCATTTTAGAGCTTCTTGCTGTCCTCCTACCCATTTCCCAGAACAGCTGGAAAATTACACTGTGTTCTCTGAGACGGCAGGCTTAGGCAACTCTGTCAAGAAGCTTCCAGCTTTAGCCAAACTTTATTACTCACATTTAATGGGAGAAGTAAGTAGCAAGCTTCTTAAGAGAAATGTTTAAAATACACACAGCTCTCTGCTGAATTTTCTCTCATACCATCTAAGACTAAGTATTCTCTAGAATATGGTAAGTTTCTACTGTCATTGTTTGTGGAGGAAAGAGAAAACTTCATTGAAAACCGAGCTATGGCAAGCACTGTGCTGGATGCTGGGGGTGGATGAGTGGGAGATAAGGAACCTTTCCCCTTGGGGTATTCTGGCAGCTGAGACTTGAATATCCTTGCTGAAAGTTAACATTTTACAGCATGTTAAATGCTGAGTGTGGAATCAGATTTCTGTTCACTTGAATTTTCAGTTGTTCAATGACTATTTGACTGAGGACCTCCCACAGGCCAGCAGTGTGTGCCTACTGGGGACAGGATGGTGAGCTAAACCAGAGAGGATCCACTGCCCTAACAGGAATTGCATCTATTGGGGTAGACTTGTAAAATGAAAATAATTACACAATTATGAAATATAATTCATAAAAGTTATGCATATAAAGATGAAGTCTAACTCACTACTGTTTCCAGGGGAGGACACAGGGCTATGTGATGGTGTCCCCCAGGTGATTAGCTCCTCTAAGGGGTGGGGCCTGCCACGGAAGAGGGACTACTGGGGGGGGGGCCTGCTGGGAGCCATCTTGGGAAGGAAGCCACAAGGGGGGTTGGAGGTGGAAAGAGAGATGGCCCTGGCGCTTCACCAGCATGGATGCCAAGAGTGGGCATTTACCAACCTCAGACTAGACTACGGACCCAAGATGCATGTGCAAAAGTTAATGGAGACTATGGCCGCAGCATCTGAGATGGTCAGCTCTGAGCCCCTGCGCAAGAGTGCTTGTCTCTGTGTAAGTTCCCCCATTTACCGCCTCGCTACCTGAGGGCATAAACCATAATAAACTCCCATAAAAACATATTATATGGTTTGTCTGATCATGCAAGAGACCCTGAGAGAACTCTGGCAACAGATGGCATAGTGTGCTTTGGCCTAGTTACAGAAGTCAAGGTGCTGAAGAGCAGGCATGAAATGGTGAAAGGGGAGAGGAAACATTGGCCAAGTGGAGGGCAGCAGGGCTGGAAAGGCGAGAAGAGGTGCTGCCCACCCCACTGGCCAGTAGCTTCACAAGGCAAGAAAGTGTTTAAATGTGGTTAGTATGACTGAAGGTAAATTTTAATAAGAATAAAAAACCAAAGTAGGGTAAATTTTTAAATATTGCTTTTGTTTGATTTTTTTTACATATGGAGTTAAATAAAAGTGTTTAAAATTTGAAATTAATCTGTTTTGATTTCACTTTTAAAAGTGTAGGGGCTTCCAGGCATGGTAGTGCATACCTTTAATCCCAGTACTTGGGAGGCAGAGGCAGGGCAGCTGGATCTCTATGAGATCAAGGCCAGCCTGGTCTACATAGCAAGTTCCAGGCCAGCTGGAGCTACAGGAGACTGTTTAAAAACAAAAACAAAAAATGTGTAGAGTTGTAGTGGCTGAAATCAGGCTTGGTAATCCCAGCACTGGAGAGGCTGAGGCAGGAGGTTGTGAGAAGAAGGACCATTTGAGCTACATAGTGGGACCCTAGCAAAAAGTAAATCTTTAAAAAGGAAAAATGTGCTTTGGGTACCGCTCATTGATGAGCACGTGATTTATGAACACGTGATTGATGAGCATGCACAAAACTCTGAGTTCAATATTGGCCCGATGTGGGGAAAAGCTGTTAAGTTACAAATGTGGCTGGCTTTTCTTTCTGTTGAACAGTGAGTCTGAGGCTAAGACACAGCTGATTTTGGACATGGAACGCTTTCTTATAATGATGTGGTATAAGAGGAGAAAACTGCTTGTGGGTGGAGACTACCCGAGTCCTGTTCCCTTATTGCATGGATGACCTAATATACCCTCCAGGCAGCACAGAAACATCTTTTTGTTTTTTAGTTTACTTTGTGTATGGCATGGCATGTGGAAGCCACTGGACTAGGGCCAGTCAGTTCTCTCCAACTACCATGTGGGGACCTGGGGCTCGAACTCCCAGCACAGGCGCTTGGTGTCAAATGCAACCCCCCCCCCCGCCCCCGCTGAGCCATCTCTCGGGTCCCAGGCAACAGCTCTGCATTTACCAAATGGAGCTACACTGCAGGCGGTACGTGGGGTAGATTCTCCACTTCTCCCCCTGGACCCTGGGGCATGGGGAGGAAACAGGCCAGCAGTAGCCGGTCACCGTCGGTCATTGTCGGTCACTGTCTTACCTGAAAGCTCCGGCGGAATCCGAACGCCCCCCTCAGGGGACCCCGACGAATTTGGGGTAGACGTCGGCACCCGCGGCCCCAGACCACCGGGGAGCAGCGCAATTCGCCGTGTGGCCGGGACGGGAGCGCCGGGGTCAGGACTATTTTACTACTGTGAATCCTGCCGCGCCCCAGGCAACGCAGGACAAGGTCACAGCTCCTTTCCCTCAACAAGGCTACCGCCAGCAGACCGCCTGGCGTGCGATTACCGTGGCGACGGCGGCTGGTCCCTCGGGCCCAAACCAACGTGTCTTGGGGGAGATCCTTATACTAGCCTATGCCACCGAGTCAGTAAGGACTCTAGGAAACGTGCCTCGGCCTCACCCTGGAATATGGAGAGGGGAGAGCCCGCGAGAGCCCCTGAAGCCTCCTCGGAAGGCTTGTTTGCGCGGCACTGTCCCTAGTGGTAGAGTCCGGAGCGGCTGCGCATGCGCGCGATGGCTGGGCGCGCGCGGTGTTGTTGGGTAAGTTGACCGCGGCCTGGGCGGGTCTTTGCTGCTGTGCTGAGGGCTGCAGACCTCCAGGTTCCCGGACTCAGGTAAGTCCCCGTGCGTCGTGGGCAATGAGGCCGGGGTCCCCTCCGAATCCCACCCTCGGGTCTCCCTGCATGGGGGTCGGGGGGAGGCCGGGTGCATTGTGTGTTCCGCAAGTACATCTTTTGGTGAAGATTCGGGACGGTGATTTAACCCATCCTGTGCACGTGAACATCCTGCCCTCCCCTTGGCCCTTGGAGATAAACGTATCTGGATACTTTGTTTCCCTTGAGAGTCCTATGAAAGCCAAAGATGCCTTCTTTACCCTCTTAGAGGGAAAAAGAATGCATTTCAGAGCCTGGTGCAAACTCTAAAGCTTCGCACTATAATTAGTATTACCTGTAGATGGGGACGTGCTTGATCTGCTTCCCAAGGTCGCTGTGAGCATCAAATACCCCAGCATCTTACAAACATGAAAGTGCTCTTAACCTATGAACTGTGTTCTGATATTATTCCCGACTACAAAGAAAGCAGTGAAGGCCCTTGGGGGGGCTAAAATATTCGTCCCCCACTGAAGAGGAACAGCATTGGTGGTAATCCCTTCACTTCCTTGGTCCTGAGCCCTCTCTCCTTGGGGGTTTCACGCAAGACAAGGTTTCCTTGGATTAGTGACAGCTTGTATATCAGGTCCACATTACTGACCCAGAGCCCCAGGATCTCAGCCATAGTTAAAAGTTTACCTGTTGGGATGGAGAGATGGGCTCAGCTGTTAGAGTACATACTGCTCTTGCAGAGGACCTGAGTTCGATGCCCAGCACCCATGTTGGGTGGCTCACAACTGCCTGTAACTCCAGCTCCAGGGGGTCCAATACCTCTGGCTTCCAAAGGTACCAACACTCAAGTGCACATACCCACAGACACATACACATTTTTTTTTTTTTTTTTTTGTCTTTTTGAGATAGGGTCTCCTTGTAGCCTCAGCTAGTGTGGAACTCACTATGTAGACCAGGCTGGCCTTGAACTCACAAAGATCCACCTGCCTCTGCCTCCCAAGTGCCAGGATTAAAGGTGTGTGCCACCATGCCCGGCTTACACATACACATATTTAAAAATCTTTTTTAAAAACTCATGGCTCGGAGCTGGAGAGATGGATCAGAGGTTAACAGCACTGGCTGCTCTTGCAGAGGACCTGGGTTCAATTCTCAGCACCCACATGGCAGCTAACAACCATCTGTAACTCCAGTTCCAGGAGAATCTAATGCCCTCTTCTGCCCTCCCCAGGCATTGCAGGACACAAGTACACTTACACACATGCAGGCAATACACTCATACAATAAAATAAAAATAATAAAAAAAATTTGGGGGGCTCTTTTTGAGACAGGGTCTCCCTATAGCCCCAGCTGTTCTGGAACTCACTATGTAGACTAGGCTGGCCTTGAACTCACAGAGATCTGCCTGTCTCTGCCTCCCGAGTGCTGGGATTAAAGGCGTGCTCCATCATGCCCGGCTTAAATAAAATATTTTTAAAAACTCCTGTCTGGCTGGGCATGATAGTGCGCACCTTTAATCCCAGCACTCAGGAGGCAGACACAGGTAGATCTCTGTGAGGTCAAGGCCAGCCTGGTCTACAATAATGAGTTCCAGGCCAGCACTACTACAGGGAGACCCTGTCTCAAAAATACCAAAAACTCCTGTCTGGCTGTGATGGCTCACGCCTTTAATCCCAGAACTCAGGAGGTAGAGGCTAGCCTGGTCTACATAGAGAGTTCCAGGCCAGCTGGGGCTACAGGGAGACCCTGTCTAAAACAAAACAACAAAATGAAAAACTCATAAAGGGGACTAGGGAGAAGGCTCAGTGGGAAAGAGTGCTTGCTGCACAAGCATGAGGACCTGAATTCAAGTCCTTGACTCCATGTAAAAAGCCTGGCATGTCCCCTGACACCAGTAATCCCAGCACTGTTGGGAGGCAGAGACAGGAGGATTGCCAAGACTTGCTGACTGCCAGACTAGCTCCAGGTTCAGTGAGAGACCCTATCTCAAGGGAATAAGGCAGAGAGTGACGGAGCAGGGCACCTGACATCCTCTGTGGTCTACACACAAACACACACACACACACATATGAAAAGCCTATGAAATCTTATGCTTATGGTTTGTCAACTTGGGCTTTTCTTACCCCTAATTAAAAGATACCTTCCTCCCTTTTCCTTTTCCCCAAACCTGGATGATGCTGGCGAATTTATGATACAGGAAGGTACAGTGTGCTGAAAGCTAACATATGGTGGCAGTGTCGTCGTTGTCAGCTCTGCCATGTGGCTCTCTCCCTTTTCTTAGGACATCTCATCTGTCATAACAGGACAGGTGATGAGACATACGGACCAAGGATGAGGCATTGTTGTCAGTCTGGGAATGATCCGTTTTTTTTTTTAGAATGAAGTATAGGCAGAAGCTGGTTTACCAGTGCTGTTCGTTCACAGGAACAGCAGAGATTGCATTCCTTGCTCTACACTGTCAACTTGGGACAAACTTACCTGTGGTTAATATACACTGTGGAGCCACATAGACTTAAAAATGCTCACTCCTACTCAAGACCTTAGCTTTCTAGGCATCATCTGTCAAATGGAGTGAGTAGGAGGAGCTTGTCAAAGGGTAGTTGTGAGTTAAATGAGATTCTCCATGCTAAAGTATTAGCGTACTGCCTGGCACATGGGAAGCTTCCCACACATGTGTGGAAGCTCCTACCAGGACTGTTAGGACCTCAGGTCTCCCTTCACTGTGCTGTTTTAAAAGGACAACTCTGTTCCCAGAAGTTATTGCGAGGACTAGTAATTGTCCATGGATAGAATACATGGTTTCATGATTTTGGAACAATGACAGAAGGCCACTAATCTGTTTGACCTTTTGTAACCATAGGAGAAGGAAGTGTTGGTGTTTCCTCATCAAATCGGAGATGCCTCTCTTTGGGAGTATATTCAGCCCGAAGAAGACGCCTCCTCGGAAGTCTGCTTCTCTCTCCAACCTGCATTCTGTGAGTTTGGAGACTGGGTCAGCCTGGTGCCCAGCAGGTCATGGGTGGAGAGGCATATTATGGGAGGGCATCCTTTCAGTCATATTTCACTGCTGCTAAAAACATTTTTGAACTGCTGCATGGGAAGTACTGTCAGTGTCAATTTAAGAACTTACTAAGGGGCGGGGAGAGGGCTCAGCAGTTAAGAGCTTGTACTGCTCTCTCAGAGGATCTGAGTTCAGTTCCCAGCACCCATGACAGCTTACAACCACCTTTACCTCAAGCTCCAGGGATTTCCGGTGCCTCTGGCCTCCTTGGGCTCCTGCACTAATATGCACAAAGCCACATACAGATACACATACACATATTTAAAAATAAAATAAATCTTTTTTTTTTAATATTATGTTTATGTGTATGAGTGTATTACCTGAATGTATGTGAGTGCACCCATGTCATGTAATGCCGCAGAGGTCAGAAGAGGCTTCAGATTCCCCTGGAACTCGAGTTAAGGATGGTTCATAGCCACCATGTGGGCGCTGGGAATCAAACCTGGGTCCTCTGCAAGAGCAGTCAGTGCTCTTAACCGCTGAGCCATCTCTCCAGCCCCTAAAATAAATCTTTTTTAAATAGAGCTTAATCTCAGTGGTTAAGAGTACTGGTTGCTCTTGCAGAGGACCCAGGTTCAATTCCTAGCACCCACATGGCGGTTAACAACCATCCATAACTCGAACTCCAGGAGAACCCAACACTCTCTTCTGAGCTACATGGGCATTGCATGTGGAGTGCACTTAACATACATGAAGGCAATGTATGCATACACATAAAATTTTAAAAATTATAATAATAATAAATAACTTTTTTTGTTTTTTTGGTCTTTTTTGAGACAGGGTCTCCCTGTAGCCCCAGCTGGCCTGTAACTATATAAGTCCAGGCTGGCCTCAAACTCAGAGATCTGCCTTCCTCTGCCTCCAAAGTGCTGGAACTAAAGGCGTGCACCACCACACCCAGCAATAAATAAAAATTTTAAGAAAGAGTGTGGTGGTGCATGCCTTTAGTCCCAGCACTCCAGAGCAGAGGCAGGCAGATCTCTGTGAGTTCAAGGCCAGCCTGGTCTACATAGTGAGTTCCAGGTCAGCTGGGGCTACAGGGAGACCCTGTCTCAAAAAGACTAAATAAATAAATAAATAGCCTACTGGGACAGTTAATCTCATTATGATTTTGGTCCCAGGTAATATTGTTCAATTTGACTTCCATTTCATTCCCAAGACTTGGCCAAGAATTTATTTTAGTTATGAAGAATTAAGTTCAGGGGGCTGGAGAGATGGCTCAGAGGTTAAGAGCACTGACTGCTCTTGCAGAGGACCTGGGTTCGATTCCCAGCACCCACATGGCTGCTACAAACTGTCCTTAACTCCAGCATGTCCTGACCTCCGACATGCAGGCAATACACTCATACATATAAAATAAAAAAAATAAATAAAATATATTTTTAAAAAATAAAAAAACGAGCCAAGTAATTGTGGAAGCAAATAAAAGAGATTCATTCAACATGACCACATCCTGTAGGAAGAGGAACAGATTAAGAAGTCCAGTGAGCAACCCTCAGTGGTTAAGAACACTGGTTCTTCTTGCAGAAGACCTGGGTTTGAATCTCAGCATCCACATAGCAATTAACAACTGTCTGTAACTCCAGTCCTAGGGGATCTGACAGCCTCTTCTGACCTTCACGGGCATTGCATGACATGGGTGCACTTACCTACATGCAGGCAATACACGTATACATATAAAATAATTTTTTAAAAATTTTAAAAATTCACTTCTAAAAAAAAAGGAAATCAAGTTCAGGGGCTGGAAAGATGGTTCAGTGGTTAAGAGTGCATACTACTCTTCTAGAGGACCTGAGTTCAGTTTCCAGTGCCCCAGTCACTCACACCTGCCTGTAACTCCAGCTCCAGGGGGATCTAACACCTCTGACCTCTGCAGGCACCTGAATTCACATGTACATAATTAAAGATAAAATCAATAAGTGTTAATAAGAATCAAGTTCATAGCCAGGCATGGTGGCACACGCCTTTAATCCCAGCACTTGGGAGGCAGAAGCAGGTGGATCTCTGTGAGTTCAAGGCCAGCCTGGTCTACATAGTGAGTTCCAGGACAGCTGGAGCTACAGGGAGACCCTGTCTCAAAAAGACCAAAAAAAAAAAAAAAGAGAATCAAGTTCATTCTCAAAGGTGTCACAGAGACAGATGACTTGCTACTGTTAGTGACATTCTAAAGGATAACATTTCTGAAAGAGGTGGTCCAAAAGCATTTGGGAGCAGTAGCAATAGCATTGGAACAAATGACAACCTTCCAAAGCAGTGTAGTGCCCCCCTGAATGCACAGCGCTGCATTTAGAAAATATACAGCAAAGTCATTCCCAGCTATGAGAGGTCTCTTCTATCCTCTACACAAGTACATACAGACCCCATGTACACAGTTTCATCTTTTCTGCTGAATATCTGTGACCAACTACTGGGTCCTTCACCCTACCATACTCCTGTCTACCTTAATCCTGGCCACTGTTCATGGCTGTCACATACCAAGAGGTGATACACCCTGGCTTCTTCGTCCTTTTCCCACAAAACCAATTGTGCAGATTAATCAGGCCTTCGTAGATTGGTGGGTGAGGCAGCAAAACTGTTAGGACTGAGGAAACCCCAGCTTTGAGTCCACTGTCTCCAATCCCCAGTTAAAATCAGAATGGGAAGCAGCCCTGATGTGCCCAGGGCTGAGCATTCTGACATCCCAGTTTTCCATGCCACAGGCCTTGAGCCTCCCTTTCCTCCCTTCAGGCCTGAAAAATGTAAATGCACCTGATGGTCTTCCTGGGATAGCCCCTGTCCTAACCATGAGAGCCCAAGAACAGCAGCATGCTTACATGACATCTGTCTCTGAGTGTGGCTTGAAGCCAGCCCTCCCTGCAGTTTTAGATGCTCACAGGTACTTGTAAGCTGTGGCAGGGGGAGAAAAAGACCAGTGTGGGACATGGGGATATTAACACTTTGTTACAGGATAGCAGCCCATATCTTAGGAGTGGCCTAAGATCATGACATAAAGCCTGTCATGGCTCTGCCCTCTCTGTGCCTTTTGCTTCAGCGACCCAGCCTAATCTGTGCTGTTGTTCCATCTGCCCAAGTCTTCCTGTTCATCAACTCAAGGGCTATTAACTGATAACTTCCTGTGTGTCAGGCAATTTCCCAGGTGCTGGGTATAAAATCTGTTAAAGAGAAGGGAAGGCAGGACTTAGCGGTCCAAGCCTATAATTCCAACTACTTTAGAGGCTGAGACAGGAGGTTTGCAAGATCAAGGCCTACCTGGGGTAACTCAACAAGACCCTCTCCCAAATTTTAAAGTACTAAAAAAAGGGGGAGAAGAGGACATGGGGAGATGGCTCAGTTGATAAAAGTATAAGGACCTAAGATTGTTCCCCAAAACTCACATTTTAAAAAAAGAAAGGGGGAAAAAAAAAAGGGTTTATTTATTTATTTATTTATTTATTTATTTATTTATTTATTTATTTATTTATTTATTTATTTATTTATTTATTTATTTATTTATTTATTTATTTATTTATTTATTTATTTATTTATTTATTTATTTATTTATTTATTTATTTATTTATTTATTTATTTATTTATTTATTTATTTATTTATTTATTTATTTATTTATTTATTTATTTATTTATTTATTTATTTATTTATTTATTTATTTATTTTATTTGGGTGGGGAGTCTTTTTGAGACAGGGTCTCCCTGTAGCCCTAGCTGGCCTGGATTGTCTATGGAGACCAGGCTGGCCTTGAACTCACAGAGATCCGCCTGCCTCTGCCTCCTGAGTGCTGGGATTAAAGGCATGTGCCACCATGCCCCGCACGATTTATTATTTTATGTATATGAGTGTTTTACCTGCATGTATGTATGTGCCCTACGTGAGTGCCTGGTGCCCACGGAGGGCAAAGGAGGACATCAGGCGTCCTGCTCTGTCACTCTCTGCCTTATTCTCTTGAGACAAGGACTTACGCTAACCTGGAACTTGCTGTATTTGTCTAGGCCTGGGGATCAGCAAACCCCAGTGATCCTCCTGTCTCCACCTCCAACAGCACTAGGATTATAGGCATACATGGCCATGCCTGGCTCTTTATGTGGGTGCTGGGAATCCAAACTCAAGTCCTCATGTTTGCACAGCTCTTAATCACTGAGCCATCTCCCTATTTAAGTGTTTGTTATATATAATTTGATATTCTAGCCTTTTAGACTTACTGAAGGTGCTAAGTAATGATATCAGAGGACAACGGGTCCTTGCTTTGTTGGGTCTAAAACTAGTGGAAGGAGTGGGACTTGAGCTCTTGTTCTGTGGCCTCCTGAAGCCATCATAGTGTCTTGCCCACAGTTGGATCGTTCAACACGGGAGGTAGAGCTGGGCCTTGACTATGGAACTCCGACTATGAACCTGGCAGGGCAAAGCCTGAAATTTGAGAACGGCCAGTGGATAGCAGGTGGGCTGCACTTGATACTGTTTTGTCAGTCAGGATGGGAGAAAGAAACCCGCCTTTCACTCCTGCTCCGTCCTTCCTCTAGACACAGCGATTAGTGGGGGTGTGGACCGGAGGGAGACTCAGCGCCTGCGCAAGCGGAACCAGCAGTTGGAAGAAGAAAACAATCTCTTGCGGCTGAAAGTGGACATTCTGCTGGACATGGTAAGGAAGGCGATCGGGAGGTGATCCCTAGGTTCTCTCTTCAAGGAGGCCCCACCTTGAGTCAAGTCATCCAGCTGATACCTGCCAAGGGCCTATTTGCCCAGTGCACCCCTATGTAGCCAAACACAAACATAAAAGCCAACCTTGTCATCTAAGGCTGGAGTGGGGATGTGTGACACTACCAATAATTACCATGCCTGTGATAAGGGCATCGATTAGTCCGAACAGGGTCTGGTGTCAGCACAAGAGAAAAACGTCTATGCAGTGGAGAGTTTCTCAGAGGAAGCATGTCTGAGCTGAGTCAGCTAGAGGACAGTGGCCGGAGTGGAGGTTGAAACAAAGGCATCCCAGGAGGAGGGGCTGCTCTTTCAGCAGTGGAGAAGTGTCCCGCTAAACAGGCTGAGCCATCTCCCTATTCCCTAGTTTAAATATTTGTTATATATAATTTGATATTCTAGTTTTTGAAACATACTAAAGATGCTAAGTAATGATATCAGAGGACAACAGGTCCTTGCTTTGTTGGGTCTAAAACTAGTGGAAGGAGTGGGACTTGAGCTCTTGTTCTGTGGCCTCCTGATAGTTGCACACACTACATCAGCATGGGTTTCTTGTCTGCTGGGCCTGGAGGTGCATTGCAGGTTAAGGGAAGGCAAGAGCACATCCCCTGCAGTGGTTACAGCATGCCTCATGGAGATGGCTTCTTTGCCTTGCTGCCTAACTGCTCTGTGACTTCATCATTTTAGACAGACAACAGGCTTCAGAGCAACGCTTACCTCAGAGTTAATGCAAGCCCCATATTCACTCAGGAAGTGGAGCTTTGACTTCGCCATAGACTGCCTTGTCACCTGCTCTGTTCCTATCTTGAGTGTCTATTGCCTTCCACTGTAAAGTCCATTCAGAGATCCTGATGAGGGGCTGGAAAGGCTCATCAGTTAAGATCACATACTATGGTGAGATGTGGTGGCACATGCCTTTAATCTCAGCACTCAGGTGGCAGAGGCAGTGGTCTCTGTGAGTATGAGGCCAGCCTGCTCTACATAGAAAGTTCCAGACCAGTTGGGCCTACATAGTGAGACCCTGTCTACAAACAAAATCATATACTGCTGTTACAGAGGACTAGAGTTCAGTTCCTAGCACCCCCATCAGGAGGGTCACAATTACCTGTAATGCTGGCTCCAAAGGGATCTGATGCCTTTGGACTCCACAGGCACCTGCGCTCTACATACATGCATGTAGACACACACATACACACACACACACACACACACACACACACAGAGTTTTTAAAAAGATCATGATGTGGGCTTAAGAGATGGCTTAGTGGTTAGCAGCTCTGGTTGTTCTTGCAGAGGACCCGGGTTCAGTTCCCAGCACCCACATGACAACTAACAACCTTCCATAACTACAGTTCCAGGAGAATCCATCACCCTCTTCTGACCTCCACAGGCATTGCGTGACATGGATGCACTTACACATATGCAGGCAATACACTCATACATATAAAAAATACAAATACTAAATACTTATTTAAAATAAAGATCCTCGTGAGTTAGGGACATTCTTTTTAGAATCCCCCACACACCTCAATTTGTTCTTTTTACCAAATTGTTCCTTAGTTGCCATTATGAGGGCTATCACTGAGTGATTTAAGCTCTAATCCCTCAGCCTTTGAGTCATTAGTGTTTGTCATTTCTGCCGTGTGTGGCCTGTTGTCTGTCACACACAGTGTGCCATGCAGTGATTAGTGATGGGAATGCTGATGCTGAACGTCCTTCAGTACTTGTGGTCCTGGGCCATCAGGCAGCCACTTGTACAGTTACCTGGGTTTCCTGCTGCAGAGGTGAGGGGATGCCAGGCCTTTCCATGGTGCAGAGTGGCTGTGGTAACCAGCAGTGTATCCCAGAGTATCTCTTTGTAACAGTCTGCTGCTTTACTTCCAGCTTTCAGAGACCACTGCCGAGTCCTACTTAAAGGACAGGGAATTGGATGAACTGAAGACTGTCAGTCGCAGGAGGAAGTGAAGATCCCTGAGACATTCACTAGGAGGACAGAAAGAGTCCCATTGACCAGGGGAGGAGGATGCGGTGTAGCCCTATGTTTTTTAATCAAATAAATAGACTTGCCGTAGGAGAGAGCATCAACAGGTACTGACACTCCTGGACTGGCTATAAGGAGGTAATGTGGGATGGAAGAAACCAAAGTGCCAGGCCAGGACCATAGCTAGGGAGGCACCTCAGACACATCACCCAGGATGCTTATCTGAAGCAGACCCCAGGGATGTCTAGGGATGGTGAGCCTTGGATTGTTCTATACAAGTCTCAGCATACGACTGTCCATATTCCAGAGTCATCCTGTTAGACAGCTGGCAGTTGGATGACTTCTTACCCCCTTAACATTGGTGTTTAGGGGGTGGTGCCAGTTCCAAAGAGCCCTGTATTTGAGGGTGTGATGAGCAGCTCTCTAGGCTGTCTGTGCAGTCACCACACTCTCCCTTCCTTTAAAGAATCTTCATCCTCCAAGTCCACAGCCTCTTCTGGCTTCAGCTTCCTAGCAGCATGGGCCAGCCTTCCACAGCACACTGTAGTTTCTTCTCACTTCTTGTTTATACTATTTTATAAATTAAATGATATTAAATCATCTCTGTGTAGTCAAAATGGCTGAAAATCAAAATCAATCTTAACAAACAAAAAGCAGTGTTAGTTCTTCAAGAAGTAACCAGAGGGACTGGAGAGATGCTCAGTGTTTAAGAGCTCTGGCTGTTCTTGCACAGGACCTGAGTTTATTTCCCAGCAACCACTTGGTGGGTAACAATAATCTGTAACTCCAGTTCCAGGGGATCTGATGCCCTCTTCTGACCTCCACCAACACTGCACACATGTGGTGCATTTACATTCATGTAGGCCAAACACTCATACACATAAAGTAAAAATAAATGAATCAGGCCAGGTGTGGTGGTGCACACCTTTAATCTCAGCACTCGGGAGGCAGGGGTAGGCGGATTTTTGTGAGTTCAAGGCCAGCCTGGTCTACATAGTGAGTTCCAGGACAGCTGGGGCTACAGGGAGACCTTGTCTCAAAAAAAAAAAAAAAAAAAAAAAATTTTTTTAAAGTCAGGCATAGTAGCACATACTTTTAATCCCAGTACTCGGGAGGCAGAGGCAGGCATCTCTGTGAGACTGAGGCCAGTCTGGTCTACATAGGGAATTCCAGGCCTGCTGGGGCTACAGGGAGACCCTGTCTCAAAAAATAAAATATAACAAAATTAAAAAAAAAAAATTTTCTTTTTCATGTGTATGAATGTATTGCCTGCATGTATGTGAGTGCACCCATGTCATGCAATGCCTACAAAGATCAGAAGACAGGGTTGAATTCCTCTGGAGCTAGAGTTACAGACTGTTAGCTGCCATGTGGGTGCCGGGAATTGAACCTGGTCCTCTGCAAGAGCAACCACTGCCCTTAACTGCTGAGCCATCTCTCCAGCCCCCAACAAAAAAACATTTTTAAAAAGAGAAGTAACCAGAAGTTTGGGTCTAACCTCCTATTACTCTGCCAAAAGACAGAATTTGTAGGGTGTAGGGAAACAGCACCTCAAAGCGTGAGGCTGATTTGGAAGAAAAAGAGTTTCTCAAGCTCAAATCCTGTCTTTCAGGGAGATGGGACTGGTCTGGCCTGGCAAGGACTATGCATGAATGGCATGGGAATCAGGGCCTGAGTCAGTGTAACCCAGCCCTCTCTGGCTGGAGGGGAGTCCAACTCCTTGAGTCAAGCGGGGGACACTGGGCACAGAGCTCAGGGTTTTAAACTGGAGGCTTCTACTGCAGTTAGCATTTTCTAAACCCGTCAGTCATGCCAGTGGGCTCTGTCTTCTGCCCACAGTCTCATAGTCTCATATCCCTCTGCTCAGCCCCGCCAGCATGCCTGATTATAAGGAGACAGTTCAGAGACTAGTTTGGAAACAGCTTTAGGACCACACAGCGGAAGTGCTGGAGGCCTGAGTCACAGCCCACAGTGACAGAGGAGGGGCTCTCTCCACTGACATGGCTACTCACATCAGTCTCTCCTGGTGGCCCACAGAGCACTCTGCTGAGAGGTGAACAGAAGACACAACTGGGAACTCCAGCCCATAACCTCACTTCCTGATACAGGAAAGGATGTTAACCTTGGATATCCAGCTTTGATTTTTCCCTGCACTTGGAAGGCAGAGGCAGGGGGTCTTTGTGCATTCAAGGCCAGCCTTGTCTACATAGTGAATTCCAGGCCAGCTTGGGCTACAGGGAGACCCTGTCTCAAAAAGAGAAAAAAAGAAAAAGATGCATGTGGGTTGGGGTGCACATGTGCCACAGCATATTTATGGAGGTCAGAGAACAACTTTCAGAAGGCTGTTCTCTTTCCCTTTTGTGGGTCCCAGGGATACAAACTCAGGTCAGGTAACTTGGCAGCAAGTGTCCTTACTCACTGAGCTATCTTGCTGGCCCAGGAATTTTTTTTTTTTTTTTTTTTTTTTGATCATTGGGTTGGTTTGTTGGGTTTTTTTGGTATGTGTGCATTTTTATTTTAATTTTATGTGTATGTATAGCCTGCATGCCGGTGCCAGCCGGCCTTAGGATGAACAGCACCTGAAAGGGGGAGTGAGGATTGAAAGAAAAACAAGAGACAGAGAAAAGATACTTGGGAGGACTGTCAGTAGAGACTGCAGCCCCAGTTTATTTTAGCTCCGCCTTCTTATACAGCAGAACGTCAGATAGCCAGTTTGCTTAGCTCAATTAGCTTTAACAGTTCTTTTTCCCACCTTTATCTGAGGGTCAAGGAATGGTCAAATACTTGTAGTGAATTCCACCAATTAACCATCTTCCCTAAATTATCAGCATATTCCTCCTGACTTGACAGAACAATTCAGTGCTTGTGTGTAAAACACAAATTCTTGAGTCAAGGTGAAAGGTCATAAAGTAAATAAGCAAGCCTGCCACAGCTCAATGTACATAATGGCTGTGCTTATATTAATAGCTCCCAACACCTGCAGGTATGTAAGTGTAAGTGTGCCGGTGTCATGCAGTGCCTGTGGAGGACAGAAGATGCCGTTGGATCTCCTGGAACTGGAGTTATGAGAGTTGTTACCTGCCATGTGGGCGCTGAGATTTGAACCCAGGTATTTTGCAAGAACAGCCAGTGTTCTTAATTGCTGAGCCATCTCTCCAGCTCATTTTGTTTTTTAAAAGTATTTATTTTGGGGGTTTTTTGGTCTTTTTGAGACAGGGTCTCCCTGTAGCTCCGGCTGCCTGGAACTCACTCTAGACCAGGGTGGCCTCAAACTCAGAGAGGATCAACCTGCCTCTGCCTCCCTGAGTGCTGGGATTAAAGGCGTGCACACCATGCCTGGCTTATTATTGTTATTTTTTTATGTGTATGAGTGTATTGTAAGTGCACCCATGTTGTGCAGTGCCCCTGGAAATCAGAAAAGGGCATCAGATCCCCTGAAACTAGAGTTATAGACAGTTGTTAGCTGCCATGTGGTTGCTGGGAACTGAACGTGGGTCCTCTGCAAGAGCTCTTAACTGCTGAGTCATCTCTCCAACCCCTTCCTTGTTCTTGTTTTTTGAGATATGGTCTCCCTATAGCCCCAGCTGGTCTGGAATCCATTTGTAGATCAGGCTGACCTTGACTCACAAAGATCCACCTACTTTTGCCTCCTGAGTGCTGGGATTAAAGGCATGAGTGACCAAATCAGCCCAAGAGAATGTTTAATACTGAAGAAATCAAACGGATCCAGATATACACAAGGATAGTCAGGTGTACTTATATCAATATTTTTGGCAACCATTTACTGAATGTTTTTTGATGCTGGGCACCTATTTTTAATTGTTTTTTGATGCTGGACACCTATTTTTAATTCTTATGAGAAATTTTGGATTTTTGAAATAATTTTGGAGAGAGAGGTTCGTGTCTATGAACGCAGTGCCGAGAGAGAGAGAGAGAGAGAGAGAGAGAGAGAGAGAGAGAGAAGAGGTTTGCATAATGAACACAGTGCCATAAGAGGCCAGAAGGCGTTGGATCCCATAGAACTGGAGTTACAGGAGGTTTCGAGCCACCATTATAGGTGCTGGAATCTGAACTCTGGTCCTTTGTAAGAACAGTAGGTGCTCTTAACCACTGAGCCAACCCTCTAGCTCTCTTGACAAGTGTATTATCATTTTCAGATAAAGAAACCAGCCTAGCAGGGTTACAGCTGGAGGAGAGGGAGCCAGGCCTGAAACCCTGGGAATCATGTGGGGTCCACTTGGGTGTTACAATGATGTGGATCCCCTGCCACCACCACCGGCACCTTAGGCAGGGGGCTGGAGCCAGGGTGCCTAAGTAGCCTGTGGGATTTGGGGAAGTTGTTCAGTGGAGGACTTGCTTTGGGTGAGCAGGGAAGCAAGCGGTTGGAAGTGAGCACAGTATGATCATCCTCTGGCTACTGTATTGCAGAGAGCAGGCTGTCCTCACCACAGTGAGGTGGCAGTAGAGGAACTGACATGGTCAGAGTCCACTTATGACTTGCAAGTGGAGCCTACCAGGCTTTGCTGACAGTGCCACGATGTTAGAAGGGACCAAGGATGATCCCATCAAGGAAAATCTCTAGGAGAGAAAACAAATCACCCAAACCTCGTCACCTAGCCCCAGTTCCTTTTGTTTTGCTTTTTTTCCCTTTGAGAAGCCAAGTACTTCCAAGACCTTCCTTTTTCAGTCAGTTATCTCCTCAAAGCATCTCTTAATCCAAACTAGCGCTGACACGGCACACAAGTAAATGACATTATCTCTTGTAATCATGACAATTTTCATGAGGTTTTATGCAGATCTGCATCAGGGAAGGATTGTCACTGAAGAGCTGAACTACAGAAAGTTCTGTGGGCGTGAGGCAGTATTAGCAGCAATAATCATAGGAAGTCTTACAGTTTGAGTCCTAGCAATGAGATCCATGCGCCCAGTTTAACAGATACAGGCTAACTTTTACAGGAGGGACTTTACAGCTCTTAGATTCTCAAAGGTACCCATATGAGCCCCTCAATTGAGAACTTTGTCACCAGTTTCAAATTCTGACAGGACACAAACAGGAATGGTAGTAATAGAGGGCTTAAGGGAAGGGATGGTGGGGAAGAAAGGTGCCTAGGGTTCTAGACACCTCCTCCTACCCAGACATGCCCTCCTATCCAGATTGCACAGAGCATCACCACTTTTTTTTTTTTTTTTTAAGATACTCACTGTGTAGCCCTGTGTAGACCAACCTGGTCTCAAACTCACAGAGGCTCACTTGCCTCTGCCTTCCAAGTGCTGGAATTAAAGCCGACATTTGCCAGGGCTCTTACTGGTCCCTTTGTTTCCATGTGTTTACCATGTCACTTTTGCTACAGAGCATTTGTCCTTGAAGCCTGTCATGCTGTCCCATTCGTCTAGTTTCCCTGCCCATCTCCACTTTTCAATGTCCCATTTGGAGCTCTGTCTTCTGGCCCCCTGCTTGGACTTCTCTGGCTTATCTCGGTGACCCCCAGTGTTCTGAATACTGTGTTGCATGATCCCAATGTTTTTTTGCTCTCTTAGCAATTTTATAATAATTTAAAGTCTTAACTTTGAACATACTGTCTTTAAAAACCATGTATTATAGGTTGGTATGGTTAAGTTGGTAGACTGCTTGCCTGGCATGTACAAGGCCCTGAGTTCTATTCCCAACCCCACATAAACTGAGTCATCCTGGGCTAAGTAGTAAGTTTGATGACAGCCTGTGCTACATGAGCCCCTGCTTTAAAAATAAGCTGGGTGTGGTGGTACACACCTTTAATCCCAGCACTCGGGAGGCAGAGGCAGGCGGATCTTCGTGAGTTCAAGGCCAGCCTGGTCTACATAGTGAGTTCCAGGACAGCTGGGGCTACAGGGAGACCCTGTCTCAAAAAGAAAAAAGAAAAATAAATAAATGTCGGGTGTGGTGGTTTACATGTTTAATCCTAGTACTTGGGAAGCAGGGGCAGGTGATTTTCTCTCTCTGTCTGTCTCTCAAACACACACACACAGCACTAGTTTCAACAGTGTTAGTCTAGTAGCATTTATTACAAGAACTATAGAAGTAATCCAAGCATTTGGGACCCTGAGGCAGGACTGGGGATTCAAAGCCAGTGTGGGCTACCTAGCAAGACTGGGAGTGGAGGGGGAAGACCATTGGCACTGGACAGTTAAGTTGCCCTTCGATTTATGTAGAGCAGCACTAATTTGTGAGTAACTTTATGAGTGAAATGAATATACTCATGTTAAGAAATCACCTTTCCAGCAGCGAAAAGCTACTTTCCAAATATTACTTTCTCCTCAAGGGGAAGGAATCATACCTAACTTCTCTCCATAGTGACATGAAAACCTTATAAAAGCCAGAGGCAGGACTGCCTGTCCAAAAAAAAAGACTGCAGGACTGTATCAGGTGAGCTGCCAGTCCCCTGTCCCGGAGTCAACCAAAATATACAAGGGAAGGCCTCATTACTGCATGCTCTGGTGTCTGCTCCTAAAGATTTGGGGTCTCTGACGCCATGGTCATTTGGCTACAAGAATACATCAGATTACCTTTGCATTAGGAACTTGTGGGGCATATTACAAAAAGAACATCTTTATAGGTGATAGGGTTCAGGTCCAGGCGACCCCAGACCCAGAAACCATAAAGCCCCTAGGAGTAACTGAGTCAGCCACCTGCAAGCTGACAAAAGCAGCTCCCAGAATTGGTGACCCAACACATTGTGACCACCAGAGCATGCGCCACAGGCTGACAAACAGGTTTCCCAAGCCCTGTAAGCTGCAATGAGTTCCTGAAACCCTGTAATTGTAGAAAACATGTTTTACAGTAGATGATTTCCTCCATAAGTTTCACCAGGTACAGATCCCATGCCCTCCCTGAACAGCCCCAAACAGCAGAGAAATATTCTTTTTCCGAATTCTTTTCCGGTTGAAAGCTACCTCTCGGGCTGGAGAGATGCCTCAGCGGTTAAGAACACTGGCTGTTCTTGCAGAAGACCCCGGCGTGGTTCTTGCAGAAGACTCCAATTCCAGGGGATCTGACAGCCTCCTCTGTCTTCCGCGGGCATTGCACGACATGGGTGCACTTACCTACACATACACACACACACACACACACACACACACACACACACACACACATATATATATTAAAGCTACCTCTCTGCAGCTATTAGGTTGCTGGTTTCACTCACTCCCCAGTTGAGACCCAGCCCCGCTAACCCCAAAGTAAACTCTCGCTTTACCAGAGTCATCTCTGTTTCCCTGCGATCCCCACCTTTTTACCTAACAATAGGCAAAAAGTAGAAATGTGGATAATACTGAATCCCAGGGGAAGAGAACACTTCCATCTACTGTTGTGAACATGCGTAAGAGTTCTTTGCAGGACGTCTGGCTAATACCTAGCAAGTTTTATAAGTGCATGCTGTCTGGCCAGCAAGCACACTTCTAGAAATACCGTCTAGAGATTCTTGCAACATCTCGCACTAGGCGGTCTACAGACAGCGAGAAGAGTTGTGCAGGTTGGTACCCAGGTGTGCTCATACAACATGCCTGGTCTAACTAAATGCAGAAGCCAGCCAGGACCGCTACACAGAGGGGCAGCGGAAGCACCCGCGACCTCTGGGAACAAGCTTCCGGACCCCTTCCGTCCCCGGAAGCGGCGGGAGGACCCAGACCGCAGGCCACTCTCTCCCGCCCGCCCGTCTCGCTCCCGGAAGGGCGCTCTGTCCACCGGCGGGCTGTGTTCGCCTGCTCCCTTCCGCTTCCGGTGTCCCCTACAGCCATGGCTGCCGCCGTCGCCGCTGGGGAGCCTCTGTCCCCTGACGAATTGCTCCCGAAAACCGACGCGGAGAAGACGGAGGAGGAGTTGGAGGAAGACGACGACGACGAGGTGCCGGGGCTCGCGGGACGGGGGCGGGAGCGGGGCGTGGGCGCCGCGTGCCGGGAAGGGCGGCCAGGAAAGGGCCCGGTCTGGCCCGGGGTTCCCAGCGCGACCGCGGTGTCAAGGCGGGACACCGCTCCTTCCCGGTGACCCGCCCGTCCTCCACCACAGCTAGATGAGACCCTGTCCGAGAGACTCTGGGGTCTGACGGAGATGTTTCCGGAGAGGGTCCGGACTGCCGCCGGAGCCACTTTTGATCTTTCCCTGTTTGTGGCTCAGAAAATGTACAGGTAAGGGACGACGGCAGAGACCTTGGAAGTGTGCATGGAGGGACTGGTGCTGTGAAAGGACCCCGGGCTTCGGAAAAGGCAGACCTGTGTTGGAGTGACCTTGGGCTCATTGTACTAATCTGAGCCTGGTTCCTCTTCCCACAAGTGGAGATTATTGTCGGCAGGGTCTTTATTGTGTAGGGGATCCTTTCAGGTTATCAGAGGCTTCTATGAGCAGCTTTGTAAGAATGCTTCTTGTGATCACTAGGTAATTACAGCCCCCAGAGTGCTGCTCTTGCTTCTTCAAGGAGCATGGTACAAGGGATGAATAGGAAACACTTTCAGAAACACCGGGGTAGGGAGAAGTTTGGTACTGATTCTCTTGTGGCCAGCTTGCCTATTTCTTTTGCATCTCTCCGCATTCAACCTCCCGCTGCAGATTTTCCAGGGCAGCTTTGTGGATTGGTACCACTTCCTTTATGATCCTGGTTCTTCCTGTTGTTTTTGAGACAGAAAAGTTGCAGATGGAGCAACAGCAGCAACTGCAGCAACGGCAGGTAAACCTAGACTAGACTCTGGGTTTTTTGCCAGAGGTGGAGATAGAAGTTATTTCAGCAGCACCTGAGTAAACTAGCAGTTAACCCGGGGTGGGGTAGGTGTAGGCCTGTATTCTTTTGGTACTTAACAGCTCCGTATTGTAAACTTGGTCTGCCCTGCTGTATATGATGATAAAGGCGATTTCCTGGGTCTCTGCAATGTTTTACACCTTTCTTCTTTTTCCTTTTCCAGATACTTTTAGGACCTAACACAGGGCTGTCAGGAGGAATGCCAGGGGCTCTACCTTCACTTCCTGGAAAGATCTAAGATTATTACTGCTGTATTTGTGCTGTCTTGGTGGGAGAACTTTGAAAATCAGTTATTTGAACTGCTGAATATTTGGACTTTTAGTCTTTCGTCTTTTTTTTTTTTTTTCCAACTTTGGCACAATGACCCATTTAAACCTGGTAGGGCAACCTATCCCCTTCTTGTCTCATGGACACCTAGCTGTGCCCTTCCCACTGTCCTCACTCACCTCTGTTCTCATTGATACCAGAGTTCAGCCATGTGGACTAATTCCAGCTCTGGCCACTCTTCCCTGTTTTACTAAATTGCTCCTAACTGGAAGTTTGCACATGCCCATTGTGCAGTAAAATGTTAATGTCACTGGGAGGGAAGCAAGCATCCCTGACCATTAACAACTTTAAAAAAGAATGGAAGTGTCAGGAAGGAGCATGTAAACAGTATAAAACTGACAAAACCCCTGAGACTTGCAGTACAGGAATCCCTGTGTTAGGGAGGCGGGCTGCAGCCTTAGCTGGACAGCGGGGCTGTGGACTGAGCAGGAGCTCGTTTCCTCTATTCCATGTTGGCTGTTAGACCTGTGTGTAAAAAGGTCAGTGCTCACTTTTTGTATTTAAATATTAAAAGGACTCCAACTGAAAGTGTCATTATGGTTGGTTGTTTTCGAGGCGGTCTCCCTGTAATCCCAGCTGGTTTAGGACTCTATGTAGACCAGGCTGGCCTCAAAGAGATTTATTTACCCGCCTCTGCCTCCCAAGTGCTAGGATTAAAGGCCTGCGCCACCACGCCTGGCTCATTCCTGTTTTAAGTACTTCAAAATGGTTATTTTAGGCCAGAGACACTGCCTGTCAAGGTTCGTCTTGCTTAAGCCAGCTCCTGTTTCAACCTCATAGACCTAAATTAGTGAGTTTTCAAAAATGAGAATTCAGTTTTGATTCACCCACTTAAGAGGACAGGATCTTTGTGCTCCACATTGTGTATTTATGAGCTGTTTGCAGTATTTTACTTTCTAGTCTTGAGAATGAGTGAGGTTAGTCTCACTGGTAGCCAAGGCTAGCTTTGAAATCAGTCCTCCTCGAGTCCTGGGTGATTATGGGTATGCATTACCATACCCATTTAGGATCCAGTTTTTTAAATCGATGTAGAGCTTTGAACTTTTTTTTTTTTACATTGGGTTTTTCTTAGGCTACCAGGTAGTATGTAATCAGGCTGGCCTTGATCTCACAAGAGATCTGCCTGTCTCCCAAGTGCTATAATTAAAGGGATATCCCACCATGGCCCCCAGCTGTTAAGATTTTTTAAAATATTTTTGTGTGCATGAGTGTATTGCCTACATGTAAGTACACCCATGTCCTGCAATGCCCACGGAGATCAGAAGATGCTGGATTCCCCTGGAACTGGAGTCACAGATGGTTGTTAGCTGTCATGTGGGTGCTGGGAATCAAACCCAGGTTCTCTGTAAGAGCAGCCAGTGCCTGCTCTTAACTGTTGAACCATCTCTCCAGCCCCTAAGATTTATTTTTAATTATGTGTATGTATGTGGGTCTAACATTGTCCAAGGCTAGAAGCACTGGATTCCCTGTAGCTGGAGTTCCTGGCAGTTACAAGATGTCTGAAATGGGTGCTAGGAACCCAGCTTGAGTCCTCTGGAAGCTCAGTTATACTCAATGGCTGAGCCATCTCTCTAGCTCCTAACTTTTTTTTTTTTTTGTCTTTTTGAGGCAGGATCTCCCTGTAGCCCCAGCTGGCCTGGAACTCACAGCCAGAGAGGTAGTAAGAGCCCTTGGAAGGTGTTAACATGCAGTTGTCAGCCACCATGTGGGTGCTGACAACTCAATTCCAGTCCTGTAAGAAGAGCCCTTAAGGGCTGACCCATCTCCACTCCCTAACATTACCAAATTTCCTTTTTGTGGATCACTCATCAGAACAGTACTCTGTGCCTTTGGTTGTGCTGTTCCTGTGGGTTGGCACAAGGCCTGTAACTGCTGGACCTGAATTCAGACCCAGCCTTCTCAGACCTTTGCTGTGTATGTACTCGCCATGCCAGTAACCCAGGCCTTGGTCCAGATGTCTCTGGCCTTTCACTTGTTAATTAGGGAAAACCACTAAAGGTAACAAGGTGCAAACTTAAGTGCATGGGTTTTTCTAAACTGGTGTCGCCCTCCCCCCTTGGTCTTTTTGAGGCAGGGTCTCCCTATAGCCCCAGCTGGCCTGGAACTCACTATGTAGACCAGGCTAGCCTTGAACTCAGATCCACCTGCCTCTGCCTCCCAAGTACTGGGATTAAAGGGGTGTACCACCACACCCAGCTCAAACTGAAGTCTCTTAATGATGGTATACATCAGATGCCTCAGGAAGTCTTTATTTTTTGTGCAGGGATAGCTGTATATCCCAGACTGACCTTGAGCCCAAGATCCTCTTGCTGTGGCCTCCCCACTGCTGGGGTTATAGGTACCTTGAAACTAAATCCTACTCAAGTGAATACTTGTCTCAATTTTTCGGGTGAGAAGTTTGATCAGAGTGCGACATACCTTAAAAAGGTGATTTAGGATGGTAATGGATCCCTTTTAGAGCAGAATTACAAATTTAAGCTTAAAGATTTGTATTCAGAGTTTTTGATTTTTAATATTTGGTTAAACAAAATACATCTTTTGTAAACAAACCCAGCACAAGGCCAACAGAAAAGGGGAATAAAAGCAAAGCCTAGGGTTGCCCTTGTTGGGCATCAGGGTCAGGCTGCCCCTTCCTTAAAGGAAATGGGGTTTTTTGCCCTTGGGCATCAGCATGGGTCCCTGTTCCTAAGCACCAGAATTAGACATGAACAGAACCAGCCCTGAAATGCTTAAGTGTCTTTGCATATTCCATTGGCTCATGGACTCTGTACGTGGGACTCTCTGAAGTGCCATTTGCACCGACCCAAGCAGATTTGTGGAGGTAAGTTTCCTCCTCTACCCAAGAAAATGGCTTACTATCACCGACAGTGCCAATGGACCCAAGGTCCTGCTGTGACAATCAACAAGGTTGGCTGTAACTTCCAGCTGGTGGTGGTTGGAATGTCGTGTGCAGGGGCAGAGCTCCCTGTGGTGCCAAGCAGATCTGCTGTAGAAAATGGTGCAAACGACCGGGGCCAGCTGCTGAGCATTAATGCAGCAGCCACTTAGGGCCTCTGCTACTCGGTGTTAAAAAAAACAGCCTTGGTGGATTGAAGATACATGTGCAGAAAAAGTGCTGGTGTAAACATGCACTCCAGTCACAGTGGGGAGAGCCCCAGCTTCCCCATTAAGCTTGCTCAGGATTGGCATGCAAGCCCTAGGCTAGCTCTGTTGCCAGAGAGAAGCCTGGCTAATGGGGCAGCTCTCAGACCTGTGGAGACCACAGAGCCCAAGGACTAGCTGGGTCACATGCCTGCCCACCTGCCTTGAGACAACCAGGGCTACCTTGGTGGGTGGTATGGTGCTTAATTCCCTTCCTTCTCTGGATTTTCCAAAGTTAGAGAAAAATGGCCTCAAACTGCTTGACGAGGTAGGGGTGGCCAGCCCTCAGTTTGTCAAGGAAACATGTTGAACCCAGGTCCTCTAGTTAGATGCACATAACCTACCAGCCTGAGGGCTCTTCTGTCTTGACCTTAGAGCCCAGGATGCCTACCTGCTCTAAAATTTTGTGAAGCTCATCTTCCCAGCAGTTTCCTCACCCAACTCTGTCCCAAATTATTGGAATTTAATGTCAAGTGTAGATGTGTTTCTGATTTTGCTAGGATGGGCCAACTAGACCTGTCCCTTGTCACTGTCATTTGCCCCAATGCTTCCGAAATCAATGTAGTGAAATGGTAGGGACAGAACTGGAGTGAAAAGCCACTCTGAGCCTGTCCTGGTGGCTTTGGCCACGTCCCTTTAGGTGTCTTTCTCACATTTGTCTTGCTAGAGTGCTGTGGGATTTACCACCCACTTTGGAATTTCAGAGAACTTTTCAGTATAAAACTCCAAGGCTGACTGTAAACCACCCTTAAAAAATAGGGTAAGAGGTGGTATTATGGGTTGCAGGTGGCCTGTGCACGCCACTGCTGGGGGTTTGAAGATGGTTTCCTGAGACACTTATACTCTGGGTCCTTTGAACCAGTCACTGGGCTCTGCATGTACTGTGTTCTCAGACCCACTTGTGCCACAGGAGAGAAAAGAGGCAGCCTCCCTGTGCGCCTGGGGCAGCAGAGAGAACACCAGCAGAACCTGTGCCAAGTCCTCACAGGAAGGGAAGCATAAGCAAGGACCCCCTTGCCACCCTCTCTGAAACAGAATGTGGATGTCCAGCAGCTTACCCTAAGTGCTCAGAGCTCCTACCCTCCTTCCCCAGGCACAGACAATGCTGGGTGGTTCTTCTAACCGGCCACACATCTGTCCTATTGCACTGGCAAATCTGAAGGGGAAACCCAATGAGATGTCTGGGGAAGTGGCTAGACAGACCCACTGTAGAGGCCGCAGCACATCAAACAGGACTGGAGGGTTGAGGTGAGGGGCAAGTTGGGTAGAACTGTGTTACACATCTGCCCTCCAACTCTGATGGGCTTCCACCTCTTCTGGTACCACCAGTAGGAGTTCACAGTTTTTTCCTCGTAAATGGTATTTCAGAAATTTCCTATAGAAAAAGGAATAACCGAGAGAAAATGAAATGCCAATGAGTTGGAAATTCCAGTATTGGGGCCACACATTTACCAGAACCCTCCCCATTTACACCGGTAGCCATCTTAACTGTGGTGACTGATTTCTGAAGTGTTCCACGTTTGGGCACTACACCTCAATTGTTAGAATCCTACTATGAATGTCTGTTCATTCTCACAGCACTGCCAATAGTATATGGTTCTATGAGGACAAGATCACCATTACTCTGATGGTTACTGACTGTTAAAACTTGGGCTGGTGAGATGGCTCCACAGGTAAAAGCACCTGTCACATAAACCTGACAACCTGAGTTTGATCCCCAGAGCACACAGTGGAAGGAGAGAACCAAAGCCTGAAAGCTGTCCTCTGATCTCTACATGTGTCCAGTGGCACCCGCACACATATCATACACATATATCAACAAAGAAAAAACTTTAGTCCCAATGAAACTTGACTCCATCTTGCTTTCTCTGAAGTGGCAGTTGTCTAAATGGAGAGGTGACAAGGCCAGCCTACCAGACTAGAAAGCTAATATCTCAGGATGTGAAATCTGTCAAAGGGATCAAAGTCCTGAGTCATCAAACTTGAGAACCTATGGTTCAAGGAAGGAAGGGAGAAGATCCAAGGATACAGGAATTCCATTTTCTTTGTGAAATATCAAGTGAACTCAACTTGCCCAACAAGCCAAGCTAAGCCCAGCAGTATAGCCACCCGAAAGTCACCTGAGCTCGCTCTCGCCTCCAATCCACTCTGGCATCTTGAGTTTGGAGTCAAGATTGTAGTAGGCCCCTCCCACCTCTCGAACACAGATCCAGTGCTGCCTTTTGAGAGGCAACTTGAGTGGACCCCAGCACAGGCTGGAGGGCAGGTTCATGATGAAGCCCATGACGTTAGTGAGTGCAAGAACACCCACATCCCTATGGAAGAGAAAAGGTGACAGGCAGCCAATCTCCAAGGTAGCCCCCCATTCACTTGTGTTGACACTACAGCCTGTTCTCGTCCAGCAAATCAAGTCTGGTTCTCTTTACCTGCGCTTATCCCACCAGACAGCTTCATAGCCTTTGGTTTGAAGTGCTGCCATAATGACGTTCACGTCATAGTTCCCGTTTCCCAGCATGCTCTTCTTGTGTGGTGTCACCATAGTGTTTGGAGACAACCTACAAATGTAAAAGGAGGGACTTAAGACTTGCTGGTCTGCTCAACCTCCCTGGCCCCGTGCTAGCTGAAAAGCAACCTTACAACACTGCTCCTGAGAGCTGGCTCTCACTGTAAAGTCCCACTGGTTTCTTCCCAAATACTGAATCCCTGGCCTCCAGCTATCCCAGAGATCACCTCTTCTGATGCAAAACAATTTAGGAAGAGTGGGTCCTTATCTGTCAGTCTTTTAGGTGTGTAACAATGACGTAAGTGGCAAAGGATGCTCCATGAGGCTGCTAGTCTCCTTCACTAGTCTCCTTCTGCAGCTTGTCTTCCTGCTAGGATACAAGCCTTTTTTAAAACACTGGAAGATAGTATGTGATGTTTTCATTTGCATGGGCAGTGACTGTCACTCCTACTTTTTAGAACTGAAATACTGTCCATTTAAGGCTGTACTTTGGTAATCATTACATACTCAGGGTGTGTAGTAGCCGAGGTCACATAAATGGATGAACTGGAGCTAAATGAAAGGCAATAAAAAGCAGTAAGGCCTATATTAAATGCAGAGTCCACGTAAAGGTTGTGTGTGTGCATGCGTGTTCTAAAAAATAATTTAAAAATTAAAGAATAACTTGAAAAAAACTGTTGTACCAGACAAAACTCAACTATAGCCCCTGCTGGCCTACTGAGCTTTCAACTACTTTGTTTGATTCAGACTCCACTTGTAGCTCAGGCTGGCCTTGAATTCAGATTTTCTTGCCTCAGACTAATAAAGTGCCAGGATCACAGGTGATTATAGGTGTGCACCACCCCACCTATCTCAACCACTTTTTCATAGTCCCTTTTAACAGTTCCATTTTCCAGTCCAGACCTGTGTTGAAGGCATTTCCAATCCTATCATTTTGCTTTCACAGGCTTGACAAGCCAGGAGCTAAGGAAGGCCATTTTGAAAGAAGGGTCAAAATGCACACCTTTAATCTCAGCACTCTAGAAACAGGCATATCTTTCTGAGTTCCAGGTCAACCTAGTCTACATATTTAGCTCCAATCTAGTCAGGGTTATAGAATGAGACCCTGTCTCAAAAAATAAAACAAAGCAAAAAAACACAAAACCCCTTCTTCATATACAGCACCCATATGACTTGGGGGAGTGGCTGGCAGTGCTAAAGCCTTGTGCATGACAGGCAAACACTCTATTGAGCTATATCACAAGCTCCATTTTTTAAAATAAAAAACATACTCCTGCCACTGATTAAAATTCTCCAATTGTAGGGTATGAAGGCATATACCTGTAATCCCAGCACTCAGGAGTCAGTGAGACCCTGGCTCAAAAGCCAGAAATAAAAAAAAGATTTACCCATTTGTTCATCTCCAGAGCAAAGGCACTGATCCCCAAAGTTATCTTACCTCTGATACCTATCACTCACTGAAAACCTATGCCCAACACTTCAATTGATGCGTTAATAGGTGCCTCATTTAAACCTCACAACAGGGGCAGGAATTAGTTCAATTTTGTCAAAAATCCTGAGGTTTGGTGATTTTTTTTTTTTTTTTAATAAAGAGTTTCATGTAGCCCAGACTGGCCTCAGATTCACTATGCAGCTGAAGATGCCCTCGAATTCCTTATCCTCCTGCTTCCACTTCTCAGGTGCTGGGATTACTAGGCATGTGCCACTACACCCCTCTTAAGTCTGGTGATTTTAAGGAACTGATCCATGAGCACTAACAGGTGACAGAACTAGAATCAAACCCTGAGAATCCGGAATGATACTGCTGTCTAACAGCTGAGACCCAAGAGTCAGGGTGGGACGGGAAGGGTAGCAGGCTGCTAAGAGGAATAGTCAGCTGAATCCTTGAATTTACCAGGACAAAGCCCCTTATCCCCTGCACCTTGGGAAAAGCAGTGTAAAGGCCAAGCTTGCCTCTAGCAGGTCCCAAGGAAGATGATGCCACCAGGAACAAGGCTGAAACTTCCACCTCCCATTACCTGCCTGCAGGTTCACACCTAAGGCAGCACTCTCCTGGGTGTGCTCCCAGTTTCATACTCATTACTGGAGGATCTGGAAAGCATCCAATATCTCAATACAGGAGCAAGAGAATGAGCCAAGCAAGTAAACTGGTTTCCTGTAGGGATCCTGGGAGTCCCTAATAGGCTAACCATCTTTACTCCAGGAAAAGATGGTTACATAATATGCTTCAGTTCTAAACCCAAACAACCACAGACCTTTGTTCTGAGTGCTATCTTTCAAGACTGGTGTTCCTATTTCTATTCTTCTAACTGTAGGCCTCTAGCTTTACACTTGAGTTTTCCTAAACTCATCTCCTCGCTTCCAAACTCTTCTTCCACCAATTCAGCGTACATGGTCTTGCCACATTTGCCAAGTCATCATTTCACACCGTTCTACAGGACCTGACAGCGAGGCCTCCAGCCTTGTTAGCCAACTCCAAGACCCCCACCCTAGATAACCTGATGCTGCCCTTTCCATGGGCCTCTATTGTTTTATCCTACTTCGGTTCCAAGCCAAACCCCACAGGTTCTTCAAGGTCTACCCCACATCCTCTCTTATACTGAATCCTTCCTGACTCCTGTGAAAAGAGAGAGAGACTAAAAAGAGCACAGATACACCCAAATTTACATCCAAACACAATCAATACTAATTTATTCAAGAATTCATTTGGTACACATCCAAACAGTAAATCCATGAAGCTCTTTTACTGTTATCCCTCAGTCAAGACATTGGCATCAAACTTTTTTCTTTTTTTGGCTTTTTGAGACAGGGTCTCCCTGTAGCCCCAGCTGTTCTGGAACTCACTATGTAGACCAGGCTGGCCTTGAACTCACAGAAATCCACCTGCCTCTGCCTCCCAAGTGCTGGGATTAAAGGTGTGCGCCACCATGCCCGGCCCAAAATGTATAGCCCAAGCTGGCCTCGAACTCCAGATCCTCCTGCCTCTGCCTCTTCAGCATATGCTACCAGCATGTGCCACCACTACAGGCCCAGATATGTTTCTAAATAAAGCATAGATCATAGGACATGGTACAGAAGTACTCTTAAAGTGTTAGGTCTTATATGTTTTGATGAGATATTCCAACCCCTAAAGGTAAACACTCAGCACCTTTTCTCAGCTCATCACCATTAGACTTTAAATGTGGATCCTTCCATCTCCTTGGGGTCTGTATAGGAGAGAAGCTAGAGTACTTACCATCTGTGGTGGAGATGCTCATTTCACCAATACCCCTAAACTTGGTTCCTTCTTTCATCAGTGCTCCCCTGGCACCAGGCTAATTTCCATCTAATCAGATTTTAGTAACTATTCTATTCGGTGAGAAGTGCACAGCTAGCTGCAAAAACATCTGATCACTAGACTCTTCCCAATTTTTTAGTGATCAAATACTAATGCATTCCACAAAAATGTTTAAGGCCTGAGCATTTTCAAAGTAGCCTAGCAAAAATAGGTGTAGTTATTTTTGGCCTGAGGGTGTAGCTCAGTGGTACAGCACTTGGCATGCATACATAAGGCTCTCAGTTCAATCCCTGGCACTGCAAAAGATTAAAAAACAAAACAAAACTGTATGATTTGACCTCTACAGCCCTTCTTTTCCCAAGCTTAGGCACATACATGGTAAAAACAAGGTGAAATATTCTCACACATATATGCATATGACATGTGTTCAGTGTATGCTGACTGACACGTATCCAGTATGTGATCTTTTTCTCCTGGATCAAGCTTCAATCAGACCTGATTCTTTTCCTTGCTCCCTTGTTGCTGATCAACATTGTTAGTTCAGTTCTAAGTTCTTACTCATTTTGACTCCAAGCATGAGTCATCTCATCTCCACAATTCTACTGAAACTCCACCCTGCTTTTGTACTTCTTTATCTGGCTAAGGATGTACTTCCTCTCAATAAAGAGCTCTTATCAACATTTTCCTCCCATTTCTACTGCTCTTCCTAAGTGCTGGGACTATAGGCATGCACCACCACGCTGGCTCAGAGACCATCTTTTCATTTCTAAATTGCTCCACTGTCCCTATCTCTCACTGCACCCCAGTCTTTTAAGACCTGTCCAGTGTACCACTGAGATGCCCTGCTCAGTTTGTTTTTAGTACAGTACCTAGAATTATCTGGTACACTGCAGGAGACTAGTCAGTGTTTATTTTTAAAATTCCATTTTGGCCGGGTGTGGTGGTGCACACCTTTAATCCCAGTACTTGGGAGACAGAGGCAGGTGGATCTCTGTGAGTTCAAGGCCAGCCTGGTCTACATAGTGAGTTCCAGAACAGCTGGGGCCATAGGGAGACCCTGCCTCAAAAAGACCAAAAAAAAAAAAGAAAAAAAAAAATTCCATTTTGGGGGCTGGAGAGATGGTTCAGCAGTTAAGAGCATAGCTGCTCCTGCAGATCTGAGTTTGGTTCCCAGCATCCACATGACAGCTGACAACTGTCCAGCACTCCAGTTCCAGGGGATCGGACACCCTTTTTTCTGATATCCACAGGTATTATACATACAGGGTATACTTAAATACATGCAGGCAAAACACTCATACACATAAAAATAAATAGAAAAAAACTTAATTCCCTTTCCTCTTTCTCCCTTTGCTTTTCTTCTGGATTCCTTCTAAACACACTTTTTTTTGTCCTTACCTACCAATACAGAATATTTCCAAATAAAAAGGCTCTATATAGAACTCCATTTATAGAATTCTCTTATGTACTGGTCTGCTTTTACTGGGGTGGCTCTGTATACTGTATTGATGGGTAATAGAGGAATATAGCACAATTTGAAAAAGTTTTAAAAAGAATAGAGCCCTGATTCCATGCAGGGGCTCAGCAGATACTTAGCATCTTTCATTCAGGGAAAACACATCTGAAAGATTGGCTATTATTCACAAACACTTGATGATCACAGTTGAGACTCCCAGTCCCAGGCCACACTTACTAGCTAGAAAGACAGCTACTAAGGCTGCTGTGGCTCTAACAAACCTTTCCAATCTGCAGGAAGCAGCCAGAGCACTTTGGAGGCAGGCCCTGGAGCTTTACAGCTTCAGCCCAAATCTTGCTATTAGCTAACTATGAACTAACTCTGTGCCACAATTTCCTCATCTGAAAAAATGGGAAATAGAGTCCAGCTCCTAAACTGGGTGTGAGGACAAGGGAGGCCCTCAGAATGGTGCTTTGATAAAGTGGTCCTATGGTAGCAATCTCAAGATTAACTCCCTATTAAAGGTTAAAAACTTGTCAACCTAAGTATGACTAGACAGATTCTGACATTTATTTACAAGTGGGTAAACCTGGGCAAACTGTATATACTCAGTCCTCCTCTCCCAGGGTCACTGCTGATAAGGCTGTTCTGTCACTATACCACAAAGCACCAAGCACAGACAGGTACTCACTGAGTCCTTTCCTTCTCCCTAGTTACACATTTTAGGAAACAATTCACAAATATCTCAGCAAAAGAAATATTAGCAGCTGCCCCAAAGGAAGCAATTCAAAAGCTTGAGTCCTTCTTTCTGCATGCTTGGTGATCTAAGACATAATTCTTACTTCCTAGAACCTCATTTCCTGAAGAGTGAACTCTACTTGTAGATAATGGTTATGAAGCAAATGACACATCTGCTGGCTACAAAGGCATTACTTTGGTTATTACTGGCATTGGAAAATAATTACTCTCACTATAGTTCTGTGACTATACTCAGATTAGCATTCTTCTCAGAGACTTAAGGTTCTTTCAGGGTAAATGGCCTACACATAAGGCTTCACAGATCACCCCACACAGGCCGGCGACTGCAGCTGTAACTGACATTCCTGTGCAGCAGTCATTTCACCTCCCAGTGAGAGGTGTCATAAAGGTCCTCCTGAGCCTCAATACAGAGTTTTCTCTGCTTACAGAGTTTTCTCTGCCCTGAGGACTGAGTAAGCCAAACCTTTTCTAGTTGGAGGGATGAGACAGGCTCATCACCAAAGTCGTTATGGACTGCAGTTGTGCTGCTGGACTCAGACACTGCAGAACTAATTCTCAAGGCCTCTGGTAAAAAGAATTCTAGAAAACCAAAGCAATGAGCAAAAACCTGAACCTCTAGCAACTTGTGGAGTGATGTATTTGTTTTAAGGGGAACAAAAAGGCCATCTATTTTTCTTTGGGGGAGGCAGTGCTGGGGATCTCCTATGCATGCCAGACAAGCCCTCTATCACTAAACTTAGTCCCCAGCCCCCAGAAGGCCACCTAGAATACAGAAGGGAAGAGACCTGGAGTCGGCTCGAAATCACAGCTTTGCTGTTTAGAAGCTTCTTGGACAAATTACTTAACATTTCTGTCCATTTATCAGTTAAACGACAGTTAAAAGGTCTATATAAAACAATGCATGACAATCGCCAAGGCAGCACATGGCCTAGGAGGTACATGGTACCCGTCACATCACATTTTTGGTAACAGGTACCTGAAATGCAGATCTTTTCACCTTCTAGACTGTAAATTCCTTGGTGGCAGGACTTGAAAGGGAGGCATTATAGCAGCGGACACCAGCAGAGATACAAACCTGATTCAACCCTGGGCCCATAACTTGTCATGTTACTTTGAACAATCAATACGCTCTGCGGAGCCCTATCTTCATCACAAAATGGAATAACGCATGCAACATGGATTCCACCAGGCTGTTGAGCAGATCCCTGCTGACAGTACAACTGAGCCTATTCCACAGCAGATGGCCGATAGATGGTGGCGAGTCTCTTCCCATTCCCATACCCCTTTATTCCTGTTGACAGCATCTAATTCTAATACCTGGAGGTTTGAAGAAACCACACACAGAAATTCAGAAATACCGAACAGTGGGTCTCAAGATGCCAAGCAGGGGAGCCCTACCTCTGGAAAATCTCCTGCAGCGTTTCCCTGGTGAAGGCGTTGCTGTCCTGGAAGACGTTGTTAAGGGCATGGAGGGCACAGAGCTCCCTGCGCTGTTTCTCATGGTAGATTTGTGGGGGTGCTGCCTGGGGCAGCTCCAAGGATTCAGATTTCGCCTTGTCTCCTTTCCATGGCATGCAACTCATGGTTTTCGATTTAGGTTCCAGACAGAGCTGAAAACGCCCCACTCTTCCGTCCTGAGGAAGACGGAGGCTTCTCTGTCTTCAGATTCCTGAGGTTCACCTTATTCTCTGGTGTCCATGATTTATGCTTTGTCACTGGGAGAAAAGGTTGGAATCAAAAGAGGAAAAAAAATTCACCTCTTCAGTCTTCTCGATAGAAAAAAAAACTTTTAGTTTATTTAGCCACCAGTTTCAAAGTGCAGAATTTAAAAAAAAGAAAAACATAAAATGTAAGATTCCACCCTTTCCCTCCCCACCCCTCCCACCCCCCTTGAAAAAAACCACGCTTTCCTGGCTGTGTTTTTCTCTCTGCAGATGCCAGCTAGGCCTCAATGCAGGAGGGAAGAGCCCAATGGGTCACACCGCTCCTTTTCTTCCATTTCCTTCGAATCACGACGCCACAGACTTCCAAGACGGGGCCTGGGTGCTGGATGAGACGCCCAATGCTAAGAGCTAGCGGGGGCCGGCGGGTGAGGGGTGGCGGGCGGCGCGGGAGCCTCGGGGGCGCCACTCCATGCTGCCCTCGGGCTCAGAGGCCGGGCGGCCGAGAAGGTCGGGCGGACTCGGCCCTGCGGAGGAGACGGAGACGACGCGGCTTGGGCGGGGCAACGGGCAGGAGGGGAACGCGGCGCTGCGGTCCGGCCCCTACCCGCGGGGAGGCCCCACGGCGGCCACGGGCGCGCGAGGGGTGCGGCCGGACGTTCGCCTCGCCCTCCGCCGCCACGGGCCCGCGCCCAGACCTCCCGCCATCACGTGAGGCAAGTCCGGACGCACCTCCCCGCCCCCCACCCGGCGTCCCGGCCGGGCCATACCCGGCTCCCTGCCCCGCGGGGGCCGGCTCCCGTCGGTCGGCCCCTCGCTACCGCCGGCCGCCACCGGAGCTGCGGGCCTTCACCTGGGCCGCACTGGCGGGTGGACAGGCGCACCTGAACCCGACGTCAACGGCGCTCACCCGGCGCCGCGCCGAGGGAACGCCTCCCGCGCTGACCCCGCCCGCCAGCCACGACGTGGTTGCTGGCGTCGGTGTGACGTCAGAAGCGCGGGCTGTGGAGCCGTCGCGCGCTGGGTGGGACGCATGTGCGGTGCGCAGAGCGGCAGCCTAATGCTGCGCTGTGGAGCCTGGTTCCTGCGACGAGTGCTAGCTCCTCGGCACCTCCGCCCCGGCGTCCAGACCCGCTTGGACACCCTCGCGGCCCTCCTCTGGATGGAGTGCTTTCTCGAACCTGGACCGCAGCTCCTGTCCTGGCCGGGTTATGTTCACCAGAGAATTTCTAAACACTTTACCGACGGGGTAGGGTGTGATCTTGGTTAGTGAGCCCAACCGTCTTCTGTTTTCCTGGAGCGCTGAGGGTAGAAGTCTCTGCCAGGAGCTCTATTTCAGATAACTTGGTGGTGTATTCCCAATCACTCCACATGAACCACTGCCTCTGCCCCCTTCAACCCTTTCTTGGAAGCTGTCACCAGCTTTCCTCTCTGCTTTTTCTTTTCTTCTTTTCCTTCTTTCAGACTGGGTTTCACGTAGTCCAGCTGGCCTGGAGCTCGCTATGTAGTCAAAGATGACCTTGTACCTCTCAATCCCCTACCTCTACTTCCAGAATGCTGGGATTACAAGTGTTTGGTACTACGTCCAATTTGTGCAGTGCTGGGGACTGAACCCAATCCTAGTGCTCTTAACTGCTGAGCCATCTCCAGCCCCTATCCAAACTACTTTTAGCTTAAATTTTTCTGTGGTTTGTAAGCTCTCAACACTTACAGTGTATTTACACAGGATTAGCTATTGAGGACTAGCTGTCCAGCCGGCATTATAGCACTTTACACATGTTAACTCATTTACTGCCAGCTGTTGTATTAGGATTCTCTTTTTTTTCCATCGAGTTGTTTGAGGTCACAGTATCTGCAGTAAATTCAGAGGCTGAACTTATGTTAAACTTCAGAAATAGGATATAAAGATGGGTAGGGAATTCCCTCTAAAATGTTGCCTTTTAGAATTACTTCCCCCATTCAATTCAAGAAGCAGGTACCCAGTATATCCTTTCTGGGCAAAGTCCTATAGCAGGAAGGGCAATTTTTTTTTTTTGTTTTGTTTGTTGTTTGTTTGTTTGAATATCAGTGCATTCTGAAATTGAACTCTTTCTTGTATACCATACTAAATATTAGCTTGAATGATAGCTAATGCAATACAGCACCTTTGCTCACATCCCCAGCAACCAATTAGTTCCACAGCAGACAGAAAGCACCCTCCAATTCTATTCTATTCTATTCTGCTGCTGCTGCTGCTGCTGCTTTTGTTGTTTGAGACAGGGTCCCCCTGTAGCCCTGGCTGACCTGGAACTTGATATGTAGACCAGGCTGCCTCGATCTCATAGAGATCCACTTACCTCTGCCTTCTGAGTGCTAGGATTAAAGGCATGCCCACCATTCCCAGCTCCAATTCTAATTTGAATACCTTGAGATAGTTTCAGAGCCCAACGATTCGGGGGCTTGGGCCCACAAGACTACCTCTCACTTCAGATGCAAGTTGCTAGTCTGACCCTCTGGAAGTTCTGGCTGGCCCACCAGCTCTATAAACAATCCCAAGACCCCTTGATCCAATCAGTCTGCTACAGTAGCTTACATAACTCAGGGAAACACTATACTTACAGTTTATTACAAAGTATTCAGAAGACCAGCCAGATGATAGACTCAGCAAAATATGTGGGAAGGGGGGGCTTCCATGCCTTCTCTGAGTGAGCTACCCTCAGAAACCTTCATGTGCTAGGGCTTGGGAGATGGCTCAGTCCATAAAGTACTTGGCACATAAATGAGGACCTAAGTTTGGTGGCTCTCCAGTACACATGTTAAAAAGCCAGGCACAGGACTGCATGCCTGTAATACAAGATGAGGCAAATAGGAAGGTCCCTAGGGTTTCCTGACCAGTCAGTCTAGTCAAATCAGTAAGCTCCAGGTTTGGTGAGAGAACCTGTCTCAAAAATAAAATGGAGGGACTGGAAAGATGACTCAGGGGTTAAGAGCACTAGTGGTTCTTGCAGAGCAGCAATTGGTTCGGTTCCCAGCACCCACATGGCAACTAACAACCATTCTGAACTCTAGTTCCGGGGATCCAACACCCTTTTCCGACCTCTGTGGACATTGCATGACACAGGTGTGCTTACATGCAGCCAATACATGCATACACATAAAATAATAAGTAAATGGACATGGGGATGTTGTGTTGTCTCAGAGAGTAAAGGTGCTTCCTGTGAAAGCCCAAAGACCTGAGTTTGATCCCCAGAACTCATGTAAAGGTGGAAGGAGAGAACAAACTCCACAAAGTTGTCCTCTGCCACACAAGTGCCATAGCATGTGTGTGCCCATCATACACATAGAAACACAATTCTCACACGTAGAAACACAACTGATAAAAATTCAAAAAATAAGATGGAGAGTGGTACTCAACATCAACCTCTGGACCCCACATACATAAGCAAATGTGCATATGTATGGAACATGCACTCAAGCATGTGCACACATACACACACATGCATTCATATACACATGCATACACACACATACATGCACACAAACTTCATGTGTTCAATTTTCTGGAACCTAGGTCATACTTGATCCATTTTGAGGATTTTATAGAAGCTTCATTATTGATTAAATAAATAGCATCAGTGATCACCTTAAGCTTTAGTCCCTCTTCTCTCCCCAGAGAGTGGGAGATAGGACAGAACTCTTTCCTTTTAGTCTTTCCGTGGTTTTTGGTTGATCAGCCTCTATTCAGTTGATTTACTGGCATACAAAAATCAGGAAATTCAGATGATTTGAGGAATTGTATAACAGGAGGCAGACTAAGACCAAATACACATTTCCTATTAGTACAATCAGTTATCGTAGAAAACAGTACCTCAATATTTGGCTTTTCTAAAAACCCAATATTTTAATATTTTGACTACTTAATGGAACCAGATTAAAGGGCATGTAGGTCGGTGATGAGCAATGTAGCCATCAAAAGGGGGGGATATCAGAAGAATTTATAAGGCTGGAGGTGTAACAGTAGAGTGCTTGCTTAAGCAAGCCTTGGGGGTACATCCCCAGTACTGATGGTGCTGCTGCAGACCTGCAAACCCAGCAGTTGGGAGGTGGAGAGACAGGAGAATCAGGAGTTCAAAGTCATCTTCAGCTATATGAGGTCAACCTGGACTGCATGAAACTCTGGTCAAGAAAAAGAAAAGCTAAAACACTATTATCAAGACCAGGTTCCCAGCAGCAAATGAGCCGATGGTTCCTAGTTGAATATGAAAACAGGATTCTTCTGACTCACCTAGGTCCCTGAAATTAGCTCAGGGCTATTTTGACCCCTTTTCTCTTGCTTCCTACATCTGGTGGTCCAAACCCTAAATCTTGGGTATTGTCTCAGATGGCTCCTCCTTCTTGTCTGCTGCCTAGGGCAAGGGGCCAAGCTCAGCATTAAGATCCTAGAAAACTCTAGCTCACCTAACAGTCTAGGCCTTTCAGACGTCCAAAACAGAACTTCAGGCACACGGACAACGTTTTGCATTGGGACTTTTTACAAGCAAAGACACTCTGGAAAAATAACCCATAGGAAACTACCTTCACAGACCAGGTCTTTGGCTTAGCTGATCACCACAAAAGTGGTGAGGTGCTTTTGGCTTGTAGTTTTGCTGCCTGCCTCTGCTTTTTGTTGGCGGAAGAGCTCTCGCCCCAGAGGCAATGAATAGAAAATTCTCCTAAGGTCGGCGTTTAATTAATTGTCTCGCTCTGACTGCTCTAGTATGACAACTCTAGGAATACACACCATCGATTCTACTATTAAATTTGCCTGAAGCGTGCCAGCACGCCGGACACCGTTTTCCAGGGACTGCCTCACAGTAACTAGGCGTGTCAGGCTCAATTTGCAGTTTACTATCTGGGTAAGTGGCGGGCCGAGGCGCGTACCCTCTGAAGGACCAGATTGGGTCCCGCTCCTGTCCATCATCTTCAGGCTCCAGGCGCGGACTGTTTTGCAGTGTGATTTGGAAGCTACGCCCCGCCTCTGGAAAGTAGGCGAAGCGGTCTGTGAATTTTTCTTCTCATTGGACGACTGCCATGTCAGTCATCCTCTGCTTTGCTCCCGTTGGTGGGAAGGCTTCAGGCAGGTAGTGCTGGCCCCTCCCGAGCTGGGATCAGGGCTCGTGACGTCTCAGACAGTTGTTGTTGGGGTTTGGGGCTCATTATTAAGGTACTTGAAAGCAGCGATTGGTGGCTGAGAGACCTGGCCAAGGGTGTCTCAGCCTGAGATCCGCGGCACCCTCCGCCCAGAGGGAGAAGCTGCGCATAAATTATTCCGATAGAGGGCGGGGCATGCATAAGTTAGTCAAATGAGTCAGGGAGAGAGGGAGGGCGGCTGGCTGCGAATTAGCCTAAGTTATTAAAGATGGCGGCGGAGCGGAGTCGCTCCCCGATGGACTCGCCGGTACCGGCCTCAATGTTCGCCCCTGAGCCCAGCTCCCCGGGGGCGGCCAGGGCTGCGGCGGCCGCGGCCCGGCTCCACGGCGGCTTCGACTCGGACTGCAGCGAGGACGGCGAGGTGCTCAACGGCGAGCCGGAGCTGGACCTCACCAGCAAGGTAGGCCCGGGAGGCGGCGGCGGGCGGCCAGGGGACCGCAGCGGACCGAGCCGTCTCCGGGGCGACGGCGGGTAGCCGGCCGTCCAGTCGTAGGGCAGCCGGGGACCGGGGAGGGATCGCAGCCGGTCCACCTGCCGCGCTCAGGGATGTCCGAGGCCCGGTCCTCCCCCCGCTGGACTCCCGCAACCACCTGGGCTCCTAGCGGCGCCCACCGGACCTCCCGCGCTCCTGCTCCCGCCTCGGTTGCTGCTCCTCGGCCCCGCCACGTGGAACCCGGGTGCCCGACGGCGGCAGCGCGCGGTGCATTCCTCGTCCCCGCGCGGGCCTACCTGCCTCCCCACCAGAGGGGACCCGAGACCCGGGTCCTCCTCTCCCTGGAGCATCCCCGGGGCGGCCTAGGGTCGAGGTAGCTTGGGCACCAGATGCTCGGGAGGACAGGTAGTCCGAGGGTCCCAGGGGTGGCAGTCGCATCTCTTCCTAATCTCAGGAAAGGAAACAGAAAGTAGTAGCGCAGTCCGAGAGAAGGATACCGGAGGACTGTCCACTCTGCGTGTGCACGCAAAACGAAACAGAAAGATGGTGCTGGCCAGATGGCTCAGCGGGTAAAGACGCTTGCCGCCAAGCCTGACGATCCTAGTTCGATCCCCGGGATCCACATAGTGGAAAAGAACCGACTCCTGAAAGTTGTCCTCTTACCTCCACAGGCGCGCCATGGCATACGCCTCCTCCCCATAGTAAATAAATAAAGGTGATTTAAAATTTAAAACAGAAAGATGAGCATTGGGCCTTGACACCTGGGAAAGGAGCCACCACTTGTATGCATGAAATAACGTAGAGAGGTGGTGTTTTTTTTCAATGTGTATGAGTGTATTGCCTGCATGTATGTGAGCGCACCCGTGTCGTGCGATGCCGCGGAGATCAGAAGAGGGTTTCGGATTCCCCTGGAACTGGGGCTAAGGACGGTTTGTAGCCACCCTGTGGATGCTGGGAATCGAACCCGGGTCCTCTGCAAGAGCAGTCAGTGCTCTTAACCGCTGCGCCATCTCGCCAGCCCCTAGGAAGGGACGTTTTAAATAGTGTCTTCGGAACTGTTGAGAAGGTAGGCAGGAACTAAGGTCTTACCATCTGCTTGGCATTGTGGGGGGGAAAAAAAGTATAAGATGTAGCTGGTGTTTAGAAAGTGCTTAACACCGCTGAAAGGAATGCCAACTTAGGAAGACTGGCAGAGAGCTGGGTTTCCTTTCCAGTTCTGCCATTAAAAAGGCTCTGTGACCTTGGCAAAGTTTCTTAACCATCAAGAAAGTACAGATGTGTTGCAAAAATTGTAAGTGTATGTTAAGACACCCAGTATTGTACGAGATCCATATCAGAAACTCAGTAAATGTTTAAACTGAATAGCTGATTTCCCTATGCAGATTTTAAAAAGCAGCTGATGGAAGGTAGAACCCCACCTTTTGAAGGATAGCTACAATAGACATTTTATGGAGCTTTGATGTCTATGACCTTACCACCCTAAATACACTGGATCTTGTCTGATTTCAGAAGCCAAGCAGGGTCTGGATGGAAGGTTTTATGAAGCTTTGAAAATGTTTGTGACTTCATATCTCATGGTGACAACTACATAAAACTTGGCTCTAAACTGGAAAGAACGTTCCCTCAACCTGAGCAAGCAATTTTCAGCTCTTCTTCCTCCTTCTAGCCTCTGCTGAGCACTTGGAAGCCTGCTAGCTCCTTTTTGTTGGGGTGGTCCTGTCCAGTGCCTCTAATAGCATGAGGGTAGGGCAGCTCAGAGAATCACCAGAAAAAAACATAGGAGACAATATAACCCCAGCAGCATCCAGGTTACAATTACAAACTCTGATGAGTCAACTCAGGAAGTTGTAAGATGGGCATCTGGTTCAGAGGTGGACTAGCTGGATGTCAGTACATTGTCAGGGTGCTGAAGAAATCTGAGAACCCAGTGGGGAAATTTAGGGCAGAGTTGCAAAGTGGGTAGTGCCTTTATTTTCTGATCAGCTTAATAATGGCTACGGAATTGTTACTTTATTACATAACTAAGGAAATCCTCATGACTTTGAAATTGGGAGGCTATATGTATATAAATCTTGATGGTATTGAAGAGAAAAGCTTGACCATGTGGAGAAGGGATGGACTGAATAGATTTAAGTCCAGAATAGAGTAGACACTAGATGTTTATACCCTTATTACAGCTAAATATGGGGACCTAAGGCACTAAGAGCTTCCACCTTGAAAAACAATTAGTGAACAGTGATAGGGAGATTCATGCAAGGTTTTTCTAGAAATGACTGGTCGAAGAAAACTTTGTAATGCCGAGCTGTGGCCTGGATGCTTTGTTTTGTTTTGCTTTGTTTTGAGACAGGATCTCACTGTACAGACTAGGCTAACCTGGAATTCTCTATGTAGCCTAGACTGGCTTCAAATGAATAACAGTGCTCCTGGCTCAGTCTCCCCAGTGCTGGCATCACAGTTATGAGCAACCACAGCCGGCTCAGATGCTCAGATGATTTCTGTGTTATTATATTTGGTCTTTACGGTGGCTTACAATGTAAAGTAGTAGTCTCATTATAGATTAGAGAAAATTGAGATTCAGAGTGCTTTGTCCAGGAGTGGTTAGAGAATGAAATCTGACATGCCAGTAGACAAATAGCTTTCCCAAATAAGTGGTTGATTTTTTGTGATTGATGGAAATCTGCACAACAATGGTACTAACAATACCCGCCTTAGTGATAGCAGTGTTTTGTTGATGAAGATGCTTTGTACAGGTAGTTTTGACTGCTTTTTTTCCCATCAAGACAGCACAGACAAAGTGGAACAGGATTCTTTATTCTCATTAAGGGAGACCTGGCCTGTGAGTGGAGGGTATGGCTGTATGTGAGCAGTGTATTCTTGAACTTCTAGATGTACGTTGCAGGCAGAAGACCTCATGGAGGTGTACAGCATTGCTCCGAAGCTTCTTCCAGTGGGGTCAGACTCTCCTCTCCTTTGTTTGGGGCCTAACTCTCTTGTAAGCCAGCAGGAGGCAGGCTGCTCACACCTTCTCTCCTGTAGCTGTGACTCACACATACTCCATTTAATATATCATCTGGGCCATATAAGGGTGTATCAGGAGAGGCAGACAGGGCCAGAGGGGGCTGCACAGCTGTTTTCAATTAGGGTGCTGTGGGGTTTGGTCAGGGTCTTTGGTCAGGCTGTTGATCACCTTTGGCTGTGGCATTGTCTAGTGAGTGGTCCTAAGGCTGTTGGTTTCTCTTCTAGCTGGTTCTAGTGAGCCCTACATCAGAGCAGTATGACAGCCTACTTCGGCAGATGTGGGAGAGGATGGACGAGGGATGCGGAGAGACCATATATGTCATTGGGCAGGGATCAGGTGAGCATAGTTTTCTTTCATTTGTTTTAAACTGTTACTTAGAATATGTTTTTACCCCTTCCTGCTCACATGTCTCAGGCACAATGATGCTTTAGTATCTACAGAAGTGTCTGGAGGGCATGAGCTAGCAGAGGGAATGCCAGCTCCCACCACCTTAGTGGTCAGACTACACTTGGCTGTCAAGACTCCCTTTGCACGCAGCCCGGCAGACGCTTCCTTTCTACCTCAGTACCCCTCATTTGCATAAAAGGAAATGAAGCACCAAGCAGGGAAACCCAGCTAGGTCTAGAATGAAGCCTGCCCTGGGTAACTCAACTCTTCCCTACAAGCCAGTTTATAGGTCCCATGGCCATCAATTTCCTTCCTAGCAGAGAATCTCTGGTTCTTGATGTCATCAAGGAAATGATACCCAGAATCCTTCTCCATCAGGCCACCTTGGCCCAGACCGCACACTACTCAGGCTGGATAGCTGTGATAACAAAGGTCCCTTCTCACCTCACTAGATCAGGCATGTAGGCCTATGACCATTCTGTTTATTGTCCTCTGACCTGTGAATTCATTGCAATGGGGCCTCCTGTTCTAGAGGAAGGCAGACCCCATGAAAGAATTCCAGATTATGTTATAAAATTGGTTTTTCCCCAGTTACTCCTAGTTTACACCCTTAATATCATGACCTACGTACCTTCATCTTCACTGTGACATTATCTTTGCTGAATTGAAATCTGAGATTGTTAACAATTATGAATTCAGCCCATCCCAGCACTTGTGTCTGTCATCTTGCAAGAAGCCAGGATGGGCCTGTGTGCATCATCAAGAGAACAGTTTTCTTTACTCAATATAGACTTGTAATAAGGCAGGTAATAATTCTTTGGTAGTCTGAATTTAAGATTGAGGAACTTTCACAATCATTCTTACCAGGCTTGGTGCATGCCTGTGATCTTGGCACTTGGAAGATTTGGAAAGCACAAGGATTACATGTTCCAAATCATCCTGAAGCCCTGTCTCAAAATAGGAAAAGGACTGGGGATGTAGCTCAGTGGTGTAATGCTTCATTGCCTAACATGTGCAAGGCCTGGCTGAACCTCTGTACTGGAAAAAATAATAATTCTTCAACTATTATATACACATATGTATATAAAGTATTTTTGAAATCTTCAATACTCTTATAAAAGCTCTTTTGGATACTCAAAATTTGGTTCCCTGACTTGGGAGTGTAGCTTTGTAGTAGAGTATGCACCTTGCACAGGTCAGGCCCTGTACTCAGTCCCTAACACTGGAAAACAAAATAAAGCTGGTCATTCCCAAGGAGGAAAGATGGCTTGTACACAAATAACCTCAATAGAAAACAGTGTTAAGAAATGATCCAGGATGACAAAGAGGAACAAATGCTGGAGTTCCAGTACCACTGTGACCTCTGGGGTGTCTCTTCTATCTCTGCTTTTCTTCCCATTCTTGCTGCTGCCCCTCAGTTGTGGGTCTTATCTGAAAGAAGACCTGGTCAGAGAGACAGACATACGAAGAGGTTGCATGTCAAGGAAGGGGGGAGTTGGCTTTGCCAAGGGCTACAAGGCTGCAGGTTCAGAAAAGGTCATTCTACTTGGTGACTAAGAAATCATTGATTCTTTTGCAAGCTTGTCAGGTCTGCGTCTGGCCTGCTTTAGTAAGACAAACCACTCATAGGTCACTTCATGCTTTGTAGAATTTCAGAAACCACACAAAGGTCAATTTTGACAAGTGGTGGGACTAGTCTTTAAAGATTCAGATTTTTTTTTTTAAATAGGGTCTTGCAGTCAGGTGTAGTGGCATAGGCCTTTAATCCTAGCAAGGGCAGAAAGAAACAGGTGGATAGATCTTTGTGTGGCTGAGGCCAGCCTGCATAGTGAGTTCCAGGCCCCAGCTGGGACTTCAGGGAAACCCTGTCTCAAAAATAACAACAAAAACCCCAAAACAAAAAATTAGGGTCTTGCTGTGTAATCTAGGCTGGCCTTGAATTCTTGATCCTCCTGCCTTAGCATCCCCAAAAGACTCCGACTCTAAGATCCCTTCTTCTTTCCTCTTGTCTTTTAATGTACACTCTAAATTTTATCATGCCTTGGCAACTCACAACTAATTAACGCTCCTTTGTTAAGGTAAGATGTCAAACACTCGTTAGCCCATCTCCCATACACTCCAGCATCAACCATCATCCTGGTGACTCCATCCTTCTGGACTCTTTGGAGGCAGAGATCTGAACTAGTTAAACAAGTTGAACATCAAGCAGGACTGAACTGATGCAAGGCCCCCAGAGGTCAGCTTCATCTCCAACCTCCCCTGTGACCTTGCTGCTCCACCTCTCTGTCAGGACCTTCCTTTGTAGAATGGGGACAATGAGACCTTCTTCAGAGTGATTTTCTGTGGATAAATTGAATATTAAAACATTGTTAACGATGCAGAGGAGTGTGCTTTTTTACTTGTATGTGCTTAAGGTTGATGTTTTTGAAGGCAAGTCAGCAATGGCCCAGCAGTGGCCAAGTCAGCAATGGCCAAGTCAGCAATGGGGTCTGGAGCCTGACAGCTCTGGGTTTCCTTGCTGACATTTTTCCTTGTCTTAAAATGTGGGTAATGATAAACTTATCCCATGGTGCTCTAGAGAAAGTTAAGATTTCAAAGAGATCACTTGTAAATATTAGTAGTGGTCACTATTTTTCAGAGTTGGAGGTTGTAGTTGAGTTACCATGAGATTATTTTTGAAAAGAACCTTGATTGGGGCTGGAGAGATGACTCAGAGGTTAAGAACACCAGCTGCTTTTGCAGAGGATCCAGGTTCAATTCCCAGCACCCACATGGGGGCTAACATCCATCCATAACTCCAATTTCAGGTATCCAGCCCCCTCTTTTGACCACCACAGGCATTGCATGACACAGGTGCACTTATATACATATGCAGGCAAAACACTCATACACATAATAAAAATAAATTAATTTTTTTATTTTTCTGTCTTTTTGAAGCAGGGTCTCCCCATAGCCCCAGCTGTCCTGGAACTCACTATGTAGACCAGGCTGGCCTTGAACTCACAGAGATCTGCCTGCCTCTGCCTCCCAAGTGCTGGGACTACAGGCATGTGCAACCACGCCCAGCTTAAATTTAAATTTTTAAAAAATTTGAGAAGAACCTTGATCCTTTCTTAGACACATAAGTCATAACCTTCTGGAGAGTTTGTTCGGAGGTTATAGCAGGGGAGTGCACCTACTTCTTACACCTTTGACCAAAGAATGGTCTTCTCCCAGGGAAGGTATCCTCTTGAGCTGAGCACAGAACTTCAGGAGGGACACATGTGGAGCAGTGACAGAGGAAGGAGACACACACCAACCAGATCAGCTGGATCAATGCTGGTGATCAGTGGGGTAACAGATACAGCAGCCAGATCGCCCTTACACCTCTAAGTCACAACTTCCCAAGAATCAGGTGCTGTAATGGAAGTTGCAGGGGCTGTGGGCAGGTGTTAAGTCTTTGTGGGCAGTCAGGAAAGGCCAGGCAGAGGAGCCACCCCTTGGGTTGATCCTAATCTGTAAGCGGGAGTTTTCCAGGTAAATGGAGGTGGTGGCAGTAGGGCAGAGGAAGCCAGATGCACAGAGGCATGGAGGCATTGGAGACTGGGGTATTTTGTGGGCCATATGGAATCCAGTAAGGTGGGAAAGGAGACCATAAGGTCAGGAAGGGAAGCTGGACAGGTAGGCAGCATTCAGTTCTAAGTAATAGAAAGCCATACTAAAGAGTTTACACTTGTGCCCCTAAAGTCTGGAGAGCTGTTGCAGGACTTTGAGCCAAAGAATGCTATAGAAAGGTAACCGAACTGGCAGGTTTGGAAATCTGATAGGGTCAGGCTTGGCCTTTAGTAATTGGACCTCACAGCTTTTCCCCTTGCCTTTGTCTCTACTCCTAGCAGGTAGAATGTGGTGTATGCTAGGCAAGGGTCATGTGACCACCTGAGAGCCCTGGTAGCTTAGGTGACACTGGTGATGGCCCCCAGTGTGGAAAGTACTGCTTGTCCTTAGACAGTGGCAGGGGAGGTTGGATAGTTCAGTGAGGTGGCAACCTTCCCTTAGGAACACTTACCCAAGCCCTTCTCTCACCCAGAAGGTGCCAGAGCTCTCTCAGCCATGTATTTTAGAATCCCGCTGCCCTCCCCTGCTTCATTTGTTTTATGTTTTCCAAACATTTGAAGATTGAGGTGGGAAAGTCATTCATAGAGAGTGGTTGGGATATGGCCTCCATTCTCAAGATGGTCCTGCGGGAGGGCTTGTGTCTAGATCACCACTGCATAAGGCAGGACAAGGCAATGCTACAATAAGGAAGGCAGATGCTTGCAGGGCCCCTGAGCAGAGTGGGACCTTTGCCAAGCGGAGATGTGCAGATTGGTTGCCTGGGATAGGGAATCCACGGACAGAAGGTAGAGCTGGGACCACACAGGAACCCAGGTTCAGGGAGAGTGCCTGAGTCACTTACACTGGGACAGAGCTGACATGGGGAGCCTAAGGAGAAGGACATAGAGGGAGCTGGGGAGGCTCTTAGGGAATTGGGGCTGGAATACCACTGGTTCCAGAAAGTGCTTCAGAGGTTTTGATGTGGAAGTGACAATGTCACAGCTATGGATTCTTGAGTTTATTTTTAAATTTTATTTATTTTTATTTTCTGTGTATGAGTGTTGTGCCTGCATGTATGTAAGTGTACCATGTGTGTATTTGGTGCCCATGGAGGCCAGAAGAGGGCATTAGATCCCCTGGAACTGGAGTTATGGACTGTTGCTAGCTGCCATGTGGTGCTGGGATTGAACCCAGGTCCTCTGCAAGAGCAGCCAGTGCTCTTAACCACTGAGCCATCACTCCAGCCCCTCTTTAGGAATTTAAACATATGGTTCTGTGCTAGATGGACTGGGACTAGGGGATGAGGGGATGACAACATGACAGAGACTAAAATATGCAAGACCAGCTATTCAGTAAAATACTGGCTGGAATCAGGCAGCACTATAAAGAGCTGGAATCAACAGGAGTAGACTACAAGACTGTTTAACTTGAGTGACTGGAAAGAAAGCATTTTCCTTATTAGTCTAGGGCCAGCAAGAGGAGGAACTAACTGGTCAGGCAGTGAGAGGGACAGTAGTGAAGGAAAAGGTTTGGAATCTGAGTACCCCAGTTTACACCATGGCCCCCTACAGCCTCCCAATTTTGCAGCATCTGGCTTCTGCTTTCATTCCCTCCCTCCCTCCTTCTCTCTGACCCTCCCTCCCTTCTTTCCTTCCTATTTTTTGTTTCTTTGAGGCTAGTCTCAAATTTATGATCCTCATGCCTCAGCCTCCCCAATGCTGGGATTGCCTGGCTGTTTACTATTATAAAAGGGAACAGCATGGCCCACCTCCAGGGCTAGAGGGAGGATCCAGTCCTTTGCTGATGTTGATTATTTGTGTGGCACTGTTTAAAGAGGGTGCTGGTGGTTGAGTCTGGGTATCTGACTTCTAGTTCTCATCTAGGCCATCGAAAACTCCATGCTGAGCTTGGGAAAGCTGACAGTGCTAGATAAGAAATGTTTCTATAGTCTTTGTAATGACAGTTGAAGCCATAGAATGGGGTGGCTAAGGGGAAAATTTGGAGGAAGAAGAGAACCTTTGACGGAAGCTGGGAGAGGCTGGTATTCAGGAGATAAGACGGGAACACAGGGTAAGGGGCACATCAGGAAAATTTGAGATGGGTGGGCAGGGTTGCTGTTGTGTAGTGCTGAGAGGCCACTGGTAATGTTTGATAACTGCAGTTCCTCTAGGAATCAGTTCAGAGCAAGTAGGGGCGATTGTCGGTAAGGGTCAGCTAATCTGAGTTATTTGGTGGTCAGAAGAGGAACTGAGGAGATAGTAAGTAGCTCAGGAGGCAAGAAAGGGTGGTTTTCTTTTTCTTAACTTGGGGTTGGTGAGCTTGCTTAGAGGGAAGTGGAGGTAGAAGACGAGAAGACACAAGGAGAAGACTTGGCCCAGCAAGGTTTCTGGGTGGTGAAAGAGAAGAGGTTACTCTGCTAGAAGGGCCTGCTTGGCAGGAGCCTGGAGCAAGGCAAAGGGAGCAGTGGGCACTAAGCCCCATGCCATACAAGCACCTGGCAGGTTGTTGTAAACAGGCCCCAGGCAGTTAGTTGCTCACTGTGCTTTTTCTGTCCACTTCCTCATCCTGAGCTTAAACTCTTTTCTAGCTTTTGGCTAGATACCTTACCTGAGCCATCTTAGTTAAAAACTGTCTCTGAAAATCCTCCCCATCTCCCTCATCTTCCTGTCCTCATTGCTTGGCCAAGTTAAATTTTTTCCTCGCTGGCCTCCCTGCTTCTGGCCTCTTGCTTGCTACCTGGGACTCTTTCAACCCACCTTGATCTGACCATGTTACTCTCCTGCCTGATCCCTAGCCTTCCCATGCTTGGTATGAAGGTTTGCTGCTGTCTGATGTCATACCAGCTTCCACCTTATCTGCCATCCCATGTCTCTCATCCAGCTCCCCAGCACACAGAACATCTTCCCGGTCACTGAAGGAACCGATCTGCAGTGCTCCCAGCTTTACTGTGCTAGTATGGTGTCTTTCTACATGCTCATTTCTCAGCTCAAGACCCAGTTTGGGGTCCTCACACCTAGAGCTGCCCTCCACAGCCCTGGGCCATGCTTACCTTCTCTTCATTCTGTTCCACAGCATAGTGCTCAATTGTGTTGAGATTAATTAATTTATTGTGTCCCTCCCTCAGGGGTATGAACTCACTGAGGGGACCTGTATTCCCAACACCCAGCAGAAAGCTTGGCATAAGTCTTAGGAGGGTTTTGTTGACTGTTGCTGAATGAATTACCTAGTGCTTGGCTTGCTGAGGAAGCCTGGGGCACTGTCATGCATTAACTCTGTATGCCCAAGCTGTCACTCAGGCAAAATGTCTCTTTCTGCAGTGCCCAGGAGGGACCTTGGTTAGGTGGGGTTGACTGACTGGCCTGTTAGCAGGCTGATTGGTCAGGACCCCCCTCCTGCTGATGTCTGGGTTCTCGTCACCAGATGGCACTGAGTACGGGCTGAGTGAAGCTGACATGGAAGCCTCCTACGCCACAGTGAAGAGCATGGCGGAGCAGATAGAGGCCGATGTCATCCTCCTGCGAGAGCGCCAAGAAGCTGGTGGCCGTGTGCGTGATTACCTGGTCCGGAAACGAGTAGGAGACAATGACTTCCTGGAGGTCAGGTGAGGAGGCCTTGGTCATTGTAGGGTCCCTGACTTCTGGAGGTCAGGAGAGGAGCCCTTGGTACATTGCAGGGTCCCTGACACATCACTTCTGGGGCTGCCTATAGAGCTTGTGACACTTGTGTGTCAGCTCTGTCCCTTCCCTGCCTCTCCCTTCCTAAGAGGGTGCTGAGAGTCGGCTCCTAACAGTTCCTCCTTAGATACTATATCTGAACACGTGGGTGAAGGCCTGGCCATGCATTCTCTGGCCACCCTGTAGCTGCCTTTGGTTTCCTATCAGTTTGTGAGGCTAGAAGCCCAGGACTGGAAAGAGCACTTTGTGCCTTTTATAGCTTTGGAGTTCTTTCCGATGGTGGAGGTTGGGGGATCTAGGCATTGAGGGAGCTGGACTCTTGACTAACTTTGTGCTCCTTGCATACGGCTCCAGGAACATTCCCACTGTATTCATGCATTAGTGGGGAGTCCTGAGCCAGGGTGCAAGGGCGAGACTGCACCCAAGGATCCAGTGTCTGGCCCTGAGGTGTCTCTTCACGAACCAGCTCTCATGCTGGTATGACATGGCTTCATGTCCATGCAGAGTGGCAGTGGTGGGCAACGTGGATGCCGGCAAAAGCACACTCTTGGGAGTCCTGACGCATGGGGAGCTGGACAATGGCCGTGGATTTGCCCGCCAGAAGCTCTTCCGCCACAAACATGAGATTGAATCTGGTCGCACCAGCAGCGTGGGCAATGACATTCTGGGCTTTGACAGTGAAGGCAATGTGGTGAACAAGCCTGACAGCCATGGTGGCAGCCTAGAGTGGACAAAGATCTGTGAGAAGTCTACTAAGGTGATTACCTTCATCGACTTGGCTGGTCACGAGAAGTACCTTAAGACCACTGTTTTTGGCATGACTGGCCACTTGCCTGACTTCTGCATGCTCATGGTAAGTGTGGAGATGCTGTGCCAGGGCTCAGGATCACCCTGTGACTGGGGCCAGCTGGTTTGAGCAAGGATGGTAACTTCGGGGTCTCAGGGACGCCCAGTCCTCTGAGCTCTGTGGTCTTCTCCAAAGGTGAACCTTAATCTTTCTCCCTCATTAAACCAGGAAGGGATCCTCTTTGTATGAACCAGGGTGTCTATAGATTTATTTTTTGGAAAGGCATAGAAGACAGCATACTTAATCCTTTGGAAACTTTTTCTCAGAGCCTTAGAGTGACTTTAGAGAAGTGACCTCAGGTGACACCCTCAGGAGATCAGCCTGGGGAAAACAAGGAGTGTGTGCACTCTCACATCAGGAGACAAGGGCAGCAGTCAGGAAGACCCGAGAGGTGGCAGTGTCTTCAGCACCTGGGAGGGAGACATGTCAGCAATGTACACCCCTTGTTGGGAGGCTCCTGTGAGCCTGGCGCTGTGCTCACCTGGTTACACAGCTGGAAGTAGGCCTGCTTGATCCTGGCACTCCTAGAAAGCTTAGAGTCTGGTGTGATTAGATTTTTGAGCAACTTGTCCTGTGGTATCACTGGAAGGAGGGGCAGTGGGTGCAGCTTTGTGCATGTTGCTGTGTGTGCACATATGCATTGCTAAGCTTCCTCCTTGGATAGAGTGCAGGTGGTAGCCCTGTGCACAGCTTCACAGCCCTCAGCAAGAGAGGGAGGAAAGGGAGTAGTGAGTGCACAAATGAGTTGAATTTTCCTCTGGCAAGTCCTTCCCCAAACCCTTCCGCCTTCCTAGTTCCTCAGCTGCCTATGCTAATAAGTGTGGTAAACACAGGCATCTGTTCCTAGCATACTAGCTCAAGTTGCTCCACAAACACAGGTTCTCAGGCCAACCCTCAAACTGGAGCCTCGAGGGAGCAGCGTGTGTCGTCTGACTGTGCTCATTATCTCTGCCTGAGCTTTGTGGGGTCACAGTGCAGTTTCAGCTCTTTTCTCTGGACATTGCTAAGGGCTATCACCAACTCTCTTGTTGACTGAGGAAAGCTGCTGTATGGGACGGAGTCGGTGGAAGATCCATAGGGTATATTTGGGCCTATTGTTGTGAGGAAGGATTTAGAGGCCTGGTGAAATGGTTCAGCAGGTAAAACCTTGCCAAGCAAGCCTGATGACCTGAGTTTGATCCCTGGAACACACATAACGGTAGAAAGAGAGAACTCTGGAGTTGTCCTCTGACCTCTACATGGGTGCTGTGACATGTGCTCCCCCCACATCATGCACATACATGATAATAACTAAAAGAAAAAGAATCTTCCACTGCGTGTATTTTTTTTAAAAGAAGGATTTAGAAACCAGCTTAAAATAAGCGCTTTTATTTTTTGTTCATGTTTTAATGAATTAATGTAATAATTGTACCATTTATGAGGTACAGTGTGACATTTCAATATGTGTGTACAATGTGTACCTATCACATCAGGAAATTAGCATCTCTCTAGAGACCGACACGCTTCGTTGTACCTTGAGGTCCTAATTAGCATTTTCTTATCATGTCTATATTTAGAGACTAAGTTCCTCCCTTCTAGTTCTTCATAAAATAAAAATAAGCATTTTTCTAATTGAGCTGTAGTGAGTAAGGCCAATGAATGAATCATCTTCATCCCAATCAGAGTGCTCATGTCTGACTTTTAGGCCATCATCCATATATTAAAACTTTTTTTTTTTTTTTTTTTTTTTTTTTTCCTTTTTTATATGTTTATGTACATGAAGGATGGGGGGTTGAGACAGGGTCTCCCTGTAGCCCCAGCTGTCCTGGAACTCACTATGTAGACCAGGCTGGCCTTGAACTCACAGAGATCCGCCTGCCTCTGCCTCCCGAGTGCTGCCACACCCAGCTATTAAAACTTTTGTAAGCAACAAAGGAACAACCAGGTATAGTGGGGCATGCAGGTAATCACAGCACTTGAAAGGTAGAGGCAGGAGGATCAGGAGTTCAAAGTCAGCCTCAGCTACACAGTGAATTTGAGACCAGACTGGGCTACTTGAGACCCTTTCTCAGAAAAACAAAAACAATGGACTGTGTATATGAGTGAAGGTGGAAGGGGTGTGGTTTGGAGGCTAGCCTAGACTATATACTAAAGCTTTCTTCCTTCTTCTCTTCCTCCTCTTATTCTTTAAATAAATAAATAACAGAAACAGTGAACTATTTTGTTAATGTTCCATGGTAATCAATTTCCAAGAAAATGTTTGAGATATAGAGACGAATAGAGTAGAACACGCTCTTGCCCAGCTTAGGAAGAAAGCAAGCCTCATTTGGATTGGAAAGGGACTGGGAAGAAGAAGGTGAATAGGCAGCAGTAAGACCTAGGACAGCAGCAGTAGGGGGTGACTCCCCCATGAACTGTGACATGGAGTAAAAGCATCGCAGTGAGGATGTCCCAGAGTATACAGAGCACCACACCGGCCCAGCAGGGCAGTTCTCTTTTCATTACATTTTAGTGAGCAATACACGTAAGTGGTACAAAAATAAAAGGCAATAGGGGCTGGAGAGATGGCTCAGCAGTTAAGAGCACTCAGTGTTCTTGCACCTACATGGCTGCTAACAATCTATAACTCAACTCCAGTTCCAGGGATTCGACACCCGCTTCTGACCTCCGAGGGCATTGCACAACACAGGTGCACTTACATACATGCAGGCAGTACACTCATATACATAAAATAAGACTAATAACTAAAATACTAAAAGAACAAACAAAAATAAAAGGCAGCAAAGGACTGCTGAGATAGTCCAGTGGGTGCAGGAGCTTGTTGTCAAACCTGATGACCTGAGTTCCATCCCCAGTGGAAAGAAAGAGCCAACTCCCACAAGTTGTCCTCTGATCTCCACATGTGCTCTCTGGGATACCACCCCCCATAAATAAATGTAATTAAATTTTTTTTTATTTTATGTGTATGAGTATATTGCCTGCATGTATGTAAGTATACCTGTGTCATGTAATGCCCATGAAGGTCAGAAGAAGGTGTTGAAGTCTTCTGGAACTGGAGCTACAGATGGTTACTAGCCACTATGTGGGTGCTGGAAATTGAACCCAGGTCCTCTGCAAGAGCAGCCAGTGCTCTTAATCCCTGAGCCATCTCTTCAGCCCCATAAATGTAATTTTAAAGAAAATTAAGGCAACAAAGAGCTTAAAGTTGAAGTCTCCCTTGCTGTCTCCTGCCAGAGGCAGCCAGTTGTCTTTAGTTTCCTGTGTCCCCATGAGAGATACTTTGTATTCATACTGGCAAGTGTGTGTATATTCCTGCTCTCTAATTTCAAACCTTCTGAAAAGTTGAAAGAATAATATAAGGGCCGGGCCTGGTGACACAGACCTGTAATCTAGCTACTTAGGAGGCCAGGGCAGGAGGACACAAGTTTAAGTATACTATGGGCAACCTAGTGAGACCCTGTCTCAAAATAAAAAATAAACGGAGGACTGGGACTATAACTCAGTGGTAGAGTGCTTGTCTAGCATGGATAAGACCGTAGGTTCAACCCCTAGTATTGGGCGGGGGGAGAATATAATAAATATAATAAGCCCACTATTTAGATTTAACAGTAATTAACATGTCAATGCATATGTGTATATGTTTATTTCAGTTTGTGTTTACATGTATGGGGGTGCATGTGTGTGAAGCTGCTTGTGTGGAGGCCTGAAGTTGATGTCAGGAGTATTTCTCAGTCACTTTTGACCTTATTTTTTGAGGCATAATCTCTTGATTGATCCCCAGACTCAGCAATAGGATATCTAGCTAGTCTGCTGGCCCCAGTGATCCTGTATGTGCCTTCCATGCACTGGAATTACAGGTGGGCCACCATGTCTACCTGAGGATCTGAACTGGGTCCTCATGCTTTACATAGCAAATGCTTTATCCACTGAGCCATCTGCCCAGCTCTACCCCCTCCCCACATTAAATCATTTGAAAGAAGGTCATAGACATTGGCCATACCCCCAAATACTTCAGCCCACCATTTCTAAAGACTGTCTCCTACTGTGTTTGTAACCAAGGAAATCAACAGTAGCTAGGAACGTCCCAGGTACTCCCCAGTTATCTTACAAGTACAGCTGCTTTTTTTTTTCCAAACAATTATTCAACAGTGCTCAGATCTTTTGTTTGCATATGTGGCACTAGGGATTGAACCCAAGGATTTCCACATGCTAGGTAAGTGCTGTACCACTGAGCTAAATCCCCATTCCTGCTCACTTTTTATGGTAACATAATGTGTACACTTTGCTTTTTTCCCCTCTAAAAACATGTCTTCTTGGAGATTTGGAGAAATGACTCAGTGGTTAAGAATTCTTGTTGCCCTTTAGAGGACCCAGGTTTGGTTCCCAGAACCCACGCAGCAGCTAAACAATCACTTATAATTTTACTTCCAAAGGATCTGATGCCTTCTTCTGGCCTCCTCAGGCATCAGGCACTTGTGGTGCACATATATACATGCAGGTAAAACACTCAAATACATAAAATAAAAATAAATCTTAAGAAGTAACAACAAGAAGTCAGGCATTGTTGCGCATGCCTTTAGTCCCAGCACTTGGGAGGCAGAGGCAGGTGGATCTCTGTGAGTTTGAAGGCCAGCCTAGTCTACAAAGTGAGTTCCAGGGAGACCCTGTCTCAAAAAGACAAAAAAAAGAAAGAGAAATGACACATATTTCCTTGGGCTGATGAAATGTCTTAGAGGATAAAGTTGCTTCCTGTGCACACCTGGAGACCTGAGTTCAAGCCCCAGAACACATATAAAGGGAGAAGGAGAGAACCAACTCCACGAAGTTATCCTCTGACCTCCACACCCACACCATGGCATGTGTGCACACATAAACACATTTTAAAAACATGTCTTGCTTAGCATATGGGAGGCCCTAGCACCACAAAAAAAAAAAAAAAGAAAAGAAAAGAAAAATGAAGCATAACTTTAGCCCTTATCAGTTCCCCTTCCTTCCCTCCCTCCCTCCCTTCCTTCCTTCCTTTCTTCCCTGCTCTTCCTTTCCCATCTCTCTCTCTCTTCCTATGTAGCCCAGGCTGGCCTCAAACTCACTAGCCTCTTGCTTTGTCCTCCTGTGGTCTGGGATTATAGGCATGCACGCCATCACACCTGGCTCCCTGTGCCCTAATTCATTCAAGTCTATTGTGGACCGGTGAGATGGCTTATCAGGTAAAGGCACCTGCCACCATGCTGGATGACTTGAGTTTGATCCCTGGAACCCGGATGGCCCCGGAGAGAAGGAGAGAAAGAATTAGTTCCCACAAGTTGCCCTCTGACCTACACACAAACAAACATACAAAATAAAATGTAAAAATAACAAATAAATAAATAAAAATAAAGAGCTGGAGAGATGGCTTAAGAGCAGAGGACCCATGTTAGTTCTCAGAACCCACATGGTAGCTCCAGCACCTTCTACTGGTCTCCTTTGCACATATATATACATACATGTAGGCAAAACATTTGTACACATAAAAAATAAAAATAAATATTTTTTAAAAATTAAAAGAAAGACCATTATTGATGGAAGAAACAGTGACAGGACAGCCACCACTGTGTTCACATGCTGGCTGTGTGCCAGACCCTTCATGTCTGTTATAACGTCACACACCAGGTGACATCTGAAGTAGAGATGGTTAGTCCTGTCTTACAGGTGAGGTAGCTGAAGACCAAGGATGTTAAAGTGAATTCGCTGTGCTTCTCAGACTGTGGGGTTATCTTTGTTACTGTTTTTTTTTTTTTTTTCCTTTGGTTGGTTGGTTTTGAGTTTGGGTTTTGTTTGTCTGTTTCAGTGCTGAGAATTCAACCTTGGGTCTTGTGTTTGTTAGGCAAGTACTCTAGCACTAAGCTACATCTTTGGCCCTTTTTTTTGCTTTTTATTTTTGGAGGAAAATCTTACTAAGTTTCCCAGGCTGGCCTTGAACTTTCTCTGTAGGCCTCAATCTTCTGAGTAGCTGGAATTGCAGGCTTTGTTGCCAGACTAGGGCCTACTTTGATGTTGATGGTCCACATCACTGAGTCAGGGTTACAGAGCTCTGTGCCTGGCTCAGCTTTCATCAACAGCCTTTGAGTCCCTTTGCCCACTCAACAGCAATCTCTGTCTTCCTTGTCCTGACAGTTTCTTTCTGTTGGGGCAGGTGGGCAGCAATGCTGGCATTGTGGGGATGACCAAGGAGCACCTGGGCTTGGCATTGGCACTCAATGTACCTGTCTTTGTGGTAGTCACCAAGATTGACATGTGTCCTGCCAACATCCTTCAAGGTAAGTAAGGCCTCCAGCTACATGTAGCAGCCTCTGTGGGGCTGTCAAGACTGCACTGCCAGGGAGTCTACTGCTAAAGCCTCAGACCAGAATCTCTGGCTTCCTTTTCTTGTGCTAGACCTCAGTCTCAGTTTTCATCAGCCCAGAATCTTTTGCTTCTTCCTCCCCTGTTTAGCCCTTGATCCTAGCACAGTTTGGAGTTTCCCTCTGTTCTTTTATCCTTCTTGTGCTGGACAGCTTTAGTGTCAACTTGACACACCTGGGTTGAGGGAGCCTCAATTGGGGGATTACCTCCATTGGACTGGCCTGTGGCCATGTCTGAGGGGCATCTTCTTGATGAGTGATGTGGAGGGCCCAGCCCACTGTGGGTGGTGCCACCCCTGGGCAGATGGACCTGTGTTGCATAAGAAAGCAGGCTGAGCAGGGGCCAGGAGAGCAAGCCAGTAAGCAGCATTCCTCCATGGCCTGTGCTCCAGCTCCTGCTTCCAGGTTCCTGCCCTGAGTTCCTACCTTGGGCTCCCTGATGAACTGCGACCTGGGAGATGTAAGCTGAATAAAAACCCTTTCCTCCCCAACTTGGTATTGGTCAGAGTATTTTGTCACAGCAATAAAGAACAAACTAGGACACTCCTGGTTCCAAGTACAGGCTCCACCAGGTCCCCAATTTGCCACCTTTTTTCAGATGTGCCCAGCAGTAGGCATCGGTACTATCAAAGATAGATGTATACGGAAGTTTGGGCAAAGAGTCTGGTGGCCTTTAGCTACACAAGCCTCTGAACTAGGCCTCCATGTACTTCTTCCTTGAAGTGGCAGGTTGAAATGGAGTCTGTCCTGTGAGAAGACCTTGTAAGAAGGGACTTGCAGACACCTAAATGCCCAAGGATAACCTTTCTTCAGATGAAACTTTTTCCACGAAGCAGAGCATTCTGAGAACATTGTCCTCTGGAACCCCATCACTTGTCTACCTGTCTAGACTCATAGCCTTAGAAAAGAGGCCCTATCTGTGCTCTTTCTACACTGGCAGCATGTACCCACCCGGAGTTTTGATCCTCCTTTTTGCTTCTCCAGGCATTGTGGCATTTAACACTGGTCCGTCTGTCTATCTATCTCCTGCTTGCATCAGTATTGAGCGGACCCATCTTACCTTGGAAGGCTGGCCAGAGAGAAGGCTGTGTCCCCTAATTCTGTTCCATTTCACCCTTTAAGAAACCCTGAAGTTGCTACAGCGCCTGCTGAAGTCACCAGGCTGCCGGAAGATCCCTGTCTTGGTGCAGACCAAAGATGATGTGATTGTTACCGCCTCCAACTTCAGCTCTGAGCGGTAATAATGGCAGGGGTAATGGGTGGGCAGCGCATGCTTCTAAGCAGGCACCCTGCTAGCAGGGCTGTAGCAAGAAGCAGGCTGGAACAGCCAGGCAAGCATGAGGTCTCATGCCCACTCTGTGCTACTTAGAGACTGGAAGAAATGGAAATTTTCTCTTCTAGGCCAGCAATGTTGCCCAAAGCCTGTATCAGGGGCCTTACATTCTGAGTTACTGGCCTCTCTGAAGTTGGAGTCCCAGGTGGAAAATCATTGCCCATACCTGGGAAATGGGGATGTTACTAACTTCCTGTATTAGTTAGGGTTCTCTAGAGAAACAGAATTGATTGTGTATTTCAAAGGGAATTTATTAGACTGGTTTGCATGACACAGTTTGGGTAGCTTAGCAGTGACTGACTATGTGCTAGAGAGGCTAAGAACCCAGTAGCTGCTCAGTCTGTCAGGCTGAATGTCTCAGTAGTTCCGACCTGGCACCGATGGCCTGGAGAATTCCTGGAGAACTGCTGATCTTTAGTTCATGTTGGAGGGCCAAAGAACCTGGGTTCTGATGCCAGTGAAGGATGGCAGCAGCAACAGAGTAGATGCACTCACCAGCAAGGAGTGAAGGTGGGCAAGCAAGGGCAGCAGCCTTTTTCTGGGACCTCTTTCTACCTGGACCACAGGCAGAAGGTACGACTTTCTGTGGGGAGGAGCTTCCCCACTCAGTTGATTCTTCTTGGAAATCTTCTCACCTACCCAGGGGTATGCATATCTCTTAGTTGATTCCAGATCTAATCAGGTTGGTTGAACCTTCCTTCTAGGACTCCTGAGTGTTAGAAATGATGGGTATATAAGCACTCCTCCCTGTGCCTGGCGGGTATAAGACACACACTGCCATTTTTATGACTGGTGTATTAATTTTTTTGTGCCGTTTCTCAAAAGCTCTTTAATCACAGATCAGTTTTGGTATTTATTCAATACTTTTTTTCATTGTGTAAATATCTATTGGACAGTTGTCCTGCCAGACTCTTCATTTAGACATTGAGGATTCATCTAGAGTCTAGACACTGACTTGTGCACAGTCCAAAGCCCAGACTATTCATCTTGACATTGAGGATTCATCTAGAGTCTAGACACTGACTTGTGCACAGTCCAAAGCCCAGACTATTCATCTTGACATTGAGGATTCATCTAGAGTCTAGACACTGACTTGTGCACAGTCCAAAGCCCAGACTATTCATCTTGACATTGAGGATTCATCTAGAGTCTAGACACTGACTTGTGCACAGTCCGAGGCTCTTCAGCCCCTTGGTGCAAGATCGTTTCATGAACTTCATTAACTGCTCCTTTGCCCAGAGCCATGAGCCTTTTTGGGCAACCCCTGCCTCCTAACTTGGTCTGTGTTTTAGAGCAGTCCTTTTAGCCTCTTTCTCTAACCTGCTGTCTTCAGTACCACCAGTTGACCAGCAGGTGGTACTGGCCCCCCTCCAGTTCTTTTTCAAACAGCCCCCCATCCAGTTCTTTTGAGTCCCTAGTCTGCAGATACTCAGGGGGATATGCAGTTTCTGATCTCAAGGTGACTAAATCACCCTGAATAGGAAAGCCAAAGGGACTAGATGAGGCCTGCCTGTCACCTGCCTGTCTCCTCTTCCTCTTTTCTCTTTCTCCTCTGTTTAGGATGTGCCCAATATTCCAGATCTCCAACGTTACAGGTGAGAACCTAGATCTGCTGAAGATGTTCCTCAACCTCTTGTCCCCCCGCACCAGCTACAGGGAGGAAGAGCCTGCTGAGTTCCAGATAGATGACACCTACTCTGTCCCAGTGAGTGCCTTTGGGTAGGACTGAGTAAGGTGGCTAGCCAGTGAGCACTTGCTATCCTCACTCAGGGAGTGAGTCTGTGGTGGGGTTGGATTTACTAATCTTGGGTATTCTCGTTGGCAGGGTGTGGGGACAGTGGTGTCGGGCACCACACTGAGGGGTCTGATCAAACTGAATGATACACTGCTGCTGGGCCCAGACCCACTGGGTAACTTCCTGTCCATTGCTGTGAAGTCGATCCATCGCAAGCGCATGCCTGTCAAGGAGGTGCGAGGGGGCCAGACGGCCTCCTTCGCACTGAAGAAGGTAAGTGGGGATAATTCCAGAGGCTCCCCTCAGTCTCCTGGGTCTGGACCAGGCACAGTACTCACTATCTCCAGTTCTTGTGGCTGCATTGCAAGGTGGGAATTACTGACCCTGTTGTACAGAGAAAACTGAGGCTCACAGCCCAGCGACTTGCCCAAGCCGAGACGCAACCCCAGGACTCCTGCACTCTAGTCCTCTCTCTGGGGCCTGAGCAGGTGCTTTTTCCTCACAGTGCAGTCAAATAGGAGTGTCCCTGCCATGCATAGGGCCATTCGCCATAAGGTTAGGATGGATGAGATCTGTGCCACCTAGCTCTGGTCACCTGCCTTCCTGATAGTCAAATTGACCGGGAAAAGTGGGACTTGGCCTGTTCACCCCAGTGGTCAGGTCATGCCCCTTCAATTTCTTTCACCCGAATGTTTGCCTGCCTGTGCTCCTGGTCCATCCTTAAAGGCCCAGCAGCTGGAAAGCCAGTTCCTATGTGAAGCCTTTCCTTCCCAAGTTACAATATTTAGCTTCCTGCACAGCATGGAGTCTGCCTTATGCTGTCTACTTTAGGTGGTGGTTTGGGGCAGGAATGAGTTGGGGTGGTCCGCATTCTTAGGAAGACATCTAGATCTCCAGGACCAGGGAGTAAACATGGAAGGCACCATTGTCCCTGAGCTCTGCAGTTCTCTCTTTCAGATCAAGCGTTCGTCCATCCGGAAGGGCATGGTGATGGTTTCCCCACGCTTGAATCCCCAAGCCTCCTGGGAATTCGAGGCTGAGATTCTTGTCCTTCACCACCCCACCACAATTAGTCCACGCTACCAGGCCATGGGTAAGTGTCTAAGGCCCTGCCAACCCAGGAGGCTTTATGCTAACGTCCCCTAAAAGAAGCTCCAGCCACCCAATCCCTATGGCTGTAGCTTCAGCCAGGGCAGGTCTCTGTCTTGTTTAGCAAAGCCATTCCCTTAGTTCTGTCCCTGAGCTGCAGTGTCTGTTCAGTTCCATAGATGCTCACTGAGGGCCTTGAGACCCAGACCTGTCTTCAGGGCCCTCACATGCCAGTATTCATTCAGCCAAGACTGCTGAGCATTGCTCTGTGCCAGACAGTATTGTCAAGGTGCTGGGAACAAAGCTGAGATGGGCAAGAACCCTTCCCTTCAGGAGCTCACAGCCCTTGGGTGGGGGGAATACTCAGGCCCTGCCATATAGGCCTGGATGGAGGAGAGATGGAGGTAGGAGGCAAAATCAGACCTGAGATTAGGCTGCCCTGCTACATCTGGCACTTAGACTTCTTGCCCTGCCCTGGAGATACAGCTGTAGCCTGAGGCCACAGAGTAGGTCATGTGTGCCCTGACTTCCCTTGGCAGTACACTGTGGGAGCATCCGGCAGACGGCCACCATTCTGAGCATGGATAAAGACTGTCTGCGCACAGGAGACAAGGCCACTGTCCACTTCCGCTTCATCAAGACCCCTGAGTACTTGCACATAGACCAGCGGCTGGTGTTCCGTGAAGGCCGAACCAAGGCTGTTGGCACCATCACCAAGGTATGGCTGGGGTCACCACACTTGTCTATGGGAGCATCAGGGGTCACTCCAGTATAGTAACCATGAGCACCACAAGTTCCACTTGAGAACACTGGAGGCTTCTTCATTCTGGGACAGAGGCATGGCCCCTGCCCTGGCAGAGCTGAGCCTCCACTAGGGTGTTGTCACTGGGCCTCCTGTCTTGGGCTTTGGTGGTGACCTTGAAGGAGAGAAAATGGGATTGGGGTATGGTTCTCCTCCATAAGAGGCAGTGGGACAGGGTATCTCTGGTGAGCCAGGAGGAGAAAGAAATGGCCTCCATGTATGTGAGACTGGAATGAACCTCAGGCTGGCCTTTCTCCCTGAAAGACTTCCCTCAGGCCTGTCAGTGGGGACTCTGGCTTTCATGTTCTTGAGGGCAGAGGCTACAGCACCTGTAGAGTCTTTGGGACCTAGCTGAGCTTTTCTGCTATGTTTCAGATTGAACTTGAACCATAGGCAGGATTCTGAGTCAGTTGCTCCTGGTGGTAGCTTTTATGATTTCTGGCAGGCATTCACTCTGTCTTTTCAGGAGGCCTGCAGTTAAAGCCATGGTCCAAAGCACCTTCTGGCTGGCTGGACTCTGGCTCAGAAGCTGGGCTGAGTGCAAGATGGCAAAGGTTCAGAGAATTCTCTGCAGGAATGGTAGCCTTGGACCCAGAAGGGACTGGAGCCTTTCTGGGCAGGGAGAGGCAGAGGGTGAGGTGACAGTTCTGGCCTCAGAGTGGGGATAGGAAGACCTCCCTGCTCTGCCTCCTGGCACTGCCTTCCTGCCATCTGCCTTACACAGGACCAGCCTGGCCAGGGGATGAGAAAGGGGCAGAGACACAGGGCAGGCAGCTATGGCCTCATGCTACCCTCACTTGGTTTCCACAGCTCCTCCAGACCACCAACAACTCCCCCATGAATTCCAAGCCCCAGCAGATTAAAATGCAGTCCACAAAAAAGGGTCCTTTGGCCAAGAGAGAAGAGGGAGGTCCATCTGGTGGGACAGCAGTGGGCCCACCCCCAACTGGAGATGAAGGTTCCACTCTAGGGACTGGACAGGCAGCTGTATCCAGTGGTCTCCAGCCACAGGTAAGCAAGGGTCTCTTGTGGCCTCGGGCAGAGTGGCAGGAGGGGAAAAGCTAATTAATCTAATGAGTCCTAAGTAACATTTGGTTTTAATGAATAAAGTAGACTAGAAAAAATGTCAAGGTTCCCTTTTTTGTTTTTGTTTGTTTTGTTTTGATTTGACTTTTCTTGAGACAGGATCTCACTGTGTAAGCCAGACTGGGCTGAAATTCGTTCTGTAGCCTAGACTGGCCTTGAACTCTGTTTCTCTGATGCTGGGATTACAGGCATGAGCTACCACACCCAGCCAATGTTTCCTCTCACAGTAAGAGTTTATGTGGGTGTGTAAGTGCTGTGTGTGCTGAGGTCCAAAACATCTGAGAGACACTGCCTTCCAGAGTCCTTCTGCCCTCCTCCCAGCATAAGGAGGTGGCCTTGGCTGTGTCATTGTGCCACCTGTGTGTCAGACTCTTAACTGGCACCTGCCCATTTTTTTCAGTTCTCTCCTGGCCTAACAAAGGCCTGGTGCCCCTCTGCCTATTGCCAGACCCCAGTGTCATTCTCTCCTTGGAGAAGGCAGCTTCTGCATCTGTTACTCTTGAATAGAACCAGTACTCTCCCTTCCCTTCCCCCCCACTCCTCTGTTCCCTCTCCTTCTCCATCCTTGAAACTGTCCTGTGGCTCTGTTGTTTCTGAGCCCCCTCCCCAAGTCAGCAGCAGTGCGTGTTGATTCCTGTTCCTTTTTGTGCATCTCTGGCCAGCTCCCCCACCATTGCCACACATGTCCTCTGCCTGGCGAGGAGGGCTCCGTTTCACCTTGTGAACTCCTCATCAGGCTAGGGACACTACCCACTCCACTGCCTGGCCCTGCTCCAGAGGGCTAGCATTTCTTAAGTGCTTGCTTTCTTTCTTTCAGCCCAAGCCCAGCAGTGGGGGCCGGCGACGAGGGGGCCAGCGCCACAAGGTGAAGTCCCAGGGGGCCTGTGTGACTCCTGCCAGCGGCTGCTGAATATTCCCCTGGTCCACTTGACCACCCATGGGATCCTCACTCTGGCCACTGCTCACCAGCTGGGCAGAGCATCTCTGACCACCACCTACCCACTCCAGCCCACAGCCAGAGCCCCCTTGTTGTCCTACCCCCATTTTCCAGGGGGATTGTAATTTATAAGCTGAGGAGGGACTAGACTTTCTGAGGACTGACCATCTCTCACCTGCTTCCTTCCTCACTCACACGTCTTTTGTACATCTGGGCCCTTAGTTTCTATTCTTTTTATTATATATCTTTCTCTATTTAGAGTGGTTGTGTGGGTATGTGTGTGTGAGAGAGAGAGAGAGAGGAGGGTGTAGGAGTGCAGCCAGCCAGAGCCCTGTCAGTCCTTCTCCTTCTCGGTCCTCCTGGCTGGCCACCAGCCTCTGAGAGTTGGCCATTGGCCTGTCCTTCCATCCATCTTTGTCTCAATAAGATCCTCAGAGCCTTTAGGGAACCTCAGGAGCCCCAGGTGCCTGTCTTCCCTGGCCATCTGCTCCTCTTAGCTAGAAGCTCGCCTGTGGGCTGACTGATAGTCTCAGTAGTTTCTTCCAGAGCAGGGATTCCCCTAATCTAAGATTTGGGGTGTTTTAATGGAGAAAGTGGTGCCCCACTGCGCACCCCACTCTTTCCCTCTTCAGCTCCCAAGCAGGTGCTGCCAAAAGCTCTTCACTGGTACCTGTGATGTGTGGAGGGAGTGCAATTGCATTATAGGACTGCCCACCCTGACTCTTGACTCTTGTCACCCATCCAAAGCCTGGGTGGGCTTCCCCTTGGAGACAATCCTGGGCTTGCCTGGCTGGCCCTGGCTGCTCTGACTTTTGCCGATCCGCCCCGCTGGAGGCTCCCTCTGCTTCCATTTTGACCTCTGGCTGGGCTCAGGGCACTGGGTACTACTAGACTGGGTCTGGGCCTGCATAGAATCAGACTTTCTAGTCCTTCCTCTTGGTGGGGAGGGGAGGTACTCCTCTGAGCCCAGCCAGGGCTGGAAACCCTCCTTTCCCACATGTCACCCCAACACAGCTGCTACAGTCATGACTTCTTAGCAATGAAGGGCTTGAACCCAGGTACCCTAATTTGGGTACATGAGGGCAGGTAGCAGTGGAGACTCTTCCAGGACCTCAGAAACACTGCTGCTGTGTAGGGTAAGCTGGGCTGCACAGGACAGTCTAGACTGAGTCCTGGACACAACCTTAGGCTGGAGACACTCCTTGTCAGCCAGGGCAGACACCTAGCCAGCTGGGTCCTTCTTCGGGCCCCTGCCCCCCAGCTCTCCTGTCCTCTGCTCCTGACTGCTCTCCCCTACTTTCTCTCCCTTCCAGCTGTTTCTAGTTACCACTGCCCTATGGCCATGAATTGACCATACCAGCATTCACAATAAAAGTTTATTTCAAGTTGACAGTGTTGTGTTCCCTGCCAGCCCTCCAGGAGGAGGTACTGCCACAGGGACACTGTGGCTTTGCCTGCCCTTATGTACCTGGTGGCAGCTGAGGGGAATACGGTTACCAGGAGCCCAGCTTCCCCAATCAGGCAAGTGTAAAATATCCACCCACTGTCTTTGAATCCCACTTTCCTATCTACAGCAAAAAGGCAGATCCCTGCCTCCAGGTTGTATGGATTCATTGAGTATGAAGGAGGCCCTGGTGCCCTGGACAGGCCGAAGGCAGTGTAGCGCTGCCCTATGGGTGGGCTGGATCACCCCACAGTTAGACATTCACTGCTGCCATCTCTAAGGTAGCACTATTTGCTTGCTCTGTCTTTGTTGAAGAAACTGAAGCTCAGGGAAGGGCTATCCCCAGTGGGTATTGGTTCCTGCACCAGCCCTCGCCCTGTAGCTTTTCCCAGCCAGCTTTAGGCTGGTCCTCTGACTCTGGCAGTTTCACCTGCTTTTTGTGGCTCTGGCTCACTTAGGCTAGTGCCTTCATAGTAATAGGGCTATAGAACGGTGGCACATGGCACAGCAAAGCCTGTGACTGTTCCTACAGCATTGGGCCATAATGGAACCTCATCTCAGCTCTACCCCTGTAAGCAATAGCGGTTGCCAGAACGATTGTGTTCAGGAGTTGTGGCTGCCACCCTGGCCTCTGTCCTCAGGACTTCAGGAGGTACTGGGTGGCATATGCAGAGCTGCCAGGGGGCTGCCTGAATTCAGTGTTGAACGATCAGTAGGGCTATGGAGGTCCCTAGGAACCTCAGCCCTTCCAGCTCTCCATTTGGGACAAAATACCAGCCCATTTGTAGTTGATAAAAGAATAAAGTTGTTAATCCATTGATCTTTAAGGGTGTGGACCAAGCCTTCTGTTGTGCAATGGTGTGTGCAGTGTCTCTACCAGGAGTAAGGCCGTGGGATGGTGTGGGATGGAGGCAGCCAGATCATGTCATAGGCAGGCATCTGTTTGGGCTCATTGGTGCCTGGCACCGATGTAACATGAGTGTGCCATGGGGCAGGGTTGTATTTGTTTGGGGTTGGGAAGTGCCTGAGAAAGGCTTGAACCCTCAGGGGCCAAGATTTGAACATAGGCAGTTGGCAGAGGCACTGATCCCTGATGGTGTGTGGCAAGTTACAGGGCCGTGTTCCCAGGGGCTACTCTTGTTTAGCAGTATTTGTTTTGTTGAAAATCTGGTGAAAAGGAGTGTGATACTGATCCTGGACTCTGGATCCTAAGTTCTGGGCTAACTTGTACTCCACCCAGGGCCCTCTCCTCTCCACCCAGGATCGCTGTACCCCTTCCTGCTGACCAGTTCCTGCTTTTATTGTCTGAGTCATGGTAAGGGCCAGCCTTGGGCAAGATGCCATGGTCAGGAAGAGGTATCTCAGTCCTAGTGAGGAATCCTCCTGAGCTGAGTCTAGGTATCCAGTTTCCAATGTCAGGGCCTCTTCCCCAGGAGCCAGGCACATACCTCCTTAAAGCCTGTGACCTTTTGCCTCAGCTAGATGGCAGAGACAGGAAAGACCTCCTCTATAGAGGTATTGGTGACAGCCCCTAAAGCCACTTTGTCTTTTTGAGACAGGGTCTTCCTGTCCTGGAACTTGCTATGTAGACCAGGCTGGCCTCAAAGATCCGTCTGCCTCTGCCTCCCAAGTACTGGGATTAAAGGCATGTACCACCACCCCTGGCTCCCTAAAGCCACCTTTACTTAATCTTCCCAGCCCTGGAAGACGTCACCTGGGTTCCCAAATCCTTCCCAGTGGGTGTTACCAGAGGCCTGGATTTCTGACCTCAGACTTAAGTCTTTGGGGACGTTGGTTTGGCTAAGAATTCCCTTACATCCCCAAGGGCACCTAAGTTGCTCTGTGCAATGGACAGAGAAAAACCACATTCCATTGATCCTGGGCATCCTTTATTTTTTGCATAGGCATAAATTAGAATCTGGAGATTAAAAAAATTAACGCAACAGTGCAGCATTTGTGACAAGAGAGCGCAAAACAAGCCCTGGGGGCAGGGCTGTGCAGGGTGCCCTCTCACCAGAACCATGAACCTCTGCCTGCCCAGCAGCTCCTCCCCGCCCTCCCCACAGGCCAGAACCAAGCACCTCTCAGCGGCCTGGAACTAGGAACTGAGTAACAGCTGATGCCCCTCAGAATGAGGCTAGGGTTCTAGGACGTAGCTTTTCAGTTAAAACCAGACCCTGAGAAGTATATACATAATAGAGCAGGGCCTGTTATCTTAAAAGCCCTTCCTCTTCCCCACACAAGGTTACTTCTGCCAACCTCCTTCCCAGCCCCCACCCAACTGCTCCCATAGAGAAGGAGCCAGAAAGGACAGGGAATCTAAGCAAGGCAGAGGGCTGGGGGGGGGGTTACTTAAGGGTGGGTCCCTCCTGGGATCTGATTAGGTGAGGAGGGCTACTGCAGCAGTAGCAGCCCCCCCCCCCGCCCCAGCTGACACACCAAACCATACCATGGCAATTGGCAGTGGACAAAGAGAACCTAGGAAGTCCTCTGGTCCCTTCTTTCCTGCCCCAGACAGAATGGCCCAGAAGACAGGCTAGGGTCCCATGACAGCCTGGGGACTAGAAAGCTTGCTGAAGGGCACAGGCAGGCTATAGCAAGAATGGGACAGAGTAGACCCTCACCCACATCAGGAGAAAAAGCAGTGGTCCTCCAGATTGGCACAGCTCACAGCCATGACAGGCACACAGGAACCCATCCCTTCCAGGATACAGGGGCCCAAGCCACATGGCTCCCTCTTGTCAGAACAAATGCAAGCTTCTAGTGACACCAGGGGTCTGTGGGCCATGGCTCCTGCCATGCAGGAGCACAACAGCCCCTGAGCCCTCTGCCTGAGACAGTCCCAGCTGCATAGTGCTAAGCACCCTCCTCCTAAGTAGCCACAAGACACCCAGCTCACCTCCCTGGGGCCCTAACTCAGCCTGCTCATGGCTTTGGCACCTACCAGGAGTTCCCTGGAACCAATCCTTCCACCAAATGCAGTCAGTCTCACTTCCCTGCCTCTTAGTCCCCCAAAGTATGCTACATATATACACCCTGTGGTAGACAACTGGCTTGAGAGGAAGGACTAGGGGAGCTGCTGGAGCCTACTGGCCATGGAGCTGCCTGGCTGTACAGAATCGCTGTACAGTCCTTCTCCCTGGGGCCAGGCCTCTTTTGCTCCTGAAAGAGTGCGGCTCAAGCATGTAGGGGCAATGGCAAGATGCAGTGCACCTACTCCCAGAGCAGGGGCAGATGCTGGGAGGGGTGAGCCTCCCAGATGGCCAGCAGCAGGCACAAGATCTCAAAGGGCTAGTGGACAGGCTCCCCATGTACCCGGAAGCGGTAGATGCATGTGTACTCAGGGTGGCCCCAGTTGGTCAGGATCCGAAGTTCCACCACTTGGTATGTAGCCATCTTCAGGGCCTAGGTAGAGAGGAAGAGTGACAAGAGTTCAGAGTAACACCTTGGCACCTCACCTACAGAGAGGTGGGTAAGGGAGACAGTCACCCCTGTAGCCAGATGGCTTCCCCTTCCCCTGGGTGTTTGGAAAGGAAGAAGGACAGAAGCTTCTGTTTCTTAAGAGCAGTTTCAGCTAGAAGGCCAAGAACCTTGGGGGCTTCAGGGCTCCTAGGGGCCTCTACCCATATGAGCCAGCCCCTCAGCCCATGTGTGAATGGTCTGGGTATTGAGGACCAGCCCAGTTCATCCAAGACTAGAATGAATCCACTCACAGCTGCTTTGGGCACCTTCTGTGAACAGAACTCCTTTCATAGAAAGTTTATGGATGGGGTTCTCTTTCTGAAGTGCCTGTGTAGTCTATACTCCATGCATAAAAGCCACAGTGTCTAATTAGGGCTGGATTGGGGATGGGGCTCAGTGAGGCCCTGGGTCCCATCCCTGGCACTGTATAGAGACAGACAGACCAGGCATGGTAGGTCATACCTGTAATCTCGGCACTCAGGTGGCTGAGGTAAGAGGATTGGCAGAATTGAGGCTAGCTTGGGTTACACAGCAAGACTGTCTCAGAACAGAAAAGGTTCCAAAGACACAATGTTTGAGGCAGCATTTGCAGTGCAACTGTTTGAATATGAAAAGCCTCCCAAGCCCAGGTATCAAATGCTTGGTCCCCCAGCTGGTGGTACTTTTTTTTAGGAGGTTGTGGAAACTTTAGGCAGGACCTGGATGGGGGAAATCACCTAAAGTGTGTCCTTGAGACTGTATGTTGTCCTGACCACTTCCTGTATTTTTGCTGCTTCTCTGCTAAGGGGAGACTCTCCTCCATTATACATTCTTGCAGCCATGATGTTCTCAACTCATGGAGCCAAGTGGCCGAGGACTGAAATATCTGATACCTTGAGCCAAGATCTTTCCTTTTTAAGTTGTTCTCTGAAGTATTTTGCTGGAAGCAACGCAAAGTAACTAATACATCTTACCCAGAATGAGGCCCAGGTCCAGTGGTGCCCTCCTGCCACACTCTTCCTTCCTTTCCTGTCAGTCTTAGGCTCAACCAGAACATGGCCCAAGAGATCCAGCCCTTCCCATGACTCTCACCTCAGAGCTGATCACAGCTGTCACATCTGGTCCCTCTCTACCTTCTCCAGTCTCCTCAGCTTGACATTAGTGTTCTCCCAATGGCCTCAGTCCCCACACCCTCTCTACCTCCTCAGCTCTTGTGTGCTTCCCTACCACCACTTTCTGACCAGGCTCCTGGGCTCCAGGATTGCTCCCCTTCAATTCACTATGTAGCCACAGATGACCTTTCTGATTCTCCTGCCTCCACTTCCTGAGTGCTGGGATTATAGGCAGGTTATATACCATAAGCCTGGTTTATGTGGTTCTGGAGATCAGACCCAGGACTTGGTGCATGGCAGGCAAGCACTCTACCAACTAAACTACATCCCTAACCCTAGAATCTGCCTTTCTAATATGGGTCTAGATCTGATGTCCACCTAAGTATAGGTCATAGGCCCTGCCTGAGATCCTCACTGACCACACTGGTCAACTCAAACACCCTTCACAATTGCATCTTTGTCCTGACCCTTCTTTGATAAAGCTTAGGAAGCTCTGGGCACTGCCCTGCTGGAATGGGCCCCTCTCTGTGTCAATGGGAAGGCCACTTCCACTCTGTACCCCAAGCTAAGGCAGGGGCCCATCTCTGAACCCTGTGCCTAGCAGAGCAAGTGTTGGGGAGACGTCTTCTGTTGGCTGAGAATGAGGTGTGCCTCCATGAGCCACCAGTCCTATACCTGGAAGTAGAAGGTCTGGATAGGCTCTCCATCCTGATCATAGGTGAATGTGCCAAGGAGCGTCCCCTCCTGCTGCAGGTCTTCATCGAAACCCTGCAGAAGAGCACACAGGGATAGAGGAGAATGGGGAGGGCCACTTCCTTGAGCCTCCATGTCTTCCTCTGCAGCCTCAGACAGCTGTGCCGAAGAGGCTATCTCACCCTGGCTCTGCCTCTTCCAAATGCATTTCCTTCCCTCACTGCCAGTGACCTCAACCTGATCCCCAGCAGTGACCCTCCTCTAGCATCTTAGTCCCCACAGTCCAGATACTCACAAAGATGGCGAAGTCCCTGGGAGCACTGGAGATGGTGCTGTTGGGTGACAAAGCCTTGGGCACATGCTCTAAGGTGACAGCTGTGGGATGGATACGGGCAGAGAGCCGGACCACAGCAAAACCCTGGGGCCCCTGGAAGGCCCAACAGTTGCCTGGATGCACGTCTGGCTGGAGGGGCAGAGAGGCATGTCAGAACAGGACCCAAAATTCAGCTCTGGCTGACAGAAATAGTGGTACCCCCACTGTGATTAGAGGGGGCTCTCACTGAGTGCCCACCTGAAGAATGACTCGGGGTGACTGCGAGTGGTACCACAAGGGGATGCCGAAGAGGCTGAGGAGGGCAGTCTTTGTCTCATAGGTCTCAGAGCACCGGGTGCTGATGACACTGGCCCCTGACACAGGAAAGAAAAGGAGGATGGGAATCACAGTGGGAAGGCCCAGACAGCCAGCTCAGGTGGCAGCCATGGCAGCCCCAGCTCCAGGGCTGAGGCAGCCAGAGGAGGGACTGCCAGTGTGTCTCCTCACTGAGCATGAAGGCCAAGTTACCTAACCCAAACCCACAGGCCTCTCCTAGCCAGGGATGCCACTCAGTACCTCATGGCCTCCCTCAGCTGTCCTGGCCTTGGTTGGGAGTCTAGATTGGGTATTGGGTTAGTACTGGTCTCAAGCCCTGCCTGCTTAGTACTATGCTACCTGGCAGAGACTAGGGGCCCAGCCATTATGGAGACCAGGACAAGGCAAAATGACAAAGGCAGTTGCACACACCTCCTGATTCCAGGGCATAGTCCACCATCCCAATGCGGTCCTCACTGTAGCGCTGTAGAGCCTGCTTGACAATCCGGTGCACTTGCTAAAACATGGCCCAGAAGACAAATGTGAACAGGGAGCAGAGGCACCCATGGTCTTACCCTGTTAGATTGGCACCATCCTGGTACCCAGGCAGGTCTGGTACACCTCCACAACCCACACTGGGCCCAGAGCATATACCAGAGCCTCCTGAAAGAAGGCCCTATCACTTATGTCCTGGAACATGTGAGGAACCAGCAGTGTGGGACAGTCCAGGTCTACAGCTTACGGGAGGAACGCAGAGTGTTGTAGGTATTCACACCTCACCTCCTCTGTCACTCCAACCACACCTTCTTTCTGCAGTGTCTGTCCCAGAGAAGCTGCAGCCTCCTTAGCTGACTTGCCCTGCATCTCAGCCACATGGGCGAGGATCTTGCTCTCCAGCTTCTGCAGCTGTGCACGCATCTCCTCTTTCTGCAGGAGTCCAGTGCGAACACCCCCGTCTCGGAGAAGGAACTGACTGACCCAGGCAGGGAATTGGGATTCCACCTAGGGATAAAGGCAGTGTCACTCCAAAGCTTGCTGGAATGGCTGGGGCTACTATGGCAGGAGTGGAGGAAGGGGACTGGTGGGCTGTCACTCATGGAGGGAGCAGAGCTGGTAGAGATGAGGGGAAGGAGGCCATGGAAGAGAGGTTAGAGGTTAGGAACTATGTTCCTCAAGTATCATTGGCCAGAAACAGGAAGCATTCCCACCAGGACCCAGGTCTGCACCAGTCCAGCTGTACAGGTGCCTCCAGAAGAGCAGGTCAGACACACCACACAGCTCCAGCTGGTAGACCCCCAAGTATGTGGTCTCAAGGAGGAAGGTGTTTGGCAGGACTCCAGGTGATTCTCACTCACATCATCCCGAGCAGCCTGGATCTTCTGTGGCAGTAAGCCTATTTCATCTGCCACTGAGTTCTGCTTTAGAGTCAGGGCAGCCAGCTCCTGCCGCAGGCCAGCCAGCTGGGCCTCCAGCCGCCGCAGCTCCTTCTCAGAGCTCTCCTGGAAGGCCTCCTGGGTCATCCTAGTCCCAGAGGGAAAGAAGTAAGGGGAAGGGAAGGCTATGCTGAGGAAGCAAGAGGACCCTCTGGTTGGCTTCTGTCATAGGTGTGTGCCAGTCACCCACTGTGAGTGGGAAGGGGCAGGGCTGCTTCGGAGTCTGGCTGTAGAATTCAGCCCCAGAGCTTTGGGACCAGGTTGCCTGTCTCAGAGCTGACCTGATTATCTTTAAGCCTGGGGTGATGATTCCCTGTGCCACAGCCTCCAAGGCCTCCACAGTTTGCACAAAAGGGCAGTGACCCTTTTGTCACAGAAATGACCAGGCTACAAGCCCCAGTCTTAGTATAGTGACTGTCCCTACCACCAGCAGTCCTTGCCAACCTGCCCTGTGCTTCAAAGATAGGCTGCAGACAGGGTCCTGAGCTAAGTCTCAACCAGACCTCCCCAAGGGACCAGGCAGAACTCTCTTCTGGGATTGGCTGTCCAGAGACCTGATGGGGTGGGAGAGCAGCCTTGGCCAGATGGTCATTACCTTTGCCACTCTGTCTTCAACTGCTGGACATGAGCCTCGGATTCCTGGCAGCAGAAAGAAGGAACAAGGACAAGAAATGCTGAACCTGGCCAGGCATGGTGGCACATGCCTTTAATCCCAGCACTTGGGAGGCAGAGGCAGGTGGATCTCTGTGAGTTCAAGGCCAGCCTGGTCTACATGCTGAGTTCTAGGCCAGCTGGGACTACAGGGAGACCCTGTCTCAAAAAGACAAAAAAAAAAAAAATGCTGAACTTGGAGAAATCTGATGACCAGCTCTCCATGGGGGTCTCTGCTAAACTACATCCCTGCCTCAGTGTCTCCCAACCTTGTAGCCAAGATCAAATCAGTCTGTTCTTCTGAGAGTATCACTCTCTGATTCATTCCCACCTAGGCAAGTTCCTGTCCACCAAGCATGCACACACCCAGCACAACCACTATCCCTGCTTCATGCATGCTCCCAGGGTTCCCCACAGATCATTCAGCTGGGGCAAGTTCAGCTCCTATAGAAGGCAGGAGACTGTACTCCTCATCCCACCCCCTGTACTCAACATTTCAGCAGTTCATGGAAGGACCAAGAATAGATATAGATGTGGTTCAAGTCTCTAGTGCAGGCCTATGTGCAGTCCACCAACCTGAGAGGTCTGGACGATCTTCTTGAAGAGGTCTTCTGCGTCTTGGTGATGCTCTGCCCTCAGGGTGACCAATTCCTCCTGCCAGACACAAGGAGGGGGACTGGAGATTTGACAGCTGCCCTTGGAGGGGCACCTACTACTAGGATGTGGTATAACTGGGTTCAACCCAGGGCTCTTAGACTCCCAGGTTTCAGCTGTCAGCCTTATACCACAAGGCCTCTCTAAATACAGGAGTCCTACCTGGTCTCTGTCACCATTGTGATACCAGACACTGTGCTAGGTGCTCATCATACCTTGGGGGGATGGGATCATTACAGGCACAGCTGCCTGATCCTACATGACACACTCCTGTCTCCCCGGCCTCCTCCACCCCACTTCTCACCATCAGGGTTCTCTATGGTGTCACCCTCAGAGGACACCGTAGAGTGAGTCTCACACTCAGGCAACTCTGCTCCCCCACCTGGATACGAGCAGCAGTGTCCCTGCGGAAGTCTTCCTTCAGGGCGGCCTCACGCCGGCTCACCAGCCCTTCCAGGAGAGTCAGGGTATCCTCATGGCTCAGGCCACCACCACCTCCTGGGCCAAGAGTCCCTTGCCGCAGCTCTAGGCGTTCCAGGCGAATGGCCTCTTTCTGCCAGTTTGAGGAAAATTCAGCAGCAAGAGCTTCCAGGCGCCGCTCCAGGGAGTGTACCCGGGAGAGAATGTGCTGCTCAGCCTGATGGGGCAGGAAAGAAAGAGCAGAGAGGTAAGGGATCCAGAAGAGCCCCACTACAAGGTTTCCTGGGCAGGGCCATTGAGACAGCTGGCAGAAAGAAGGAAAAGAATCCTAGGGGCAGCTGGGCCATGGTTGGCAGCCATAGCATATGGCAGAGGCACAAGAGCTGTGAACTGGGCATGCACTGTAGGAGGGAGGCGTGCTGTGGGAGTCAGGTCCCAGTGTGGACAGAAGGTGGCTGGGGAAGGGTTCTGAGCACAGGAACTGCCCATGAAAAGATCATGAAGTTGCAGGACAGTCACGGAACAGATGACTGACACGGCCACCCCACCTGGGAACAAGTATACAGGGTTGGTGGGGGCAGCTGTTGGCTCTCAAAGCTTTTGTTCCTTCCATAGATGACTACACTAAAGGAGGAAATGGTTTGAAAGAATTTTCCTCTTTTATTTATTTAATTTTTGGAGACATGATCTCCCTATAGCCCCAGCTGGCCTGGAACTCGCTATATAGACCAGACTGGCCTGGAACTCACAGAGATCCACCTGCCTCTGCCTCCTGAGTGCTGGGATTAAAGGCATGCATCACCACACCCAGCATCATTTTCCTCTTTTAAATGGATGCCCTCCAGAGAAGATGGGAGTTAGAGCCACTTGGACCTGAAGGTGGCATTTGATAGTGTGTCATGAATTCTGAAGACATTTGTTGATGAATAACAAAATCTTTGCCAAGAGAAATTACCAATCACAATCTGCCACCTGACCACTAGAGGGCAAAAGGCTGCGGGCAGAGGTACTAGGTTTTAGAAAATTCCGTTTTAAACAGGCAATACGTTTGCATGACTCAAAAAGCAGCAAACACAGGGGTTGGAGAGATGGCTCAGTGGTTAAGAACACTGACTGTTCTTGTAGAAGACCCGGGTTCAAATCCCAGCACCCACATGGCAGCTAACAATTGTCTGATCCAACAGTCTCTTCTGTCCTCTGGCCCGACACGGGTGCACTTACCTACAGAGTTGGGTTCCTAGCCTGGGCCCACCTGCCCTGTCCTCACCATCACCTCTCCACACCAGCACTGTCTTCACTGGTGTCTTCCTGCAGACGGAAACCAGGCCAGTGCTCTGCAGGTTTTACTTCCTCTTTCCACACAAAAGGTGGCCCCAGACGGATTAATTTTAAAAGGAGTTTGTAAATGACAGAATATGCCATTATTTTATGAAACAAGATCATACTCAGAAAAATACACACAAACTTATGATTTAAAATGTGGCACTAAATTAAATTGAATTCAGCAGGTATACACCAAGTTCAAATAAGTAGGAGACAGATTTTTTTTTTTTTTTTTTTTTTGCTCTTGCTTTGTTGAGACAAGACCTTACTCTTAGTCCAGACTTGCCTACAACTTACTATGTGGCCCAAGCTGATTGCAAATTCATGATGATCCTCCTGCCTCAGTCTCCCAAGTGCTGGACTACAAGTGTGAGTCATCATGTCCTGTTAGGACAAAGAGGTTTTGGGGGAGGTGTATGCCTGTGTGCACGTGTGTGCAGGTACACTTGCACGTGTATATGTGCCAACGTCAGAGGTTGGCGTCAGTTGTCTCCCTCTACTCATTCTCCACCTTGTTTTTTGAGACAGGCTCTCTCATTGAACGTGGACCTCACTGTTTTGGCTAGACGAGCCAGTGACCCACCGGGGTCCACCTGACTCTGCTTGTGCTTGACTGCTGGGATTACAGGCATGCACCAGCCACACCAGAATTCTGAACTCAGGTCCTCATACTTTTGTAGTAAGTGCTTTACCCCAAAGCCATTTCTCCAGCCCCAGGACTAAGAGTTTTAAGTGACCTGTGCTGGAAAAAGCAGGCTAGCCAGCATGCTAGGTGAACAAAGCATATGGGGGCAGCTGTCCCTGTGAGAGCCTAGGCTAGCTGGCTCACTAGCCTACTAGCCTGTCCTGGCTCAGCCTAGAGGGCCACTAGGCCCTACAGTCTCAGAGCTAACCACATGCTTAAGGTTGGGGGTGGGATCAGAGGGGCCTAGCAAGAGGTTACCTTCCAGGCAGAAGCTGTGCCAAGAGTGGCGACATCACATTGAAAGGGAACGAAGTTGGCAAGAAACTTGCCAGGCCCTTTTCCTGGTTTCTTCTGAGGGTCTACACAACTTTTGGGCTCAGTTTTTTTGTCATATTGAGGGGAAGGTCAGCCCCTGAGAACTTGCATGCCTAACAGCAGGAAAAGAGGTACTGCAGCTCTGTGGCAAGAAGTGAGCTGGGACTTCCCGGATCTGTCCCCCACTGTCAGGACTCACCTGGAAGTGTGGTGAGGCTTCTCTGGATTCCCACACCTCGGACTGTCTTCTGCCCTTTGCTGCCCACCAGGAGGCCACAGCTGGGTGGAATGTCTGCAGTCCAAAAGGGTAGAAGTACCAAGCACCTGGGCAGGGAGAGGGGGAACTTGAATCTTTGGTCATCGTGTGAGCCCTGCTCCTCCAGAGGCAGTTGTACTAACATTACATAACTCAGGGCTCCTTTGCCAATTCTTCAGACCAGGAAACTTTAGAGAAAGCACTTTTTTTTCTTTTTTGGGGGGGGGGG